GCCTCGAAGCGGCGAGGCCTCGAAGCGGCGAAGCCTCGAAGCGGCGAAGCCTCGAAGCGGCGAAGCCTCGAAATCTCGAAGCAGCGAAGCCTCGAAGCAGCCAGCGAACCCTCAAAGCGGCGAAGCCTCGAAGCAGCGCACCCTCGAAGCCGCAAAGCCTCGAAGCGGCAACGCCTCGAAGCAGCGAAGCCTCGAAGCAGCGAAGCCTCGAAGCAGCGAAGCCTCGAAGCAGCGAAGCCTCGAAGCAGCGAAACCCCGAAGCAGCGAAGCCCCGAAGCAGCGAAGCCTCGAAGCAGCGAAGCCAGCCTCGAAGCAGCGAAGCCTGCCAAGCCGCCCGGTGCCACATCATGGCCAAAGCAAGCCAAGCCGGTGCCAGATCATGGCCGACCTACCCGGCGCCAGATCATGGCCAAGCCGCCCGGTGCCGGGTCGCGGCAAGGCCGACACCAGATCATGGCCAAGCCGGTGCCAGATCATGGCAAGGCCCGTGCCAGGTCATGGCCAGGCCGGTGCCACGCCATGGCCAAGCCTGCCGGTGCCAGGTCGTGGCAAGGCCGGTCGGTGCCAGATCACGGCAAGGCCGGCGCTTCCTCAGGCAATGGCCAAGCCGGTTCCAGGTCCGGGGTGGCAAAGCCAAGCCGGCTCCGGGTCGTGGCCAAGCCGGAGCCGGCGCCAAGTCATGGCCAAGCCGGGGCCAGATCATCTCATGACAAAGCCAGGCCGGTGCCAGAACATGGCCTGGCCGCGCCCGCCGGCGCCAGGTCGTGGCCAAGCCGGTGCCAGATGAATCATGGCCAAGCCTGCCTGCCTGCCTGTGCCAGAGCATAGCCAAACCGGTGCGGGATCATGGCCATGCCTGCAAGTGCCAGGCCGCGGCCAAGGCGGTGCCACGTCGTGGCCACGCCGGTGCCGGACCCTGGCCACGCCGGTGTCGGGCCCTGGCCACGCCGGTGCCCGACCATGCCCGCCCCCCGCCGCCAGATCGCGGCCCCGCCGGCGCCAGCATGCAAGATGACGGCAGCGGGCAACCTGCCCGCCGCGCCGGCCGGCGCCGGATCGATCGCGCCAAAGCCGTTCCGGCGCTTTGAAAATCGCCGGCAGATGGGCCTGCCTGTGCTGAAGCGCCGACAACGATTCTCCACAGAGAGACGCTGAGTGCTACTATTCATCTAGCGGAATACTATTAAGTCTGCAGGTTACTGAACACGGGAAGCGGGAGAAGGCTAGTAATGAGGGGGGGGCGGGAGCAGTAGTTATGCACTCTCATACCGGGCACGCTTGTTTTTGTTTTACAAGGATGCACACCAGTAGTAGTAGACTGCGATGACAAGTCGTCGTCTGGCGGAAGATAATCTTCGGTGGTTTTTCGACGCTCCATGTCGACGTTAGTACCCTCATCATCGCTCGCTGCCCCACCTTCCGCTAGTGTCTCCTCATCGCCAGCATCAATCCCGCGTGCTTGCGTTATTAAGCCGTTCTCTGTGGCACCAGCTGTAGATGAAACCTGGTCATGTTCCTGGTCGTCGTGCTGGATATCACGAGCCTGTTGAAGATGATCCTTGTGCTTGTAGTTCATCTCCTGCAGTGGTTCTGATTGGGATCGTGAACAAGCCCACGGCGGTTTATCGAAAAAACATCCGACACTCGCTCGAGCAGTTACCTCACCGTCGCCAGAGCTCGCAATGCTGCTCTCGTTCGCAAATGCAAATTCCGAGGAGTGTGCATCATGGTAGTAGGCATGATCATCTTCCTTACCCGGCGCAGTTCGGGCCAGAAGCGGAAATAACGGTCCAGCAGAGCTGCATTCAGGATCGCCGGTGCCAATGTCGGACGAAGCTCCGTAAGTGAGCGGCTCCCCGTCGCTGCGTCGACCTCTACTTTGTATAATCGGCACCTCCGTTACTTTTTCGTCCTGCTTCCCCCTTCGTGCTTGCACGACTGCCTCCCGTCGCGGCGCATGCTTTCCTTTCCGGAACATGCGATCGTTCTGGTGAGACGGGATTCTGAATCCGAAGAAGAAGCTGCGTCCCGTCCGTCGCTGGTACTCGTACACTTCCTCCGTGTACCATCGAGACACAAGGCAGGCGGCGTGGTGGGACCAGACCAGCCGTTCCACCAAGTTCCCAACGGCTGGTAGCCATGTCAGAAGTTGAAACAACAGGGCAAGAACCATGGCCACAAAGTCGCTCCCATCCGAAAAGATTTCGCGAGCTGTTTTCTGAACCGCAGTGAAGGCAGCCAGCATTGCGGCACGGCAGCGCTTGCGCGAAGGACATCGAGCGCCAGAAAGTTTTTTCCGCAAGGACCACCTGTATCGTACACTCGGCGCTCCTTCGGAAGATGAACCTGGGGCCGGACAACTAGGCGCCCTCCCCGATAGTGGAGGCCATTTTTGATGCTTGGCCTTTCTTTGTAATGCTCGCTCCTGCGGCTGCGCCTGCGGCACAGCACGATCTTGATCATGAGTCGAGGTCTTCTTGCAGCTGATATTTTTCGTCCCTTGGTCGTTTTTGCTCGCAGCGCGTTGCTTCGCGACTTCGCTGCGAACCTTGTTGCTCGCTTTCCGACTTGCTCCACTCGTTTGTCGCAGCCGAGAGCAGCGTGCTCCTGTTTCAGCTTCTGTTGTTCTTGTGGTGTCCTCCTGAATATTTTCATCAGTATCGCGACCTTTCATTTCGTGCGTCTTTGAGGTCGTGTCTTCACCGTCTGCACGTATCTGAAGAGCCTCCATCCTTTGGACTAATGATAATGTTCTTGACGAAGACAATTCTACTGATTCGCCAAAATCAGAAGTCGACATCGTATTCATACTCCTATTTTTCTTGAAGTCTCGAACTCGGTCGCGTATTCTTGAAGGAGGTTGTCCACCACGATCATGTCGATGTTGGTCTACTTCTTCATCTACTTCCATAGATGTTGATGTAGGGGAAGCTGACGAAGCCGCGGCACTCGACCAGAGCGATGAGGAACTGTCGCTACCACTGGAGGTGGAGGACCTCCTCGATGTTGCTCTCGCAGGACCACAAAGCGCGAACCAAGACAGCGGGGACGATGTTGGCCGGAACGACTGGAATAGCGTGCCACTGCTGGAAGTTTCCACGTCACGAGGACCGGTTCGTGAAAACGTTTCGCAAAGGTTTTCCCCTTCTTCTTCTAATTCTTGTTGTAATCCTGCGACCTGAGTAGAACTGAGGTTCTCGTCTCTCCTGTCCTGGATGTGCAGCCCAAGCACGTTGCTCTTTCCATCTTTGTTGCCATGCGAATCAATCTGGATTTTCTTGGTGCTACTAGAACTAGTGCCCTCATCATCTCCTGCAAAATCTTCTCCAATTGGACTTGGAGACAATTGAAGACATCTCGCCTTTCGACATGAGCTTGGTTCATCTACTGATCTGAATCGCGATCTCCGAGGTGTGGCAGGTGCTGGCGGTTGCACACTTGCTGGCAGGGGGGCTTGCGAAATGGTAATGGCATCCGAGGGTTCAGGTTCTACCAAACAAGGTGGCGTCGGTTGTCTGAAAAACAGAGAGGACCGAGTAGGCACTCCTCCGCGCAGACACCGTTTGCTTTCCAATGCTTCTTTGTCACCATCGACATGCTGGAGTAAACCCTTCCTGTTGCTCGTTGCATAGTCCGGAGATTCGTCGTTTATTTGATTCTCGCTTATTGTGATTTCTTTTTCTGCATCAATGGCCTCAAAGTCTGCGTCTGATCTGAGTTGGATTTCCGGTTCCGGCTCATCGGTGTCGCTTCCTTTCCTGCCCTTCAACGTATCGTTGTCGTCCAGCACAACATCAGACTCCCGTCTACTTGGTGCAGCTTTCGTATTCTTTATCGTTCCCCCGTCTTGCTGGCTGGTGGCATATGTTGGCATACACTCGTTAATGTTAGCGTTTATTGTCTTCAAAGCGCTATGCAGTGCAACAGCCGGCGTTTCTTGGTCTTGTTCGACATGTTTTATTTCACACAGCAATGGGGGACCGCACTGAAGGCTCCGTTTGTGTTGGTCAGGAGCAGCCGTGGATAGGAATGAAGGTGCGCCAGGTCGTCCTCGTGAGCCTCTCTTCGAGGACTGGGGACGAATCAAGCTGGATGAAGAATCTAACGAGAATTCGCCTCCTTCCTCGGGCCTTTCGTATCCGGGTGTCGATAGTCCATGCACCTGATTCAACTCGAGCAGAAAAGGACTACGCAAGGAGGTGGCATGATCACCATCTTCATCTTCGCCACGCCTGTCTATTCCATCCATGGAGGTCGGGCTCGGGCCTGGGCTAGTTTCGTATATGCGCTCGATGCGCCAGCAGCGCCGTCGTACCACCAGAGTCAGACGCCGAGGATGAATCGGAGTCATTTATTGCATCGTCCCAGGCGGCGCAGCATCCCGATCTTGCTTCCCTGTTCGGGGAGTCCGAATAGGCATAGACTTCAGCAACCCGCTCCGCAAAGCGAACACTCTTCAGCGGCACTCCCGCTGCTTCATCTTTTCTAGGTGTACATGTCAAATTCACTTGCTTATGCTTGTTGCACCTTGTTGCCGTCTCCGCGCCGGCTGCGCCTGGTGCTTTTTCTTTTTCGCCTCCAGCGGCTGCGACTATCCTCTCCTCGTGGATAGCAGAAGAGGAAGCGGGCGGCCGCAGGCAGCTTCGCAGGGGACTTGAAGATGAGGTCGACGATCGAAGACATTCATGACCACCTGCCGCGATGGAGAAAAGGAAGAACCTGCCTCCAGGCAGTAACAACACAGAAAGAACGAACGACGCGCGAGTGAACGCATTAGACACGGTCGACGCCATCTGATAACGATAAGCACCTTCACAGCCAGGAGGTAGTAAGTTTCAATTTTCGATTACTTTTGGCAGACCAGCATAAATACACGAACACGAATCTTGGTCTTCGTTTGCCAGCAACAACATTATGTTTATTTATAGTGAGCTCTTCCATCGTCAATGCCTCTAATATATGAATGGAGGAAGAATGTGCGTCTTCGGTTAACTCAAACATAATCATAAACTGGCACTGTGCTACTAGAGCCTCAGAAAAAAAAGCGGACAAGAATTGCAATTGGGCTATGATTTGCTTGAAAAACCGAAGTCAGAAGAACATGATGTCATCCACATCAGCTTCATTATAATTCTGCAAATTCCGCGTCCGCTACCACTATAGCAGCTGCGAAACGTCAGCACTACATTATAAAACATGTAAATGTAGATACGATCGGGATCGAGATGACCTCTGCGTGATACGATCAAGGAATATGTAGTCGATCCTCTTCTTTGACTGCCGGTAAAAAACACACCACAGAAAGAACAGAATAACACTTCTACGACATCATACGGAGGAAAAAGTAGATATCGAAACACAGATTGCAGCTGCACACTCGAGGATTGAGGACCGATACTACACTACGACAAGCCAGAGTGCGTAATATTCCAATTCCTCTTCGAGGATAATTAGAAGAAGAACACAAAACATGATGACAGTGACATGTTGCTAAACCGCCATCTTCGCTGTCCATCATGTATTTTCATTGTCATACCTGCAACCACAAAACAATCTATAAGAAAAATCAGGAAATGCGGCAAGAGTGACTTTCCATTCGCAGAAAGAGAAATCACGCAGCGGTTTACGAAATTATTATACAACTTTTTCGTATCGAATAATATTAATATAAAGTTTCTGTCACATTATTTCCGCATTCATTCACAATCAGAGCTGGAGGATTATGAAAAATCCTCCAGCTCTGCTTTTTTGGAAACTAAGTAGTACGTTATAATGCAGCTAGTCATCGCTATTTTATTTTTTATTTTTTTTTATTTATTTGATCCACTCTTGTTTCAAACAGACGTGGCGCTCGCTCTTTGATCCTGCTGTTCTGGCAGCGACCCACTGAACAACGAGGTTGTGGAAGCACAGTGAAACGAAACCCACCTACGCAACACGACATCTAGACGCGAGGCTGGAGGAGAGCATCGCGCTGGAGGGTGTGACCATGGCGGGCCGGCTCTTGCGCTGGTTCCTTATAGTTTCATCAATCAGAGGGCGCACTCCTGGTGCGCAGCACAGAATGATTATACTACGGTGTGTAGGGAGACGCTGCCTGAGCGGCAGGCTCCACGTGCGACTGGCACCAGGCCAGAAGTAGTGACGGTTGTACGTTCATGGTGGCAAAATGCCCCTCGTGCTCAAAAATTGCCCCTGTGCTGGGGCGGCGGTGGCCCGGCTGCGTCGCCGCCGCCGGCGGCACGGCGCCGCTCGTCTTGGTGTGCGCGCGTTTCGTATGCGACGTAGGAGAACAGGCGCGCCAGGCGCTGCGGGTCCGATAGCCCGACAAGGTCCCCGACTTCGTAACACTCTAGGAAGTGGGCCGGCGTGTCCGCAACGGCGTCGCACTTGGGACAAATACGGCCGAGAAGCCCGGCCGGGGTGAGTTGCTTGAAGCGGGTGGCGCCTAGTAGGCTTGCCGCAGTTACTTGGACCTCGCGACTTTCGCCCTGCGCGCTGAGTTCTTTGTGCAGTTTCTTGCAGGCCGGGCGGTCCGGGAGGAAGACACTGCTAGTCATCGCTATCGCACTAAGTAGTACGGCAATGATGGAACTTTGCAAGAGCTAGTCATCGCTATCGCACTAAGTAGTACGGCAATGATGGGACGTTGCAAGAAAACGAAACGAAGCGAGTCCGTTCGTCTGTTGCTTTCTAGCTTCAGTGTGTTGCTTTCTAGCTTCAGAAGTGTCTTCCTTGCCAACATAGGAGACGAAGGAGCTTCTTGCTTCTTAAAACAGCAATAACAATCAGCGACGCGGCCGCCACTTTTTTTTTTCGCAAGTCTGAGTCTCGTTGTTTCGATTCGCATAACAAGAAAATGCTTTTGTTGAAGGAGTTTTATACCGAGAGAGACCACTTTCAACCCCTCCCCGCCCGCTTTATTCCGCAGCGCATCGAAATCGAATTAGAGCGAATCAATGCAATGGAATCAATTGAGCCCCAACCACGTCGAAAAACAAAAAACAACCAAGGAGATAGGAAATGCAGGAGATTGCGATTACTCTTCAAGTTCGAGTCTATGTAGTTGTAGACTTAGATAGGCGCCATCACCAAGTCGATTTTGTGTTGTTCTTTTCCCAGAAGATACAGGCTTCAATATCTGGCATCATCACATCCCAAAAAGGAAGTTCGCGACACGACTTCTGTCGAAAACTATCCTCGACATGGTATTTGAGTTCTGCCGCTGGGGACACACTTCGTTCGAAGTGGGCTACCATTTTCTGGCTCAGGTAATCTCTTTGCTCCGGCGAAGCCACAGACACGGCGCAAGAGGCGAAATCTTTATCACCAAAACCTTGCGTCCTATGTCACGACTTGTCTTTTGAGCCAGGAGCTACAAGATCGATGAAGAACCTTAAGACAAGTGGTGTCGGATAAAAAGTAAAGGGATGTAACACTGCATACTACATCATACCCCTTTAATCTATCTTGCTCTTTCATGCAATAGACAAAATACTAAATTGTTGATGTGGAATAATTCTAAACCGATTTTACAGACATAGAAGAAGAACAAGAAACGACGAAAGAGAGAGAGAGTGGAGGGAAAGGACAACACTTCTGCCCCTACCGTCCAAAGCAAATCTGCCACGCTGCAGTTTAATAAAGTAAAAAGTACTTCTCTCCTCTAGATCCTAGAAGTGCTGAAGCTAGGAAGAGGATAACTCTGGCGCCGCCGCCTCTCCCTCTGCTTGTTCAGCCGTTCCCGTTCCGTATTGTTGGGGTTCGCTTGCTTGTTGTAGTGTAATGGGCGCTGACACAGCCGCGGGTCGATGGTCAGACTCTTCCGCGCGCATGTAGGTCGAAGTTCTTCCAGCACGACTCGTCAGCCAAGTTGGGTGGTCCGCAGGAGACGGGGCGACGTTGGCTCTCCATCGCGGACTATGAAAACCACACGCACAAGTACCGGCGGCCTCGCTATCAATGCTACGAGATGACATGACTATGAAGGACGAAGCACATGATCAACGAACAAGGACGTCGCTTGTTGCGTTTGCTGCGTGAGTCAGGGGTTGACAAATCAAAGCGTGAGAACCCCAACCGAGGAGTACGAGGAACGGGAAAGTTTTCGAGTCAGGAGTTTAATACTCGGAGGCCGCCGTGTGTTCACTAGCATACCCGTGGCTGTGTCGAGGTGTTCTTCTGCCTGGTGCCGCATCCCCTGGGGGCACCGGCTCCTGGTAACGCGCACGCAACTGTGACACCGCTGCGCGGATCTGATTCTTTTTTGGTGTCATATCGCCCACTACCAACGAGGCGAGGGCATCCAAGACCGCTGCCCGCCAAAGTTTCGGGGAAAGCGAATGGGAAAAGGAGTCAGAGCTGCTGGACCCGCCGACAGGATTTTGGAGTAACGGACGGTGCTCAACAAGGACCACCTCGTAGCAGGCGGCCTTTGGAGTGGTTTTGACGGTTCTTGGCGCAGGTTGTGCCACCGAGGAGGAGGCCGACGCGCCAGCAGCTCCTCGGGCGTTGCTACTACTATCTTCGCTATCCATAACAAACATTTCATCTGGGTCTCGTGGATATCTCACAGAATGCAATTGCTGCGTCTTGTTGCTGCCCCTGATCGCTACACGAAGCGTGCTCCAACCTACTTTCGTACGACATAGAGAAACGATGTAAAGCTCCAGCTTCTGACTGAGACGAGCCAGGGGCATCGTAGTTCATTAGATACTTCATCATCAAGAAATCCAAATTTGCTACCCGTCATCGTCCAGCACCAGCTTCAAGAACAGCGGAGCAAAAACTTGCAGAAAAACTTAGTGCCTACAGAACATGCAATACTTTGGTTTCAATTTTTGGCGGCGTCGGCCGCGTGGCCGAGGTCGTTGAGACCCAGAAATTTCGTGCCAATGCGTAGAAGCTGAAGGAAGAAGTATCGAAATTACTGCGCTTGCTGTCCCAGTCCCGGCGCCGGTCCTCCGGTCGGTCGCTAGAAGTTCTTTTGCATTCAGTAAGGGCGAAATACAGCTGGCGTCCCGGCTCCAAGACGGGCAAGATATCCTCAGTCGCGGCGGCGCCGGTTGTCCTCGCGAAAGGTGACGCTGTAGTAGTCCATTGGCCTCCTGCCCCAGTATTCTCTTCGTCATTCATGGTATGGGTATCATCTTCTCCGACAAACGGCGGGACAGAGCCCACAGTGGCTGTCTTACTCTTTGCATCCCCAAAAAAAGTATGCGCTGCAAATATGTCCTGTGGAGGCGGTGTCGGTCTCCCGGATGAAGATCGCATAACTTTCTGTGTCGCTGAGCTCGCTCAGGAAGGCTCACTCCTGCTGCACACTATCCTGGATGCTGCGAAACATTAAGAAACTACAGTGCGTGATTCTTTTTCTTTATTTACAAATAAAAGGCGGGAGCGAGGACCTCTCAGTCACGTAACAGAATGAATTAGAGAGCTGCCCCTAAATAGCAATTCGTTGCACTTGGCGGCGTCGGGCGCTCGGTTTCTCATTCATGAATCAAAAACCTCCGGCGTCTTCACAGCTTTCCCGGGTACAACTTACTCGTCAGATGAGATATTTGCAGCGCATAGAGCGGGACAAGACCCGGCTCGCACCGCAGCTGGCCGTCGGTGCAGGATTTTCGTTGTCGCCTAAGGATTTCGATGGAAAGCAGATCGGCTAGCGGGATCACGTCGCAGTTCGTGCTAAACACGGGGGCGTCGCTGACCTTGTCATCATCTTCCCCATCGGGTGGAGTTGTCCGTACCCCCGACGTCAAGACCGCGAGACCAGCTGTGCCGCGGTTCTTATGTGTTAATACAGAAGCCGCGGAAGGCGCCGAACGGGGGACGCTACTTGATTTGTCCCAGAAGCTTTCGCTACTAACTGATGCAGGACCATGGTGCGAAGGTGCGCAAGCGCCCCGCGCGAACCCGGTGACGTCAACGCTCCTCACGGTACTACGGGACTGCACCGGCTTCGCCGAAACTGCAGAAGTTGCGGATGCCGAAGCTCTTCCGTGCGCGCTGCTGGACGAAAGCACTTCAAACGCTGCGTGGTCCCCGTCCCCTGCACCAGTTAGGTCCGCAGACAATGACACGAGGCTTCCACTAGTCGGAGCTGTAGTCATTTTCAGGTCCCGAGCAATTTTTTCAGGATCACCAGTCGGCCAACGAGTCGGCCCTGACAGAAACACCTGTGACGCTTCTCCGGGGAAAGCAAATGACAGGGGGCGAACAGACTTATGGAAGCGTCAGGTTGGAAATTGCCACCTCGGAACTGATATGCACCAGGTGCATGACAACTGCAACTGGTATGCGGAATGAAATAGAAAATAAAAAGTGCACTCGTCATCTAGCATGATGAACTTCCATCATGCAGGGGAATGCGAAAAAATTGTAGGCGCAACTTTCTGCATCTTCGTGAAGATTATTCCCAACTGACGGAACCATGCATAGGTCTCCTGTGCCACATAGAAGTGAAATCGGGACGATACCTCCCGAGTGCGCATATCGCGATACTTCTCCTGCAAATACCTCCGGTATGCGACCTCCTCCGGAGAGCCATGCCGTCCGCGGCCGCTTGCCACTGCGTAGTTGTCTTCCAAATCCAGCAGTTCAGACGAAAGGCGGGCCTCGTCCGTAGTATGCAAGGAAAGACCCTACACCTTCTGCAACGGGATCACGGTGAGCGTGAGCCTCTAACTGCGCAACCAATATAGAACGAAATTCTTAGCTGCTACAGGGAAAAAATGGAGCTCGGCCCCCAGATGCGAATGCGTGGTTTATCACGCTATCACTTTCGTGCCACAACGAACCTAGCATCAAACCCGTTCGATCAGGGCGCGCTAGCATATGTGGCAAAAGCATGCGTCGAACCTCCTCTGACAGCAGGAGGCGCCGCCTGAGAGGCGCTTTTGTTCAATTGAGAATTGTTGTTTTCTGGATGGGAGACGAACCCCTGTCGGAATAAGTTTGTAGGAACTCCACCATCTCCGATGATACTCAGCTACATGATGACGCAATTGCAAATCGTATGAAGCGCAACTCGTGGTGGTCTTTATGTAGGGCAGATGAGGATAACAAGGACCACGCTGCAGACGCAGCTTCTTCTTTCCTTAGGGGCGCAGTACTAGAAAGATTTTTCCATTCATGTTCGTGACAATCGGGCGGTCAATATCGGGAACCCAATCAAGACAATTCTGCTCCCCGCGCCGACTCTGGGCAGCAGAATCCGTGTCCGGTTCTCTACCGGTTTCCTTCTTGCTGACGAGCGGGAAAGACTGAGGATCGGAACTGAAGCACTCTGTGAGTTTGTTGTAGCACTATACATATTCGCGCAAAATAAACGCGGATTGATAACAGAGCCCAAGCCGCTGCTAGAAGACCAGCTCTGACAGGTTGCAACAACAAAATCCAGCAAAATCTTGCTGAACTTACGTGACCACCAATGCAAAAGAAACACCAGACGAGCGAGGCATCGAATACAAGCCTCTTGACGCTTTGCCCTACGTTGGAGTTGCAATCGCGGCCGCTAGTACGAACGAGTCATTATAAATCTAGTTGCTGAACAAACCTCAAATTAACCGATATTTGAGAAACGAAAAAACAGACTTGGAATCTCAGATCTGGAATCTCAGATCTGGAATCTCAAATCTGGAATCTCGAATCTGGAATCTCAAATCTGGAATCTCGGATCTGGAATCTCAGATCTGGAATCTCAAACCTCAAATCTCGAAGCTCGAATCTCGAGTCTCGAGATATTTTAGATTTGAGAGATTCGGATTTGCGAGATTCCGATTTGAGAGATTCAGATTTGAAAGATTCAGATTTGAGAGATTCAGACTCGGGGTATTCAGATTCGAGATATTCAGGCGCGGCGGCTTTGGAAGCCCACAGCCAGGCTGTGTGTGGGCTTCCAAAACCGCCGCGGCGGATTGCGGGCCTCCCTGCCTCCGGGCCTTCTTTCGGCCTTTCGGGACTTCTTTCGAGCTTTCGAGCGCCTTCGGGACGGACCTCTTTCCGGCCTGCGAGCCCGATGTGTTTGCGCGTCAAACTTTCGGGCGTCGCCCCTTCGCGCTTTCGTGCTTCAATCTTGCGGCCCCAAGACCCCAGGGCCCGGGGCTTGCTTAACACTCGCCGAGCGTGCGAGCCTGACAGCGAAGGCCGGCCCCGAAAACGAAGGGAAGCCACGCGGGGCCCGAAGCGAAAGCCAAGGAGACGGCCCGAAAGCGAAAGCCTGGCCCGGCTGCGAAATCAAAGCGGCCCGGCAGTGAAAGCCAGCTCCGAGACCGAAACACAAGCGCCAGAGCGGAGGAGAGCGAGAGCCACGCCCGGCAGTGGAAGCTAGGCCCGAAGGCGAAGCCAAGCCCAAAAGTAAGTGGCAGCCAAGCCCGAAAACGAGGGCTGGGCGCGAAAGCGAAGGCCGAGCCCGAAAGCGAAGCAAGGCAAAACACGAACGCGAAACAAAACCCAGCCCGAAAGCGGGCGCCAGGCCCGACAGCGAAAAAAGGCGGCGCCCGTCCGTCCGAGAAAGCAGATGGGGGCCAAACCCGATAGCGAAGGCCAAGCCCGGAAGCGAAAGCCAAGGCCGGAGACACAAGCCGGGCCTATGGAGGCGTCAGGATCGAAATTCTTAAAATCGAAAAAAAATCCCGGGACCCCCTGGAGGGGGGCTGGTGTTTCGCATTTCGATTCTGACGCACTCGGCCCTTTTCGAGCTAGCCACCACGGTATGCTTGAGTGTGTCAGAATCGAAAGGGGTCCCCGAGGGGTTGCCCTGGAGGCCCCCTCAAAGGACTGCCGGAATTTTTTTTCGATTTTGTCGATTTCGATCCTGACGCTCCCATAGGGCCCGAGAGCGAAATAAAGCCAAGCCGACAAGCGAAAGAAGCTAACAGGGCCAAGGCCGAAAGCGGAAGCCGGGCCCGGATGCGAAAGCCGAGCCCGGAAGCGCAGGCAGCGGAAACGCCACGCGCGAAGGCGAAGGCGCAACCCGAAAGCAGGGGCCAAGCCCGAAAGCGGAGACCAGGCGGGCCCGAAAGCAAAAGCCAGGCCCGAAAGCGCCAGTCCAGCCCGAAAGCAAAAAGCCCAGCCCGACCGAGAGCGGAAAAAAGGCCCGAGAGCAGGGGGGGCGCCTTTTCCGCGGACCTTCCTTCGCTTCGCCGGCGCGCCTAGTGCTTGGGCGCGTGCGTCCATGTCAGTCTGTGTGGCAGCGGCCAGCGTTGCATGTCGGGATGCGCCTCGCCGTCGCTTCCGGCACAGTCGGCCCCTGCCGCTGCGGCCTTCACTCCGGCAGGGTATGCGGCTAAGCGGCCGGGCGGCCGCTCAACAATGATCGTCCCCACGGCCTTTGACGCCGCGGGGCCGGCGTACGCCGAGGCGGCGGGGGCGCATGCCCCGGCATTACACGCGCAACTACGGACACCCCCCCTCTGCACCCTGCCCTTTCTCCCGCTGTCCCGCCGCCGGATCTGTGTGGCAGTGGCGGCAGCCGTCGTGGCCCGCCCGGGCGCGCCCGCCCCCGACGATCTATGTGGCGTCTTCCTTTGGCCAATGCGGCACCTGCCTCCCCGGCCGCCACGCCTTCCGGGTGGGCAGGGGCCTGGGCGGCCGGACTTTCGCAAGCGCCCGCCACCTTGGCTTCCGCCGCGGGGCTTCTTCGCGTCGTGGGGCGTTCGCCAAAGGGGGCGCGCGGGCGTGCATCTGCTGGCCATTGCCGTGGCGCTACCTACGGGCGCCCCCCCTACTGTCGTCCTGCACCTTCTGCCGCTGCCCCCGTGTTCTTTGCCTGGATGCATGGGGGCCGCCGTCGTGGTGCGGCGGGGTGCGTCTTCTACGGTCTCTGTGGTGCTGCTCCTGGCCAGCTCGACCCCAGTGTCTGTGGCCTTCTCAGCCTGCCGGGCTGGAACCGGAACGGCCTGACTATCGGCATTGATAGATCTACTCCCCTCGTGTGTTTCTATGTTTCTCGTTTCTCAAAGATCGGTGGCGACAGGAATTGCGCAACTTGTATTAGAACAGGTAAAACTCTGAAAACTTCTCGTCATCAACAAGCAGTGCGAAATCAGTTGTGAGTCTTACCAAGCGCCAGCGTCCGCAACGTGCTGGAAAAACGGGCTTCGTCCTCGCATGGTATTCGCGCACTGCTGGGATTCGCATTCTCTGTCCCTCCTTCACGAGCTGCAGCTCGGTCTCCTGCATCACCTGCCAGAAACGAAGAGCCTCTGACTCTGTCCGCTTCATTTCTGCCGCGTTCCTGCCATTTCTTCTGTCCTCGGAGGACGCTTGTAAGTGTAACCCTCTTCATCTCGTGCAAATTCGCAGTGACGTGCACGCGGAGAGAAGACTGCGAATCTGATGAGTCCGGCTCGTGTTGTTCACGCTCGCAACAAGGGCCAGCAGATCCGTCAGCTTTACTGCCAATCTTCGTGCTGCTTAGGCTTTCGTCGTCACAGCCGCGTTTCAGCGAAGAGAAATCCGACGAGCGACGGGTCCGCTTTTGTTGCCGTTGCCTATCATGATCTTTGTTTTTCTGCTTTTCCTCAACTACCGCAGAATCGGAGTCCTCACACCCCTGCGAGCTGCTCCGACTGCTTGCGCAAAGCTCTCGACTGCACTCCGGCATTTGGAGTCTCAGCGTTCCCCTTTCCATGCTTGCGCTTGCCGTTGGATCACTGTTGTGCGATTACGTTTATTCTTCTTCTTGACTTTATGAATCATGAAGAGGAGCTATATTTTTATTTACAAAGAACTGTCTAGCTCCGCCTTCGTGCTCAGTTTCCATTTGCGACGCGGCTTGCGGCTACATTTGTATCTGGCACAATAACCACCAATGCGGGCATGTACAGGCTTTGGGCATGCCGTCACAGAGATGTCGCGTGATGCACATCAATGTCCTCGCATGTGGTTGAGCTCGAGCTGGAAAATTACAACGCAGATTGAGGACTACAGTAAAAGCCGCAGACGAAGACTTAGAGCTAGAGATAAGCCGAGACAAACAATAAATACTTCTCTTCCACCAGACGATCTGAGTTTGACCACTACCCTATGAAAATGCTAGGTAGTAGAGGACAAGAAAAAAAAAGAGTAGGCACATCTTCACTGCGACTGCAACTCGGACTGCAAAGCACCAGATACCTGGTTCTGTCGCAAACATTTTCACATCTCGCCGGGCGTGCACCTTTGCCAGGTGTCGCGAAGTCCCCGGGTGGTTGCTCGTCGCCGCCGCCAACATACCCAAGTGGTTGCGAGTCGGAGCCGCCAAGTCGTAGCTGTTGGCGTGGTAGTGCTAGTGAAAGCCCGGCTGTGTGGAGAAGAGAGGGAGATCCATATTTATCCGTATGAAAACGCCAGCCTCAGGTGGGGAGGCACCAGCTTGGAATTAGTCGACATGGCGAGAACTGCGCCACGCCACGCGCATGAACATGCTTACACTGGCATTGCAAAAGAGCTAGGGCTAGTATGTGATGCCTATTGTCGTGAGCGCGGCCGCTACGGTCCTCACCCAGGGTGTTTCTGGATTGCATCGCCGACGCAGCGGGGCATGGATATTAAATGCATAAAACGAGGGCATTGGAGGCAAACTCAGAGCCTTTAGTATTTTGCACAACTCCGACGCGGTAAAAATTCTAATTGTGCTGGGTCTGCGTCTACTGCATGGCGTCGGTCATTTTTCAAGCTGACGCGACGATCTCTCGCCTGAAGCACGTCCCATAGTGCGGGCAATCGATATCGAACAAAGCTGCCACCGAGTTTCCGGACGTATCGCGACTGCTCCGACTAGTATTACGCGATCGGCTGCTGTCGAGAATAAATTGAAGTTCTTCATCAACATCGTCGCTCTTGTCTGTGTATGCCCTTCCGGCGTCCTCCCCTCCGTGAGGTGTGTAAGGTCTGTAGCCCCCCTCGTAACTACGCCGCTCGTCACCGCCCGCGTCATCTTGCGCGGAGATTGTCCCGCCTCCACGTGCTTCCTTGCGCAACTCCGGTGCGTCGGGCTTTTTGTCCTCGCTTGTCCCCACGGTTCGCGCCCTTTGACACGAAGAACCGCGAAGGAGCAAATCAGAGCGCAGTGGTGAGGACGAGCTTTGTGGTGGAAGGAGCAAATCATGGACATGGTCCCCGTCGTGGTTGTCATCTGTGTGCTGGTGATCTCTGTGGTCCTCCGAGGACAGGGAAAATGACAAGGACGACGAATTTCTCGCAATGCTGCCACCAGCAGTAGGCTGCAACCGCGGATGAAGAGATGTTGACGCGTCTATCGGCCGGTGGTCGTATGACGGGTATGGCGGCTCTACCGGGTAGTTTGTCAACTTGAACATTCTGGCAGTGGCAGAGCTGCTGGAGGAGCCACTATGTTGCCCCAGCGCGGAGGCATACGAGCTTACTTTCCCTTTGGGCTGCAAGTAGTAGGGGGCGAGGTCTGGCAAATGCGGATCCTCGTTTGCTGCCGGTTTTTTTTCTAGGATGAGAGGCTCGTGGTCCGCCAGTTGTGCTGCAACTCGTGGAAAGCTGTACGCAGGGCCCTGTGCCTCTCCGGTCTGCTCGCACTGCTGTTGGCGCTCCGCATCAGGGAGTTGTGCAATGTGAGAAGCCTCCCGCAGCTGGTGCGTAATGGATGTGTCATGTCCGTCCCCGGTACTCCCACCGGGCGGGAGAAAAGTAGTCTGGTGCTCAAGTAGACGATCATGCTCCGGATGCTTTTCCAGCAAATATTCCCTGCGCGGGTCTTCTTGTTTTTGACAGGACGGCGAGGAAGTGCTCTCCACCAGAGAGGATGATCCTGCAGTGATGGGCAACCCAGAAAAGACTCTTCGTGCTGCTGCAGCATCGTCGCGATCGCCCACGACCTCGCCCTCGCGGGTGGTGGTCGCGTCCTCCGATATAAAACAGAAATCAGACGAGGCAGGCGTCGCAGTGGTGCAACCCCCTAGCGTCCGACGCGCCTTGAGGTCGAAGTCCGCATCTTGGAGGTCGGTGGCGTTGCGTCTAATGTAGTAGCCACCCGCTTGCTCGTCGTGGTCCTTGTCTTTCGCTCCTTCGCCTTCTGTTTTTGTACTCGACGTCGGGTCGTGTTGCAGCCATGCTTCTCCTTCTGTCTTGTTATCACTGGATAGAAACCAGTCGCGGTATTGAGCAGGGTTGACATGATCATGATCATCCCGGCTGTCGTGTTCCGCAAACACGGGGGTGGACCTTGTTGTTCGTTTTGGGGTCAGTAGCTCCTCGATGTTCATCTTTAGCTTGTTGGAATAAACATCGTCTGGCGCAGCTTGTTGTTTCTCGTCATGTTCAAGTCGCCGGTCGTTGCAACAAGATTCTTCCGCAGGAGAGGGCGAAACGGGACGAGGTCGACTCGACCGAAAACCATAGATGAACACTGGCGCAGCTATGGCTAGCACTAGCACTCCCGCGGGTCCTCCTGCAAACGAAATGCCGGGTAATTTGCTGCTGCGACGCAGATTTTTTTTTGCGTAACGTACTTGCCTTTGCTTCGATTCGTTACGATTTCCCTCTTCCGAGATCGTCGCTCGTCGCCCAGGAGGGGTCGGTCGTGGTGACGCAGCCCCGGCGAAATGCAACGACATTTATTTGTGTCTTCAAGAAGATTTTCCAAAACGCAATTGAACCAGACACAGGCAGCAGATACGATGATGTACATATACTAGGCTGTTGTATAAGGGGGGGCTGGCACAGATGACGAAGGTACAGATGAACAGATGACACAGATGACGAAAGTTCGACGGGAAGCCGAAGAAAAGGCACAGATGACAGATGACAGCCCGCACTTCACTCGCCATTTCTTGGGCGGAGCGAGAGATTTGGAATGAGGCGGAACGTCGTCGGTCTACCCTAAGTATTTTTTGCCTGAATCTGTTCGAGGCGGGAAGGTGTAGTGCACAGCACCGCCTAGCTATCGGCGTATATGCGCAGCACCGTCGTGCTCGTGCCTTTGCTATTAGGAATGCTGGCGCATCGGCCCACAGGGTGGGGCCTATGGAGGTGCTGCCACTCCATCTGCTCGCACCGTGAAAGGCGCACTTTCTCGGCGACACTGGAGAGCCGACCCTCTTTTTTGTTTTGTTTTTGATTTTGGGGCTCCGGTTTTCGCTGTTCGAATGCTCGTCATCTGTGAACACAGATGACCAAAAAAAGCCCCGCAACAAAACTCGCAAAGTTGGTCATCTGTATCATCTGTGTCATCTGTTTCATCTGTCATCTGTCTTGTAAAACACTCTAATATACGTCGACAGAAATAAGATGAAACACCAAGAACAGTGCGATACACGAGGGTGCCGGGTCCAATGCACCACTCAAATATCTCAGCCTATGTTCAGAGGAGAGCTATCTATTATTTTCTTCGATCTTGAGCTTGACGATGATGATCTTGATCTTCTTATTCTTCGGCAATCTCCCAAAATAATAAAATCGGTTGTAAGGTGCGACGTGCTTTCGCGTCGCAGGGTAGAAATTACACCAAATCGTACTTCGATTGTTAAGCAAATGGGAGCAATCAATTCGTAGGAGCAAGCACACGACTGATAGGTCTTGTTCGTCTATTCAGTCTCTTTACACGCCTTCCGGTTCCGATGTTTTTTATTCCGATATGGATATCATCGTAGTCTTAACATCCATGCATGCGGACACTAAAGCAAGAACAGCGCAATAAGGAATCTTCAGGCGCAGTTATTTGTATTTCAAACAGAAAACTGCAAACCTTTCGTACTAAATCTACCAGTGGAGACTTTTTGAAACAAAATAAAATAAACCATGCCGAAGCAAAGGGCCTGGGCGGAACAGCGATTGCGCAAACAGATACAGGAAGAGGATCGGAAAGTAGAGCCAACATTACATCGATAGCCATCAGTAGAAGTAGTGTTGTACAAATAAACAAACTGCGTCGACTAACTTGATCCACTTCGAGAGCTTCTCCGCCTTGAATTTGTTGATCTTCGCACGACGCGATGAGGTGAAAAAAGAACAAAATGAAAATGCACTCGACGCACAACAATAGTGAAGTTTTCCTTTTTTTCCTCAAAGTATTATAAACTTGGCCCACTGGCAGCGATAGGCCAGGAACAAAACGTAAACGATCATGTTGATGCCATTGCTCGTAGAACAAGCTGTCGTCACATCTTGTGGTTCACGTGCTGAGTGACGAGAGAGCGACAACGTGCCTCATATCCATGAGCTGAGCACATGACTCAAGGTTGGATCCTGACATCACCTATGACACTTATCCTCCGCGTGTTGATCCCTGTTGGAAAATAAGAAAAGCGCGCCTGCGGGGCGGGCGTAAAGTCTGATGAAATTCTTGACGTTACAGCTTCAAAAGGAGTACGAACAATACTACAGATCGCACATGATAAATTGGCACTGAAGATGTTTGATGACGTGTGTCGTTGTATCCAGTACTATGTTTCTTGGCCAAAAATGGCAAAAAGAGAAAAGGAGGTCCTTGTTTGTGAATCATGGTCAATCTTCTTGGAAGGTTGAGTAACTTTTGGTGCGCGGCGAGCGGCAAAATGGCAACACGCCACGGGAAAGAAAATGCCATACCTCCTGAGATGAAGAAGCTCAAAGAACGTGCGTTATCGTTTTCATCGAAGCGGGAAACTTTTGTGAGAGAGAGAGAGAGAGAGAGAGTGAAAGGCACAGCTACATATTTAATCTACAACCAAAAGCACGACTTTCGCTCAATTTGAATTTCAGCCCGACACTGATGCGGCAGGGTGTTGCAGTGTAGGAGCGGTGCCACTGTAGGTCGCGAGAATGTTGGGTGGCTGCATACCAGAGGAGAACTGAGAGCTCGTTTGCAACCTTGCCATTTCAGACTGCAACCGCATCTGCATCTGTTTTTGGAGTTGGACAGCATGAACATCCCATGATCATGAAGCGACTGTTGTATCTAGTTCCAGTCAAACAAGATGATCAAGATCATGTGGTGCGTACTTAAATTTTAGAAAATCATATTCACTAACGGCCTGTTTCTGTCCCTGTTGTTCTTTCTATGGCTTGCCGCATTCACTTGTGCCTGGTAAGCAGAAATTTACAGGAGCAGTGAGATGATCACCACCGCACATAGATAAGTAAAGCGCGTGAGGAGCTTTGGAAATATTAAGCTGGTACCTCCTGTTGCTGTCTCTCCATGTCGTATTGCTGCTTCTGCATTTCCTCCTCGGCTTTCTTCTGAGTGGACTATGCAATTACAAATGACCTGTACGGCAGAAAATGAAAATGTAAACTGCTGAAAGTGCTTCTCTGTTTGGAAGTCGTTACGACATTTGCTCGCTGCAGCAACGCAGTCCTACTTGTAGTTGCCAGATTCAGATTTATGTTTCAATGGCAAAATTATTCATCGCTGCTCCACTTCTACTACGTCTGTTACTGTTCCTTCATTGTAGATATATCATGCTTTCCTTTGTCGCATATTTTCTTCCGAAGCATTCATATCATAAATACCTCCTTAACATCAGAAATACAAACATGCCGTTTTCGGCATAAGGAACTACGACTACCACAGGCATTGTTTGCGCTTCGTAAGTAGTCGAGTATGAGTTGCATGCTCTGTTGCTCGAGCTGCGATTTTTGTGTTCCCGCTTGATTTTGCAGCGTCATCTTCTGTTCCTGGTACTGTTGTTGAAGTGCCATCTGCTGCTGGTTGGTTTCCAGATCCACTTGCATCGCGAATCTAGCAGGTGTTGGGAAAAAGGATGACTGGAGAGATTAGCAAGAGGACATAGACATCAAACATAAGTTACCAAAAACGAGAGCAGGGATGGAAGACTTTTTACTCAACCTCCATACAAAACACATTTTGGTCCGTTAGACATAAACCCTTAATATCGACTTCCGTTGAGGCGCCGCTCTCTTGCCGTTGCGTCCTCACAGTCACAGTGATTTGGTGTCACAACTTCTTATATCTTTTTCCACTCTTTTTTTCCTTGCCTCCAGCTCAAGCGCGGTTTTCAGTATCTATACAAGAGCCTATCGTATCCCAAAATACAACAGCAAAAGAAAAAATACTGTTTCTTCTGCTGTTCTGCCTGCGCTGCGAGATACTCCTTTTGGTGCTTGAGCTGGGCGTCCAATGCAGTGACTCCCTGTTTCATTTGCTGCTCGAGCATGTTCAAATATGCTTCTTTTTGTGTCTGCACCGTTGCAGGATCAGGGATTCCTGCGGTTAGCGGGGCAGGAGTACTGTGGAACGCATACTGCGTCGTGGAAGCTGACAGCATGCTCTGGACCGACATAATTGCTTTGGAAAATAATTTATTTTCTACTTCTATCTCAGAGGTGCCAGAAGATTAAAATGTTTGCGTAGGTTGTACCGCAACCGACTACTAGAATGAAGGATTGGATTCGTTTGGTCGTAATGTTGTCGTTCTAGTAATTTGGATTCATCGGAAATGTTTCTGAAAGCGAGGGGAGCGGGCCAGGGCCTCCTCCCACTAATTGGCGTCATTGTCGACCAATGCCGAAACTTTGGTACAACACCGTCACAGCACCACAAATAATTCTGAGTGGGATTACAACGAGGAACGAGGAACCGTGTATATCGATGCAGTCTCGCAATGTGCTGGCCGTGGCCGTCACAGGATCTTTGCATGCTTGCACAGACACAGCACCGCAACCGGCGCATTGAGCTAATCCTAATTGATGAAACGAAGATCGTACTACAACTAGAGTGAAACAATCACAACCGCATTGCAACAGGACCCTGATATATACTGATCCTTGCACCAACAACAAGCCGCGGATCTGCATCAAGAGAACGACACAAGCATAACAGCTGAAAAATCCGTCGAGTATTATTCTTTAATCATGTCATTGCCACGGAAAAGGTAGATCGCGCGACGTGATCCTCAACGAAAATCCTTCAACATCTACATCGGGGCTCGCCGCAAGCAGTAGACCACCTGAAAATTGTACTCAGTGACCGTACAGGTACACCAACCAGCACAACACCACGAAATATTCATTGCTTTCGCTTCCTCCGATCTGAACTCAGCGTCCAGTTCTAGTAACAAATGTAGAACAAGAACACGCGCCGCCGCGTAGCCATATCGTGCGTGTCTCAAGCGACGCGGAGAGAAGCTTGGTTTGGCATGGAAGGATGCCGGTTCTTCGACAACATCTTTTTTTCTCTGCAGCGTCACTACGTACATCAATTTGTGCTTCTACTACTTGCAAAAAAATCACTTCCTCCTCCTCCTGCACGACCAAATGTTGTTAGACATAAACTAGCAATCGGCTCTTCACGGCCACGCATTTTCGCTTTCGCGCGACGCGGGTGGACATGGCTCGCTAGATAGCCATGATCAGCAGAATCCTACAGTTGCAAAAAAACAGAATGAACACCACGACGCGGCATTCCAAGCGTTCTACTACATATCAGGCAAAGACGGACAACAAGTGCTAGCACGCCTTTGTCCACAACGCGTGGCTCGCCGTCGTGTAGTTTTAGTCATTGTGATTTAACGTTAAAAACGCATGAGGTTGTTGACATTGAGTATATATTAACTAAAGCTTGTTCGAACATGTCGATAATCTCGATTTTTTGGTCTTCATCTCTGAGGTGATGAACCGCAAAGATGCTCCTGGCGGAGAGCTTGTTTAATTTATCATATCGGTGTCAGATTTAGAGAAAAGTACAGTGAAGAGAACCTCCAATGTGAAGATGCAGCTATTGCCAGTCCCTTTTCCTAGTGTACCTCCTGCATGACAAGACACGCGCCTCTATTTGACCGCAACACCTACAGAGACACAGTTAGGTACTGATGCCCGTAACGCGGCGTGAGCATACTCGGACCGACTTGCCACGTGTCGAGCTCGGGCCGGTAGAACCTGTTTTCAGAAAAGATGTTCTTCAGATCCTTTATTCAAAATTTAGTACAGCAACAGATTGATTTTTCAAGGTTGATGTCGTTGGCCTTGGCCTGCGTAGCACAGAAGGTAGCCTGGCGCCTACTTTGCAAAGCAGACAGCTTCAATATAACAACTAGGACCAGCTTTAATTCTGCCCTTGTTTTTTCCGCTTATCAAAAGCGACACCAAGGAAGATGAAGAAGAGACAAAGATAAAAACGGAAGATACTCTCTGAAGAAGAGACAAGGATAAAAGCGGAAGATCATTGATGGTAAACAAAATGATAAGAAGATACTCTGTGCTCGCGAGAATGTCGCCACTTTGCCCGCCGCCGACCATGATGGAATCGGAAATGTATCCCGTGAAAAACCATCCCGCAGGTGCTCACATCATTTTCATAATTGAAACAAACTTCAGGCTCAAGCGCTCGCGGTGCACTGCCGTGTTCGTGTATGTAAGCATCACCCCCAGTGCTGCACTTTTGCGATCATGCTTAAATTGAAGATTACACCTGGGGGTAGCTTACTTTTGCTCCGCGTAAAATCACCGTAGCTGCAAAATCCATCCGACTGACTTGCATGCTCTTGTTATACATCCACGTCACGGTCTCCTGGTCCAATGATTCCACCTGATGAGGATAAAAGCAAATGTCTTGTTCGGTGTCATGCGATCACGAAAGAAACTAAATTGAATTATGGGCTGCGTGCTAAATCGCAAGGCAACTACCCAACCGGCTCAGAAGTTGTAAAAGACAGCCTCGCGCAACCATGCAATCAGATTCTTGAATTATCGACCTACAGTAGGAGAAAAGAAGTACTGAGTAGTGTATTGTTTGTTGGTTGTCTGTGCCGCCAAGTGCGTATATTTGTGACAGGCAGGTCAGCGCCTGCCCAGCACTTCGAACGTCAATCATGTCCACGTCAAATGGGCTCCATCGATTCATTTTCGGCTCGAAAAACTCGACTGTTTTGAGCCTCTTGCCGCTTGTACCTGTGGGAGTTCCATTTCTCCAGATATTTATCCGGCGGTCGATGATGGAGATCGGAGTTTTTGATCAAAGTTAAAGAGCGACAATAAGTTACAAATAGTGGAGTTCAACATGAAGTGGAGAAGTAGAAGACACCACGTAAAATCAAAGTCTGTCATTTCTACTTCTGGCGGAGACCACTCTGACTATTGAAATCTAAGCGGTGGCCCGCCGTGGAATCAGTACAATTGTCAGATATTGATGTGCAACAAGCGGAACTACAAGAACCAAGGTAGGCTACCTCCGAGCACGAAGATCTTGCCGCCATGCACACAGGACATAGCCGAGGAGCGTGGTGTGGTCATTCCCGCGTTTTCCATCCAAGACTTCATGCGTGGGTCGTAAGACTCCACGTGAGAGAGAATTTGCGATCCGTCAAAACCCCCCATAATGTACACTTTTCCGTCCACTTGTTCCGAGCAGGCGCTTATGGAGAGGCACCGGGAGAAGAACGTTTGCTGTTCCACGAAGATGTGAATCCTTTCAGGCCGCGCTCAAGGAACGAATCTACGAGTAGCCACTTATGGAGCGTGAACATCTTCACTGTGAAGACTCGTGTGTGTTCAATTCTTTTTTTGAGGTCTTCCTGCGTAGAAGTTCAAGTTTCCCTGCGATGGGAAGGTCGACGAGAGTACCACTGCGGAGTTGTGAATAGCAATGGTCGTTTTACTTCCTTATTTACACATCGTACACTTACGGTTAATTCGAAAGGGCTCTCGAGCACATGCACATCTTCATCAACCGGTGAGTAACTACGTCCTATCTTCTGATTCACTTTGGTAACATTTCTTCTTGGAAAATTCAGAGGCGGACCCGCCATCCAGGCGTCACGGAGACAGTCGTAAACTTCCATCTCGTTTAGTGCCTTGTATTCCACTATGCATTTTTTCAAATACGTCTGGGTCCGTCTACTTGTTTGAGAAGAAGAACAGCTCGTGATGCTGATGGCAAAAGGCTGAAGACACAAAGATCAGTAACTTTTCAATGATATCGATGCAGCTTCAATACGAGGCAGCAACAGGACCAGCCACACTTTCTGTTTCGTTGCGTTTCCGACCCAGACATATTTTTAAGGGTCATACCCAAGTTCTGGCCACCCATGAGGTACAGCTTTGCCGAAAGCGTCGATGCCTGCAGCCGTGTTAGAAGCGAGTTAAGCTCAAGGCGACGATGAAAACCAGGATCGCAGAACTAGAACTAGTTTCAAAGTGAAGTCACACTTCTTATAGTTGTAGATACAAATCCTGGCTGGAGGTGGAATCCCGCGCAAGTCCAAGTCGCCAATTGTGCAATTGTGGTTGAGTGAAGGAAAAAAGAAAACTGCATCAATGATGTTCATGTTGTCCTATTAAAGATGGTCGTGGTCCACTGTACTAGTTTCATTACCGCGAAGTAGGTTCTTTCTGTGCGCATTGATCTGCAAGGCCTCCAGCACTGATTCCCGACGTCCAGAACCTCCATAGCGGACAAATGTTCATAGCCGTTGTGCCCTCCGGCTGCGAAGACGAGCGGGTATGGGAAAAATTTGACCCCGTAGTAATTTGATTCCTTCACAAGAGATTCGGATTCTTGAGCAGAGCTGGGCAGCGGCACGGCAGCGTCACTTGAACCACGGAGGTAATTCAAAATTGTGCGGAACCTTGTTCGTTTTTACATGCTCTTTTTCGTGAATGAGTAGTAATTCTTGACTCTCAATTACCCAGTATAAAGCAGCACATATTATCTAAAGCAATAATGTATGTAGACAGGACAAAGAAGATGACGAAGCAATATTTCCATGATGAGCCACGCTGTGGCTGAAAATGACCAATATAATATCATTTTTTGACTTCTTAGTGACAGAGCCAAACCAAAAAGAAAGAACACGAAAGAGCAAAAAATTTTTTACGATTCGGAGTCGCGGTCTATGAAAATTCTGCCATTTCTGTCGCGGCCGACGTGCTCTCTTCCCGATAGCAGCGCCTCCAGGTAGGATCCGGGCTGCTTACAGAGAGTCGCCTTTGAAGTTTCGAACGTAACACCGCCCACGTTGAGGTCTACTATTTCTTCAGACGCGAGAGCCTCCAGAATTTTTGATGTTTCTTATTCTTTTGGGACTCATACATACAACTTTTTGCGCAAGCTCCATCCCTTAGAAGGTAACGATGCACTCGCGGCAAGGATTATATGTAGTTCGTGGTGCTGAGCAACATCACTGAAGATGTGACTACAAGCCTTACTTCTACTTAGAGTCAATGAATTGTTTCTCTTTTGTCCATCGGAACAAAGTCGTGACAAAAAGATGAATAGCTGCACCATTGCATCAAACCTGGTCTTTTATCCTTTCTTTCTCCTCTTCGAAGGTTTCAACTTCTTGTCTGAGCCGTTCACGGTCCAAGGCGAGTCGTCGTTTGCTCTTCTCTTTCTCTTCTTCAAATTTCGCCCGTTCCTCGGCAATCTTGGACCGCGCGTCCTCGCGTTCTACCGCCACCTGCTTGATCGCAGCTGCTATCTCTGCCTCGTTCTTTCGCCGCTCGCCTTGTATCTTCTCGTACCTAGAAGTACACACGACATATGTTGTGACGAGAGGTGTAGCTCTTGGATACAGCATATCCTAGTATCGACATAGCACCGTAGAAGGTATAGATATAGGCAACGAAGCAGGATCGATCCGGAACAAACAAAGAAGAAACATGGTGGTCATCCTACATTACGCGGCGCATGTGAAACACATACATGCCGGTGACGCAGCGGATCCGGATCATCCGTCCAGATGCTTCTAGTACTAGTGCTATGCAGCCCGTCATATTCTCAGATCAATGATGACGAAGACGACCAAGGAAAAGTCACAAAAAAAAAGGTCAATATTACTCTGCCTGCTTCTCTTTCATGAACTCTTTCCACACCTTTGCTTTTTCGTCCTCGAAGGCCTTTTTGGCGGCGGCTAGCTCCGCTCGTGCATCTGCCATTTCCCTCTCTGAGCGCCGGAGCCAGTCCATGAAGACTCCCCGCAGATCGGAGACCATACTCTCAAAGTCCGCTTCTTTTTCCGCAAAGGTCGGCGCCGTGGCGGCCGCAGGCGGATCTGGTGCAGAAAACGCGTCTGCGCTGCTACTTGCCGCCATCTTGACGATATTATCTGCTCCTGGTTCTGCAGCAAAGACCAGCAACCGACCGAAGCAGGGGACGACGGGTGGATAGGGCGCTGCGTTGTTGATCTTACAGCTTCAGCCCGTCGTGGTCGATGGCCAAGCCATCGATCATCCTTGGAAAAAGAATTTTTGCCCCCGCATTCAATTAAGGACTGTACATAGTCTTCCGTCGTTTAAATTAAAAATGCGTACTGCGTGGTGGTGGTGCGCTTTAGCTTTTTATCATCAAGCTGCTTCTCCTGTTGAAGTTCCGGTTCGATCGTAGCACAAAGAACACTGTAGGACGCAATACAGCTGCCTGGATCTACATTGCTTGTTTCGCCTTAGTCATTACTCTCATGCTCATAATTGCCCAGTACTCAGCGTCTTGGTACTTGCTTCACTCTTCAATCAATCACACTACAAAAGAGAATAAAGACACGAGGGGTCATCTTCAGCCTGTGGAACACCGGGACAGAATAAATGCAAAGCGGGCCGCCTGGCCGCGCAGAAGCACGGGGAGCCTCTCCGTGTTTGTTTGATGCTTCATTTTTGTGCTTTCGTTTCATTTCACAAAAGGCAAATTCGTCAGGAGTACGCGTGTTACTAGCACTAGCATGAACTTGATGACCACCTTCAGATCTATATTCTCGTTTATTGCATCAACGAAGATCATCTGGTCCTGCTTGCTTCTGCTACTCCTTCTGTCGCTTTGGATCTCTACTATTGCACAAGTGAGGTGTTGGTGTTCTTTGCCTGGTTCTGTGTGCGGCCTGTCAGAAGTTGCGCGTAATGCATGCGCACCCTCGGGCGTTCCTTTCTCTTCGTGGTTTATAGGTGTAGTTAAAAATGCAGCTGTCTGTACAATATCAAGAAATACAAATAGGGCAGGGGGTGGTGAATTACAAGCGCCCAAAATCGAGCGCGAGGAGGAAGAAGCGGACGGAGCACATAAGCCCAACGCTAAGTAGCAACTACCGGCGCGGCCAAGACCGGTCATGATTGTGGAAGTGGAACGTGTTACTTGGGGCCAATGCTTCGCAGCTAGTGTGGTCCTGGTACTTGTTCTCGTTGTACGTGATACCATAATGCCGGCGAGGAAGTGACGATAGTGCTAATGTGGGCACCACATCCACGAAACTCCGTCCGCTCTCGCAGATCTACGATCCGGGTACCCGCCATTAAGCAGCGACGACATCATGATGAACAGAACAATCCACGCGATCACCACAACTACGATATAGATAGTTGTTGGCTGCGGCGATGCTCTTCTGTTGTTGAAGAAGGTCTTCGCTGATGTGTCCACAGGAACCACAGTAATCCGCGCCAGATCTACTTTTTGATTTTGTCTACTTCCATTTGCTGCTTATTCGTCCGTGCACATGCACACGCACTCCAGGAGAAAAACCAAAGGAAAATAAAAATGCCGCTAGAGGCCGTCGTCGTCGTCCCACATGGCTGCAAGCTCCTGCGGACTGTATGCCGGCTGCTTTCGGATACCGAAGGACGCAAGGACTTTGTAATTCCAGAAATTCTGCAGGCTCTCACCACATTGCCTCCATACTATCAGGGCGACGACTGTGGTATGTGTGTTTACAGTTTATTGCAATGCAAATAAAGCAAACAAAAACATCAATGAAGCTTGAGTAGATCACAGTGGTCGGACGCGGTATGTGTGTATAGTGTTTATATGGAATTGAAGAATTGCATGACAAATGGTTGTAGTTGTACTAAGAGGACTAATGTATGACGCCAAAGCGACAGTCGACATCAATACTACAAAAGCATAGCAGTAGAAGTTCACGATCTGTCGTGGGTCAGAAATAAGAGATGTACTGCTGAACTGGAACATCAACATCAAGAGGTAAAGGTGATAAATATGTAGACAAAGAGGTAAAAAGTAGCAGCTGCAAATAACTTGAGAAGTACCGATAAGCCCCAGGATGAGGATCAGGGTCTGCGAGAGGCTGAAGATGCTGTGAAACAGCCATCCAAACCAACCGACATCGGTAGTCGCTGCGGCAGCCCCCGTTGTGCCACTCTGCCTTATTGTGTGTAGGAGCTTCATGGCGATTGGGTCGCTTGCAGGGATCTTATGCGCGAGCGTCAATTGCGCCAACAGGTAAACGAGGTCTTGTTCAGGAGGTTTTTCTTGCTGGTCTACTCCGTCTGCAGACGACCGCTGCGTTTCTACTTCTTGTTCGTGCTCAGCACCGGCACGTTTGCCAGGATTTTTCCCAAGGCTCCCAACGCTTGTGCGCTGCGCTACGCCCTCTTCCTCCGAGGCAGGAAGTTCACCACCGGCGGATGGTGCCGATTCAACTTGCTGAAGCGACGCCGAGAGATCAAGGGGTATTTGCCCCGTATTTTCAACGCCGGCGTCTCGTCCTGCGGTCCTCACAAAAAGCGTAGCTCCGAGAGATGACGGAAGCGAGGCTAGTAGGATGACAACATGAGAGTATGTGTAATATTATGTTGGAGACAAAAATTTATCGAATTTTCATGGTATAGCAAATGTCGCTCCCCCAGATCCAAATCTAATTCATCGAAGCGTTTCACTGCAGATGTAGTCAACCAGAAGAGAGCTGCGACAATATATATTCCGCTGGTGGATGGCGACTCTTAATCATGCTATCACAAACGCACTTCGTCAAGCCGAGACACAGTAAAAACCTACATAGGTGGTTGCTTGAATAAAAAGTAGAGCCACTGATTCTGTCGTGATCAAAAATATTCCTGTACCCTGGTGAATAGTCGAGAGAGGCTGTGATCGAAAGGTGCATTGCTTTTTTTCTTCGAAGAGAACGAATGCGGTACAGCGGTCGCGACCATCACAGACCCTCGCACAAAGGGTTGATGCGTCTGGTGCAGTACCGCCCACGCTACCGCTTGGCTGCAGCTCTTCAACAGGAATACTGTATTTGTGTTTTCGGAGCGAATAAAAGTATCAATGATCATTCGTAATGGTAATCGGTCGTTTCGTGGCTGCTATTCTCCCTTCAGATTGCAAAAGTGACGTGCTACTAGTCCGGAACGACCCCGATTATGGAAGATATTTATGCCGTACACGTATTTAGATTTACTCTTTATGGAGAGAGAGAGAGATAACCTATTTTCGATGAAACTAGGACTAGTAAACAACGCACGCCACACAGTTGAGCGAAGGCCTTGTATCCGCTCTCCCGCTTCAGTGATGTCGTTGCCACCTCGCAGCGCCCTTCTGTGGTCCGTCTGATCTACCCTCGGAAGGCGCGGTGGCGTGGCCCTAGGTGTCGGCAATGCTGTTGCTGATAGAAATCCCCAGAGTGTTTGGTAGTCAGTTTCGTCAAGGTCAAACCGGAGGGCGTAGGGATGGTTTACCTGTCGCCTTGTAGCCCGAGGCTGGTTCGAACCGTTCTACGCGCTGATGTCATCCACGAGATGTCCGTGAAGAGTAAGGCGGCAAGTTAAGGGGGAATTGAGATGACGGGGAACATAAAAAAAAATAAAAGGCAGTCGAAAGCAAACTAGTTCCCCGGCTCGACTTGCGGCGACGCTGCCCTTCCACGCAGCGCCCCGGCGAGCAGTTGGCGGCGTACTCACTCACCGGACAGGCCGTCTCCCGTTGTTCAGCGGCGCGGCTATTCTAGCACAAAAACATTAGTAGTAGTTTTTGCGACTTCTATCTTTTTCTTTCTTACTAAGCTATTACTAGTCTTATTCTTTTTCTCAATAAGCTATCTGCGGACCTCGGCGGCGCATCCACCCGGTGAGTGAGTGAGGGCAGTTTGTGCAGGACGCATTTTATTTTTGTTTTTGGCCGACGTGTTTTTGCGTGTGTGTGTGTGTGTTTCTTCGTCAACGTCCTTATGTGTGCACCCATGTGAGACTAGCGCTACCGGGGGGCTCTTCCTTGAGCCAAAATGGCTCTTCCTTGAGCCAGATTTACTCTTTATGGAAATCGAATATTAGTAGCGATCGCGAAATAAATCCTCATGCGAAGTGGATTCGAGTCGAGATGTAGCACGAGGTGCGAGCTACACAAGGTCTGTAAGTGCGAGAAGTCGGGCAAAGCTGCGAGCTCGATGCGATCTGATTGTCGAATGGGATTGTTATGAGTTCTTGCCTCTTGCTCATCATGTTGTTTGAGTTTGTTCTTGTACATCAAGCATGGAGCAGTTGGCTTTGCACTTCTAAAAAGAAGTCATCCGGCTGCATCTGCCTATTTTTGCCTTCGACGACTTCTGCAACAATTCATTTATCCGCTTGCTTTTCATTTTCTACGTACTGAGAAAGTGCCTGTGGGTTCTTATTCATTCTTCGTCTCTACTTTGTTTCTGATCACTGCTAGTCGTCGTGCTCGTGCTGCTTCTTCCTTTTGCATACAAAACTGATCATTTCCAAATTATACACATCGTGAAATCCGAGACTTACACGTCGATTACTCTCCCTAGTAGAAAGCGTCGGGGCGGCCGCTGACCAGCTCACCCAGACGCGGCGCGCATGATGTACATCGACGGATCCGCTTACATACGAACAAGAAGAAAAAAAACTAGTTACTTTCAGTTTTTAACTTAACAATCAACACGATAGAATAGTGAACAAAGCACAACGCTCTGGCTCTTACGATGTAGCTTCCCACGACGAGGTCAGGTAGGGGAGGTCTGTTTTCTCCGTTTTCGCAAAGCCCGACGGCACAACAGAAGACGTTGCTCCATGTCGCTGTAATTCTTCGGCGTCAGCCGTGCTGAAATCGGAGGAGTGGTAGAACAGACAGACTAGAGCAGCAGATGAACTCCTGGCTGGTGCTACAATCGGTCTCCTAGTCCTAGCAGCAATCATACTTCTTTATTCTGTGCCTTTACTATTTTTTCTCCGGCTTCTTCTGGAACAGCGGGAGAATCTGAATCCACTAGAAAAAATCACTGTGCAAGTCCAGAAGAGACGAGGCGGCGCGGCCGGCAGCAAGGCCTGCTTCTGGAGGTCCTGTAAAAACGTGATCGACGTAAGGAGTACTACCGTCAAGATCGTGAAGGCTGCGCGTTCGTTACCTCCTTTGATCTTTCCTGTCTGTCTTCATGGGCGCCGCAGAGTCGCAGCAACGTGAACCCGAAGCATGTGCCTCCTTTTTCCAGACGCATGACCGGCCGCACGATCCCTCGATTTTTATCTGTTGCATTCAGTGTCTGTGTCTACGTCCTCTTGCGTTATCGTTCCTCTGTCTGAAGATGATGCAAAGACGCCGCCAGGCCAAACAGCCTTGAGCTTTATGACACGCACTTAGCTACCTACCACCTACTCGCCACTGTCGCGATCCCCTGTTCACCAAATATGAGCCCGCTTGAAATGAAAAAACTTGCATAGCAGCCGTATTTTCTTCAAGTGCGCAATGGCTCTCGTTGTCACGACTCTGCTGTTTGGACTTCCTATCTTCCATCACCTTCAGGCGGGCGCCGGTCAATAACGCACAGAGAAAGGCTAAGGCGTGGGTGCTGAAAGTTACCGTGGCAGAGATTGCTTGGCGCACGGGACTCAAAGGAGTTCTTTCACTCACCTTTGTTCACTCAGTGTAGCTCTCTGAGAGAGAAAGCGAAAACCTCTACGTTCTTTGCTGGTCTTCATGTAGATACATCCATCACATCCACGTCCAGTCGTGCTATCGCATTACTTACACAGGCACAACGTACGTGGTCGTCTGCGCGTCTTGTTCATCCATCACCTCACGCAGACAAAACAAAAGAAAAGGTCAAATGTTAGCTTCCCGAGATGGAGATTTGATGACGATGATGATGTTACCCAGTAAGGGTAATATATGGTGTAGAAGAATAATACGCCTAATAGTAGTAGAAATACTAATACCCCGTATCTTTCGTTGTACAAGGAATTCAGAGATTTACATTACGCTCGCTTTTCGTGCAATATTTCCTTATTCTCTCGAAAATGAATGCGCAAGATGCCTTCGATGCAGATTTTCGTCCATATTGAAACTTTGTTGATCTTGATGGGATGGATCAGTAAGAAAAATGTTCGAAAAGACGTAGGAGCAGCCTCCTCCTGGTGTTTCTACTTCTGTAAAAATGCATTAGCGGTAGTATAGTCTTGCAGCTACTCCATTTCTTCATCTTCAGTAGATCAGATTGCTAAGTGGCGTATCCGCGTACTCCCGGCGGTCGGGCCGCTGCGCCTCTTGCACGTTGGGTAATCCCGTTTTCAGGCTCCGGCGCCACATGCCAAAGAGAAAATCGGAGCACAAATGCTCCGCCAGCAAACAATCTGTGCGCGGGTAGTGGGTCCAAAGGTTGGCGTGCAAGAACGGCGTTTCCAGCCGCCCGCAGCAGCGGCTTGGGTCTTTCACCTTCATGCCCTTGGCTTTCCAGCACATCCACCCCGTGTTTTGCGAGTACTTCGGGCCCCGTAACCAACAGGAGAGACAGTCCTTCTGGCCAGGATCCCGGGCATGCTGCTGCTTCGTATGAGAGTGCGCAACTTACTACTCCCCCTTACCTTCACTCGTAAGTATGGCTATGGCATGATTGAAGAACGGCAATATATTTACAAACACCAGCACCGCCACCGCGGCGCGGGAATCGAGCATGAGGATGTCTCCATGTGCCGAGTGCGATATAATTGTTTGGGCTTCCAGATTTTGTACAAGTATGCCTATGCAAACAGTGCGACAGGTCCACTGGGCAGCAACTGAATTTGGAATTCGGCATAAAAAAGACAAGTGAGGGGCACGGGCGGAAGTTGTGCGTGCTGATACTTCGCCTCCGGTTCCCAGAAGTCGATCGTGCTGTACCCGAAGGGAAGTTCGGAAAAATACTCAATACCCGCGCACACACGTTTATGAACGCGTCAAGCTCGACGAAATCGACCAAGTCAAAGTTGAACCTGAAACGATTTATGATCATGCATAAAATGCGGGGCGCATCAGAGTGCTTATCTTGTTGCAAAGAAGGCAAATTCAAATAATGAGACCGACTCCTAGCCTGATAAAACGCGGCAATGCTATAGACTCAATGGGGCTACTCGAGAGCTTAAGTATCTGGGTGGGCACCCCTTTTTGCACCACAAACTATGACTCACTGGCTTTAGTAGAAGGTGTTGAAAAATTGTGATGCGTCGCTCAAAAATTATAATCAAGGGGTCATCATCTGGTAGGAATTTTATGCATTAGACATCGGCTCAGGCTCAACTCCCTGTCGATGGCGACGAGCCTGACTCTTCCATAGCGCTTGCGGGGTGTGCGCGACTTGAATAGCTGATACTTCGGATCGCCGCTCTGCCCTGTTTCCGTTTCTTGTGTTTGGGTTTCATCATGTCCTGGATCCGCCTCGCGCTCTTTGTTGAGCTCCTCCAGTATTGACAATTGCAAGTTGGACGGGATGTGCGCCACATCGAGGTGTCCAGATTCCTGGCTCTCGTAGGCTTCCTTCATCTGCGCATAGTATTTCGGATACAGCGGATATCACGAGAAAAAAGTGTTACAGTTACACACTTGTTGGAGTTTCTGCATCACAAATTTTCTGTGTGTGGCAAAGAAAACTTGTAATGCGAAGATCATAACAAGGGAAAACAGGAAGGAAACGAGGCTCCCAAGCATTTTCTGCATGAGAAAGGTTGTCTGTGTTGCCGGTCTTGCAACACAGAGTGCAACTGTAACACTTTTTTCTTGCGATAGCGGATGAAGTGTGTGCATCTCGTCCTCTAGTGCAGCTGCCTGCAGCCTGTTTTTAGCCTTGGTGTCACTTCCACTTGCTGTCTTTGGGGTTTCTTCTTCTGGCCGCGGCTCTTGCGCAGCCACCTTTGCGACCGCGAGCTCTTCTGCGAAACGGTGTGCCCGACGAAAATTTCGGTCCGCATACTCATCATAGTCGATGACCGGGTCTAGATTCGCTTCGAATGAGGAAAGAGTCTCATTCAGCGTTACCAGTGTTCTTGTAGGGAAGGTACCATTGGCGCCAGTTTGAAGATGCTCGTCTGCCCCACTAGCGCTGGGGCTAGGTCCTTTTCTTGGTACTGCGTGGTTAATGCTCCCACCTAGCTGCTCTTGCTTTGACCCGTAGTTGCTTTTCGCTCCTCTTTGCAGAAGCTTTGGATTCCAGGCGTCTCGCATAATCTCTGGCGCGGCAGTGGTCGCAGCTGCGGCTTGCCGGAGACGAGCTGATAATTCGACGGATGAACCAGATCCAAATGTTGAAGGTGATACATGAGCGTCACCATCTAATGTTTTTTCTGACACCGCGGAAGCTGCTGGGGCATATGCAGCTCCAAATACGTTGTCTAGAGCGTGAAGACTTTTGTGATTTTCCTCTGATGCTTGAGCATCGTCGAGGTGTGACAGGTATGCAGTGCAAAAGTATTCTATGTCTTGTCTTCTAATATCGCACTATGTAGATTTGCATGACAGAAGGTATTATATCTTCGCACGAGTGTTTGGAAAATACAAATAGGGTCTGTCCTCACGCGAACCTGCTTCGGAATGGGATTTGTCACGGACGAGTGTTCCGATTCATTGCAGCTACATCGACTTCGACGACCAATTGCGATACAATACTTTTGCACAGGATAGCAGATCTTCCCGGGTCAGGTTTGGGAAGTGGGTCACTAGTTGGAGGAAGCGGCGCTGGTGCTGGATGTCTAATCCACGCGCGTTGTCGCGGTGACGCATGCCGTCGGTATAGAGGTCGTCTGGGTGTGGCTCGCCGGGGTCTTGCTGCCCAAAATAGCGGGCCAGGCGCCGCGACAGAACCATGGTGGAGACCGCTAAAGGTTCCTCGCCGTACGGCGCAGAGATCACGCTGACTTGGTTGGTCTTCGTCCGTGCCCCTGTGCTATGCATTCCAAAACTATCGTACCTCTCGTTGTAGAAATCGCATGGGAGCAGAAGGGAACTTGAAATTCAAAGTCGGCCAGCAAAAGGAAAAATGAAACTCGTCTTCACGTCGCAGATGCAGGCAAAGAGAAAGAAGTACAAGCAGATCTGTACACAACGTCATGCCAGCCTGGCATGTTTGTACGTGTTCTTGTAGTATACGAGTAAGTGCGAAGGGGATGCAATTTTTGCATCGAGGATAGGTGCGCGTGAGCGTGGTGCGCGGCATCTCGACATAGTGCGCGTAGGCGCCCCAGTTGTGCACCCCGTCCTTCGGTTTTATCGCCGGATCGTAGAAGTCGAGCAGGTACTCGCGCGACCGGTTGTGGATGCCGCTCGCGCGCAGCAGCTGGTGATCCGTCAACTTGTATGCGACCGTTCGCTGCAGGTGCCGCACCCGCTCCGGCAGTGTGTTCTCGAGGAGAAAACCCTGCTGCTGCTGCTTCACCACCGCGGTGCCGCGGTTCCAGGTGTAGGCCACGTCGCGGTCGTAGGGCTTACACAGCAGCGTGTGGTTGTACATGAAAAAGTAGTCGTCGAATGGCGTCGCGGGGCCCAGCGGGGGCGGCCCGAGATTTTGACTAGCATACAGCTGCCCAAAAGCCTGCAGGTTCAACTCGCGCCCGTACCCCAGGCCCGCCGGGGCGCTGCGGTGGGAGAGCAACATGAAGGCAAGCACGCGGTCCTCCATGTGTAAGTCCATGTGCTCCATGCCCGGCACGCCCGCTTGCACCGAATCGGTGAAGGAAACCAGGTATCCTCTGCAGACCGATATCGTGGTCGTATGAATCGCATATACTTCTGCAGGTTGACAGGTCGAGGTGGTCCTTTCCTGTTCTACGTGATGCAGCATGAGCATGGCAGACAAGTTTCATTTTCCGACCAGACTTTTCTAAATCTAAATGCGATTTCTAATACGCCTACGATGTACGATACTTGTTTTTCGACGCATAGCATGCGGTGCACGTACACGTGCTCGGGTTCGGACAGCGCGCTGCAGTTGTACTGATGATGCGCCTATCCACCACAAATGACGTGCTGGATTTGGTGGGTGGTACATGCAAACTTGCGATGCTGGTGTCAATTGATCTGCAGGACGCAGAATGTCTCATTCGAGGAGATAGGTATGGGCAAAACCTCTACTGCTTTGCGGCCCCTTGTTTTCCTTGCAGACTATGACCATCTATGTGGATTCATCCTCAAGATGCGTGACACCAGGCCCGAACTACATACTTATTTGCGGTGGATAGCGCCACGGGGTGCCACCGCGTCAAGTTCCAGTCGCTCCAGTCCAGCATGGGACAAGCAAGTTCGTAGCGAAAGTCGTCCACCCAGCTCTGCAGCGTCCGATCGTAGTTCCCCAGCGGCAGGTTTTCGGCATGAAACCCGACGATTTCGTTCACCCGTCGCCTCGTACCAGATTCACCTTCCTCCGCACGGCGCGTCAGACGGATGCCGTCCTCGTTTTGCTCCGATTGCTCATGTAGGCCAGTTGTCGAGGAAGAGGAGGAGGAAGCAGAAACAGCAGTTGCTGTAGCGGCAGAAATCCTCCTGCGCGCGAAAGCCTTGGCCTCTACGTGGTGATCGAGCGCGTGTGGTGAAAGCGAAACATCAGCCGGCCCTCCAGAGGACGACGAATCGAACGCTCTGCCTTCCGCGTTCGCTTTATAGACACATTGCAGATGTGTCGGGGTCTGGAATGTCGTTGCACCTTGCGATGCTGAGTCTGGAGCAGACAAAAATCTGTCCTGCTCTCGACGCAAATTCAACAGCATCTGTCGCGTTTTCGAATCCCAGAGAGGGCATCTCTCACCGAGGCAAGGCAAAGCCTGCTTCGCATATCTAATTGTCATCACGCTTTAATTTATGTGCATTCCAGTCATTCAACTTCTACAAAAAATGCATGATAAACGTGAGTCTGCTTTTTTCTCGACCAACCAGACCCACCATACATCTGTTTGCAATCCATATGCTTCCGCAATGAGCGACTCCGCTTCTCTCTCGCCCTCGGCGTCGTCTGGGTCCTCAACGTTTTCCAGCTGCTTCCCTGCTCCTGTCTTGGCAGTAGAAGTGCTGGTGACGAACCTTTCGTCCAAGTGCTTTTTGAGATAATTCTGCATCTGTGTCCAGACGTGTTGCGTGTCGTGTCGCAGAACTGTTGCAGAACCCGGCTCCCACCATATCGGCGCTGTATCACAGTACTTTGACACCAGGTACTCAACCGCCTCGCCCAGCTTCTCCTGCACGAAGGCACTGAGAGAGGAAGAAAATTTTTCTGGCGGGTCAACGATTTTTGCCTTAAGTGGTTCAACTGCTGCTTCTGGAGCTGCTGCGGCCGCGCCTGTCGCGGTCGATGTGGTTGCGGTCCTGCTTTTGTGCTCAGCATCTTCTTGGGCTGTGGCAAGGTTGTGATACCGTGTTGCGTTCCACACACGATTTTTCCGCGTGAGAAACTGCTCTAGCACGAATTTGGGCTGAGTTTTCTCGTCGAGGCTAGCCTCCATGGTGTCTGGCCTGAACCAATCCACACTGTCACCGTAGCGCGTGTTCCACTGCGCTAGGCCTCTGCGTACCAAGCTTTCGCAGCTCTGGCGCTGCAGGAACATGTGCGTCCCGAGCCGCGGCCGTACCATTTTGCGACTGTAGGCACTCCACATATCTGGTTTCGCGCGGTGCTGTTGCAACACCGCCTGTGCCGCCGCGTGGTCCACGGGGGCCTGGTTTAGGTCTAACTGCGCCTGCGAAAACTTCATCACCCCGTCGTGGGAGTGGCGGTAGGCCTTCACCAACGGGAGAAAGTCGGGGTGGCGGTGTTCCCAGCTTTTTTCGTGCGAAGGACTCAGCAGCGTGCCGTTGGAGAGTTCCTGGAGAACGGCCGCGGAGGCCAGTTGGTACGTGTCCACCACCTTGCTCCCTCCAGGGCGCTTGCTCTTATCGCTAGTATCGCTCTGATCATGATGTTGTTCCAGATCCACTACAGTTGATGTAGGAGGAGCTGCCTCCGCGGCTTTGTGTTCGTCGGGGATTGCGAGGGGCAGTGCGATGGTCCACGAGTCATTGCCTGCTTTCCCCTGGAACCAACGCTGCACCCCATTCGGCTGAAAGTCGCTGTTCAGTTGCACGGTGGCATCGAAGAGCAAGTGGTTCCGAAAACTGATTCGGTGCCGCCCAAAAACCTCCGAAAAGCCAGGCGTCTGCAGCTCCCTGCAGTAGTACGGATCATTCTCCTCGTCTTCAACATCATCTGTTTTCACGGTAGGTGTTTTTGCAACATTTTTTGTTCCCAAACTATTTTCGCTCTTCATCATTTCTTTCCCTTCAACATCAGTCGACATAGCGGCAGGAGTGACGGTCAGTTTGTCTTCTGCAAGTGCGCGGGTTTGCGGTTGGCTGCCATTATTCGATTTTGTCCCCTCCGTTACAGCACTTATTATATCAACTACATCCCCACCAGCTGCAGAGGTTGCATTTCCCGCGCGGGCCTCTTCTTGTTTCATTTTACTCTCGATCACCTTGGGAAGAATAGTGGATATCAAATCATTCGCCAGTTGCCCCATCTTCACAAGCGCTGCGATGCAATCGAAGCGGCCAATTTTGAAGTCGTGCGCGTCGAGGAAGCGGCGGAAAGAGAACTCCCCATTGACCTCCTGGGCACCTATGCCGCCCTCAAACCCTTTGAGAAAGCGCCAGCTGACGTCGGTGGGGTCGCTCGCATTCGGCGGTGGCAGCGCGTCGGCGCGGACCATGGGCATCCCTCCCGGCCGCGCGTACACAGCGCGCGTGAAGCGGAAGAACACCTTCTTGGCCTTACGGATTTGCTCCCGGATCTTCTTTTTCTTCTCCGCCGCGGTGGTCCACTGAAAATCGCCGCCGGGGCGCAGGTATGCTGTGCAAAAGTAGCGTACTAGTATAAATTGCATCACAAATTTTTTCAAGAAGAAAAATGGAATTTGTAAATGCTGATTTGCCTAAAAAGGGATATTTGTCATGATAGCAATTACTACGAGTACGATAGTTTTGCACAGGATAGCAGGCGGATGGTGTAGAGCCGGTCATTGATGCCAGCGTAGTCGAAGCATGCGGGAATCCAGATGTCCACCGGTCGCACGTCGAACTTTCCCCCCGCGTCGCCCCACCCGGTGCCGGGCTGCATCCACTTCTCGTGGTTCAGCAAATAGGGTGGGGGGTGAGGATAGGCCCAGAACACGTCATTGCGGGTGTAGGCGAACCAGTCGTAACTGCTCAGCTTTAGCTTGTTCAGCCGCATCGCGAGCAGGCACTTCCACTTACTCGCCATCAGGTGCATGCCAAACCGGTAGCCGGGCTGCTCGCTGTTGCTGTCGCGAAACCACTCCAGAGAAGATCCCGTGCAAAGGCGTCGCCCCAGCCGCGCCCCAAAGTCAAGAAAACAAATCGTGAAGTTTTTGGGGTCACGCGGTAGATGAGCAGGGCTAGTAGGTTCAGAGAAAGGAGGGCAGCCGGAGTTTCACGACGAACCCATCTACTTAATCCTGCTAATTGACAGCATTTCCTCTGCCACCTAGGAATTCGCCTCATGTTGCAGATGCGCATATGCAAATGTTATATGTGAGTAGTTTCCACCGCATTGCTATTGAATGCAGATCGGCATGACGAGGACAACCCTGGGGTGGTGACATTTTCACTCAGGATAGAGAGAAGTCATTGACCAGCTCTAGACGCGTCTCATCCTGCTGCATGTCCAATGCCTTCAGGTATGCCCAAAAAAAGCACGCCCATCTAACCAGAAGAAAACTTCTAAAATTGTGTGCGCGAGTTGGTTTAATGTCCGCCTCTGCTTATTTTGTTTGGTACGACCTCGCTAATTACTGGAACGCCAGGAGCAACACAGACACTGACACTACAAAGTCAAAGAAAGGGGAAGGGCATTCTGCTGCATAACAGAAAATTTGCTCCTTTGTTGCGGTTTCCGCATTGCTGCATTTCCAGATCTAGCAACATCCTTCATTCCCGCCGCGTTGCTTCATTTCAATTTCTAGTTGTATCAAAAATCTAGGACGAGACGAGCAGCACACATCATATAGAATATTCATACATTCTTGCTGTTGTTCTCTCCTGGATGGCGATGGGTGTGCTTTCCTGTGGGATATCAGGTGCTTGCCGAAGATGCGCTTGTACAGACAGGGACTGTGCTTCAGTGCGTGTAAGTGCGGTTGTTATGCTGTGCAAAAGTATCGTACTCGTAGTAATTGCTATCATGCATGACAAATATTCCTTTTTAGGTAAATCAGCATTACAAATTCCACCATTTTTCTTCTTGAAAAATTTGTGATGCAATTTATACTAGTACGATACTTTTGCATTGCATAGCTGTTCTAGCGTGCCAACTTTCGTCTCCCGCACATACTCGTGCGTGCGCTCGATCTCGCTACGCAAGTTGGCGCTTTGCACGATATCAACTGTAAAAATGTCTGGGTCTGGAACATTCTACCACTTGTCATGCACGTTTTGCATGGGCCCTGATGTCTGTGATGCTGCACGCCCTAGCATCACAGATTTTTTCAGAGCTTCTTGATGCCTATTCCGCATGACAAATGCCCTCTCCGCGTAGCAAAAATTACATTCCTTGTGGTACTCATGCAATACAGATTTTTCTGGAATCCAAATGCAGCATGACAAGTTGCATTCTTCCAGACCCAGACATTTTTGCAATTCATACACGATCGTGTTTGCCAATACCTGGTCGCGGTTGTCCCCCGGATCCGCTCCTGCTGTTTCTCGAGGAGATTTCTCTGCTCCTGAGGTCCGCTCGCTCGCTTCCGCGGTTTCCTGATCTTGCTTCTGTTCCTCATTGAGGTAGTTCCTGTTTTCTTCAAAGGCGGAGTGATTTTTTTGCAAGTAAAACTCCGCCAAAGCTTCGGCTTGGAGGTACGTGCGCCCCTTCCCCACACGATTTCGGCCAGTATTGAAGTGCCGCCCGTCCTGCTCTTGGGCATAGTTGACATCGGGCGCGACCACAACGACATCGGTGTCGGGCCCCAGAGGTCGCACCACGTTGATGTAGATGCTCTCCAGTACCTGCGCATTGGCCCAGCGGTGGGGTCCCTCAACGCAGACTACATTCTTGCCCGTCAGTGCCGTGTTCCGCCGCTTTTGGGGATCTGCGAAGCGCTTCCGAAATTTCTTTTGCATGCTGACGTCGAACCAGCTCGGGACGCTCGGCGTTTCGGGCTCTTTCCTGGGAGCGTGCAGGGTGCCTCGCAGAGCCGTTGCCTCTACTGCGGGTAAAAAGTCAGTTGCTTGCGATCCCCTAGTACGTCCCTCGAACGTGTGGTCGGAACAAGCGATAAGTAGGAGCATCAGCACCAGCGACACAGTGGCCGCGGAAAGGTAATAAAGACAGCTCAGTTCTTGTCCACGTCGTGCTCGTGAAGAAGAAGCAAACAAACTTGGGGACAAGGACACACCACTGGCGTCCGAGCAAGGGCCCGCAGAAGGTGTTGTTATTTGCATATTCTGTCTACCTCCCCGGCGACTCGCCAAAATCGAACTCGCGTTGTCGCAGCTTTCCGCCCATGCCGTCGATGTCATCTCGTGGTCGTGCGGAGCACTGAAGGATGTTAATACCTCCCGCTTTTTTATTCGGGATCTCCTGCTACATACTGTTACCGTTACCGTACCACCAACCCTTCGGCTCGCGAAGTGCGGATCGGGGCAAATATAAATAAGCTGCATAGACGGCGGTTGATGCTCTGGCACTCCTGAGGAGGAACAAAGTGCGTAAACTGAGGCCGATTTTTGCGATTGCCTTCCTCTGTAATCTCCGTAAGGTGAAGCAGGAGCAGAGCAGATTGCGGCTCCTGGACGTTTCGGCAGGCTTCGTCGCGCGTGTCTTCGCTCCTCGTCCTCCCCATCGAAGACGAGGAACCGCTTCGGATTCACGACGCCTCCTGGCGCGCATGGGCGGTGTGTGATACTGATGTCTCGCAAGAAACGACTTTCGGTGCCGTGAGGCCCCAAACATGGACCACAACGATGCCAGCAATGACAAGTTGCTCTACATGCTGCGACTGAGATGAACTGCCTGGTAGCGGCGCACAGCAGGTCTATATAATCGATGAAGCCCCCGCACCAGGACGACGAGCTGATTGCGTCACTTGACGTGGTTCCATCTCTGTCGACTAGAACTCTGGCGATATTTGCTGGTTTCTCATTCTCATTTCTTGTCCAGAGATGCTGATGCAGGTTTTGCTTCTGCTTAATATGTATATCTTCAAGGGTAGAAAACTCTCCCAAAGTGATAGTGGCGCCATTGGATGAGGACGAGAGGTTTTTCACATGAGGCATTCTGTATTCTCAAAGCTACATCAACTGGCAGATACACGACCCTACGCATCGATTTCGGTGCCGAGGTTTTAATGGTTCAAAAACGAAGCTGAATTTGAAGGCAAACAAAAGAAAAGAAAAGATGAGCAGATAAACTCAAAAAGACGACACCCTGGTGCTTGCTTATGCTTGTACTTCTACTTCTAGGTAAACTACTACCTAGACTAACCACGAAACGCATCAAGTAACCCCTATCACGACAAAAAACCGGAAGATGTGATCACGATGACCAGGAAAAGTTCGAAGAGCGCAACCTTTTTTCTTCCGAAGTGAAATGGTATGGATGGTGGCTGAAAAAAAACGATGACCGAGTGATACTATGAGGCATGAAAACTGAGCTAAAGTGAAAAGTAACAGGACGGCGAAGGAGATCTACTGCAGTCCTCCTGATTTTCGTAATCAAAAGAGTGCAATTCGTGGCAACCGATTATAGGAACTGATCGATCGTATTCTACCTTTTTCCAGTGACGAGCTCGAAGCTGAGGCTGATGAACATGCGGCGCGCATTACTTTCAGGTCGAGTTGTTGTAAGTTTTCCCAAGGTGCTCCCCATATGTATGATTCGGGAGCTCTTGTTGCGTCATCTACTTTTGCCAGCAAAAAGCTTTCTGTCTTCTGTTTCGTCGTAATGTCCCTCAAACTAAATAACCAAAAACAAAATAAGTATAGTATGTCTCTTTTTTCCTGTGGCCCAGTGGTAGTTCCACCATCATTTAGATTTAACCGGGCGACGAGGGGAAAAAGTGGAAAATAGAATCAGCCAAACCTCGGGGACATCAGAAACGATCAATCTTTCAGTTTTGATTACATCATCATCAGGACTGCTTCTCCTGTAGTCAAGCTCGATTACTTCTTTCGTGCTCGTGCGTCTTGCCTTTATTTCTGCCACCTCCACCCACTTCTGCTCGTTGATCCATGAAACTTTCCGGCTCTAGGAGAGCCGAAGCGGGGGCTGACGACACAAGCATTTCCTCGTTCGAAATTTCATCCTCCTCGGGGATGAATATCTGGGTTACGATCGCGCCGGCGAGAGCGACGGCAGCGCAACACTGTAGCACCGTGGCGAGCCCGAAGTGCGTGACAATGGTCGGAAACAAGTACGTCCCGAGGGCCGCCCCCGCCTTCCCCATGGCCGCGGAGAAGCCGTGGCAGGTGGCCTTCACCGGCGTTGGGTACACCAGGGCGGGCAGGATGAAGGTGGTGGCGTTGGGGCCGAAGTTGGAAAAGAAGACGGTGGCGCTGATGAAAACGAAGGTGAGTATCTCCTGGCCCCCGATCCGCGCAAGACTTCCGCACAGAAAGAGAACAGCGAGGGTGACAAACCCGTAAAACTGCAACTTCTGGAGCGGAATGTGGTCGACGTAAAAGATCGTGACCAGGTAGCCCGGCAGACCGGCGAACACCAGGATGGAAGCCCGAAGCGTCATCAGCTGCAGGGCGTGCCGTACGCTGGCATCTTCGTCGTCGGGGAAAATCTGCTGCCCAATGTCGGTCTTGAACAGATTCGTGCCGTAGAACGTTACGTCCAGCAGCAACCACGAGACGCTGGTTCCCACCAGCACCGGCAGGAGGCCCTATCAAATGTAAAAGTGTCTGGGTCTGGAAGAATGCAACTTGTGATGCTGCGTTTCGATGTCTAAAAAATTTGCGTTGCATGAGCAGCAAACAGAGTCTAATCTTTGCTACGCGGAGAGGGCATTTGTCATGCGGAATGGGCATCAAGAATCCCTCAAAAAACTTGTGATGCTAGGGCATGCATTACACGCATCATGGGTCATGAGAAATTGAAATATGCATGACAAATCTTGCTGCATTCTTCCAGACCCAGACATTTTTACATTTGATAGTCCCGCGGTGCGAGCGATTTTCCACTGATTCGCCAACTGCCTCCCAAACGAAGGGCGTTTATTCGACGCGGACTGGTGACGAGAGGACAGAGCAGCGAGTGCCTTGCCGCCTTCTTCTTGCCCCCGTATTGTCCCACCGGCACTGGTCGTTGACGTCAGTGCTCCGGCAGGAGGACCACCTCCGGAGCCTGTGCCTGTCACGGGGGGGTCGTAAGTGAAAGTGTCTGGTAAATCGTCTTGCTCGTCGTGTTCTCCGGATGTTGGCGACGCTGACTTGTGTGTGCTGTATGGAAAGGAAAAGAAACCGAGGAGGGAGCAGGAGGGGGAAATGTTTCGAACTGCGCTGCTGAGCTGCAAAAAAAAACGACCCAGGAGAATTAGAATACTGTATAAGTACGTGTAAGAAGTGCGAAGATGATCTGCGTTCATCTTTGCATGGGGGGCAGAGCCCCTCAGCTACTGCAAACGGTTGCGGTTCTTTTGTGCTCTAATGCACATGAGGGACAAGGACATGATGGACAAGGGCATCAAGTTGATGCATCCGCCAAGACACTTGTAATCATGGGAAGTGCACCTGCACAAGTATGATGCACTAGGTACTTACAACATTTTGGAGGTGAAGTAGCAAGATCCTGTCTTGCGTCGGTCTGAGTAACAGAGCGATGCTACAAAAGGTAGCAGCAACGAAGATCTTAAGGATGATCTGAGGAAGGTGACATGATCTGGAGCCCACTCTTCCAAAAAATATTCCTCCCGCCCATCTCGACCTCTACATGTCTTCTTTGCACTCGTAACAACATCAAGGCCTCAAGCTGCTCATCCTCCTTTCTGCTTCTCCGAAACGGCTCAGTTTCCGTCATCTTAACCCGGAAGTAAACCACGATGAGCGTGGGGAGACAGCCAACCGCGATCGACAGTCGCCACGCGGTCGACAGTGACATGCCCTGGGCCTGCAGCAGACCATACACTACCAAGACCGACAGGAGCTGGCCCCAGCCTTGCATGGAAAACACGACGGCCAGCGTGCGCTTGCGCTCCGTTTTCGTGGCCTTCTCGCTGGTGACGGTGGCCGCCAGCGGGTACTCGTATGCATTGCAAAAGTATCGCACTCGTATAAACAACGCATTACAAATTTCCTCAGCATGAGAAATAAAATTTGTAATGCAGTTTTACCTTAAGAGCAAGATTTGTAATGCAAGACTTGCATTTATACGAGTGCGATACTTTTGCACAGGATAACTCGCCACCGATGCCGATTCCGAGCAGGATGCGGAAGAGCAGAATCTGCAGCAGCAATGCGCTCTGGCTGTTGAAAGCGCCCGCGCTGGCCTGGCCGACGCACCCAACCATGATCAGCACGCACGTGAGAACGAACAGGATCTTGCGCCCGAACCAGTCGGCGAGGAAGCCGAAGCCCAGCTGGCCAACGATGGCGGCGAACAGGCACGCCGAGGAAATGGCTCCCTTAGCCTGCATGTCCTTACTCTCCTTGTCAGGGGCCTGACTCGAGGTACTGCTGTCCTCCCCGGTTTTCTGGATGATGGCGATAACCAGGTCGATGACAAACAGGTCATAGGCGTCCGCCATGAAGCCCGCACCCGCGAGGAAGGCCAATGGGTACGAAATGGCGCCTGTTGGTGAGGGCGACGTGGATGTAGACCAATCATGGCTGCGGCTCTGCTCCAAGAAGGACCCGATCGTCAGGCTACCCTTCGCGGCAGGGAAGCTAGAAGCTCCTGCGCTCATCAAAACAGATGAAGTACTTACAACGCCCTTTTGCAGGTAGTCGTGGAGGCGAGTAGCAAAGAAGCTTCGGTTTGCGGCTAGTTTTTTTCACTTACTTGGCAGAAGCCGCGCAACAAACAAAAGCGCCGGTACAACATGTTGGTATGATGGTTTCGAATTCCTTAAAAATACGAATCTTTTTATGGCATGCTGACGCTCAATATTCAAAGACGTATGACTTTTTGGTGCACACTGTGCGTTTGCAGGAACACTCTGAAGATAAAAATCTGGAAAGTCGGCGGGAATCTCATGTGTACAACCCGTACCTTCTGGCTTTCTAACCACCCAGACCATTTTTGCATACACATAAATATTCGACTCATTCTCATTCATCCACTCCATCCTAAAATTGCACTCAGAGATCGTTATTTGCGACAGCGATCTTCATCTTGTGGCAGAGGGATGGCGCAGCTGCTTCGTATTCCTTCTTACGAACTAATAGACTGAAGAAAGATCTTCTCAGAAACATTTCATTTTGCGTGTCACCGACATGAACCAATCTCAGGATTTAGAGCATGACCGAGGACGAGGATAGACGTGAGTGCCAAGGAATGGCGCGAATGCAGTCGGGGCTCATCATTATGTTTGACTTCAATATCGACGCTATCGTCATCGTTATCACTGCATATGGTTATGGACATGGGGTGCCTTCATTGCATTCGTTTCCATAGCACTACACCAGCAGCAGCAGCCAAGCCGCGCCATACCTTCCTCCTGGATGATGCTTTTGCTTTACAGAGTCTACTGTCCTCCTTGCTGCAGAAAAGCTCTACGACATTTGTCTACAAAAATGGCGGCCACACGGATAAAAGCTAGTTCCTTTATTTGGAGTATTAGAGTACCATGCTAGGCAATTTAACTACTCGACTTCGGCACAGCGCTAGAATTCTACACGGTAAGCAGTTCGCGCAGACATTAGCTATCGATCAGCCTGCTTGCAAATTCAAATCGTCATATTTTCATTTCATCAACAACGACTCTATTTTTTTCATCAAGAGCACTATTCTTGTTGTGGGGTGCCGTTGCATCTTTTTATTTTGAGGGAGAAGTAATGATAGTGATAGTGAATGTGACGCAGGCTATGTGAGCGGTTCAACGTGTACACTGAAAGCATAAAGAAAAGAAAATGAGAATCAGTGTTCATGCATGAAATCTGTGCGAACGAAGTTTGCTTCGTTCGTGCGGTTCCAGAATCCAGCCAGCAAAATACCGCCGGCGCCTTTCGCTCGTAGCTCATGAGCGTCCACTACGATATAGTCTGGCACTTGGTTCGTGAAGGGCGCGCGCATCATTGGCGGAATTGTTGGCTGCCCAAGCCGCGTTGCCGCGCGCAGTCCTTCGGCGTCTGTGCCACATATCAGCAAGACTTTGCGCTCGCTCTCCATCTCCTCCTCCGCGTCAACGGGGATTGTGGAGTCCTCGCTAAGTCGATGAAATGCATCGGTTCCTCTACCATCTGGGTCGCCAATTGGATACGGGAACCATAAGAGAAGCCCGATGCTCCGGCTTGCCGGAAAGCTGTATTTCTCCTGAAATCTGATTTCGGTCCTGCTACTATCCTTTACAAAAGTATCAGCATTGCCTTGCGTAAAAATTCGTACAAATCGAAACTGCAAATGCAAGCACGGGCAAAACCGCGCCAGGAGAAGAAAGCCACTGAATATCTTTCACGGATGTGCCCGTAAAAGCCTGGTATGATCTTGGCTTCACTTAGCTTGACAGTCACAGATTCGCGCAGTTGCTTTGTTTCTTCGTCTTGACGAAAAAGAACTGTGAAGATTGCATAGTATGTATCCATTCTTGCGTAGGTGGCATGTTGACCACGATTACGCTACTTCGCTGCAAAACTTTTGTAGATGCGTGCCTACTTTCCAAGAATCTGCGTCGCTCGTCAAACGTGAACGAGAGCAAACTCGTTGCGGCCCAGTCGGCCAGCGCCATGAGGGCGCGGAAGCGTGTCTCCACCATGCTCGTTAACGACGAGTCTGGAATTGGTGGGTTTGGTGGATAAAGAGCGACTTTTCTATGGCTCGTTTCTCAGACCTGCTCCCAGATGGATCTGGGGGCTCGAAGGCCAGGTCTGACATCCGGAGCCCCCGGGGGCTAGGCCAAAGGCCACAACCTCCGGCAGAAATTGGTGATGGCGCAAGCACTAATTTTTTTGGTGCTCACACTTTGAAATCACATTGATTTTTCTTCTCCGGGGAGGTCAAAAATGGCGCTTTTTTGTGTGTGATAGTGTTTTTCAGCCACGGCGCTACGGCGATTTTGGGTCCCTTTTTGACCCGGGCCGTAGCATCGTAATTTGCATTTTTAAAAAGAGCTGATTTTCGGTGTTTTCGCAGCATTAGCTCGCGCTTAAAAACACTATCACACTACACTTTTGAGCGATTTGATATAGAAAAAGTGAAAAAAGGTGTGAAGTTGGTATTTTTTGAGTGCCGGAAAAAAGTGTGATAGTGTTTTTCAAACACGGCGGCACGGCCCACATAGGACCACCGCCAGAAAAAACACTATCACAGCCAAAATGATCGAATTTCCGGGTTTTTGAATTTCTTGAAAAAATTTGCGCGCGCAGTGTTGAAAACCAAAAAAATCCGGGGAGGACTGGCTGTCGGCAGCCAGATCCAAAAAGTGGAGTGATAGTGTTTTTCAAACACGAGCTGAGACTGGCGATCGAGCCTCACTTTTTGGCCGCCTCTAGCCTCGGAACGGAAGGCAGCTCACCCGCCACCGCCGGAGCATCAAATCAGCCCAGGTCTGAAAGCTGGGAATCAGGTCCAGAAAGTGGCGTGATAGTATTTTTCAAACACGGTGGGAGAGTGGCGATCGCCGCGCACCTTTTGGCCGCCTCCCGCCCCGGGCCGGAAGGGACCGACCCGCCAAGGCCGGGGCACCACCAAGGGTTCGGGAGCTCGCCTTCGGAGCGAGGGCCCGGCCCGGCCTTCCATTCGGCTCTCCTGTTAGCTATGACAATCATCACAAGCGACCACTAGCTAGCTAACTATATCACTCATTAATCGCAACAACAATAACAATATACCAGGCACAAGGATCGAGCCCCAATGCGCCGCAAAAAAAATCAAAAAAAAATCAATTTTTGCCAAAAAGTGGCTTTTTGTGATAGTGATAGTTTTTTTCAGCCGGATAAGTTTCCAAGAATCTGTGTCGCTCGTCAAACGTGAACGAGAGCAAACCCTTGAGGTGCCGATGGCGGCTCCACAAGGCTGCCGCAGCTTGATTTACGTTGGGACCTCCGACGAGCACGATGTTTTGATGCGGATGCCCCCCAACATCGAGCGCTGTCTCAATTGTGCTGTGCATGCTGTCCAGAACCACAGGCGAGCGAGTGTCCGCCGCAGCATAGTGCAGTCCAGCCAGGTAGACGGACTGGCGCAAAAAAGGTTCCGCCGCAACCGTAACAAACGGGCGTGCAAAAACGTTACGTAACGGGCCTTGCTGCCATCGCGCTTGCCGTAGTCGATCGGGATCACAAATTTCCCAAGTATCACCGGCCGAGGAGGACCTGCTATCACCTTGCGTTTTCAGTTTCACCACCCGGCAAACGTGCAACCTCAAATGGCCTGCGCCCGGAACAGAGTCGGCGGTGCTTGTGGTGCGTAGACAAGCCACGGAGGGGGTGACAGTCTCTGACTCTAACCCTTGCTCTGCAAAACAGACCTCAATGCTCGAAGCGACCAGCTTTTTTTGACGGTCTGATTGTTTCTCGTGGTTAAAATGACCTGGAAAGGCGACGGCAAAAGCTGAAACGTTGTCGACTTGCTGAATTGTAAGTCTGAAAATTACTCGGATCATGTTGCCGCCTTGCACTCCGCTGCCTGTTCCAGCCAGCGCGTCCTCCTGGTCGTTCCCTTCCGTAGTGGCCAGCACGATCTGCCGCTCAGACACAAAAATTTTGGAGGTGCGAAAGGGTGCTTTCTGTTCCAGTAATTGAATCGAGCCCCCGACAGTGCTCGCGCAGTTCGTGGCTGTCAGCGTAAGGGGTTTCAGTGAAAGGAGCACCTTCTCTGCCGCAGAGCTTCTGTTGCCAGCATCTACGAGGCACTTTTCATCTCCGTCCCCCGTGATGTGGCTGTCTCGTCCACCTTTGCCTGCAACACACGATGAAGCATTGTTCTCGGCGGGGATCATGATATTCGATTTCATCGATTCGGTCAACGTTACGAAAGCATCTGCAATCGTCGGCGTCGCAGCTGCCACCTGGAAAATTTGCTTGTACCACTGACGCATACGGGGATCGTTTAGCACGCCGCCATCGTTCGGCCGATTGGTGTCCCACCACCAATGCTCCTTGTCGGGCACTTCTTCGTAGTCTATCGACGGCCCCCTGCTCCGCCCAACTCGGGGATGAGTCGTCAACCCGCCTCCAAAAGATCCAGGTACTCCGCTTTCGGGAACCACCAGACTTCTAGCCAAGCGCCTGGAGTACCACGGAGGCGTGGCGCCGTCTTTTGCACCGACTCGTAGCTTGACCCTTGAGACGGCGGGGATTGAGTCTTTTTCAACTCTCCTTGTGGCCCTATTGGAAATTACCTTCTTCGTTGTAGTTTCTGTCTCCTGCTCGACGTCCAGCTTGTGCATCTCGCGATCGTCGCCTAAATGAGCTGTAGCGATACTGGATCTAACGTTGTCTAAAAGCGGTTCCACACTGTTTTCCAGCATGCTCGTTTCCAGAACTGCCTTCAGCTCTGGGGGCGCGAACTCGTTCTGCAGGTCCAGCAGAAAGAACCGGTTGCTGTCACCGTATTCCTCCTTTTTGATCCAGGCCCCCAAGGGCGCGAGCCCCACCATGGGTTCCGGAACCCTGGTTGCCAGAACCAAAGCGCCGTGGCCGCCCATGCTGTGGCCAGAATAGACGACGCGGTCGAGGTCCAATCGCGCAAATCGGTGTAGTTCGGGTTTCCCGTCGACGATGGCTTTTAGTGCCGTCAGAGCACGAACGGCAGAAAGCAACCCAGTATACTCCCAGTTGTGCGCGCCCGCGCGCGTCGGACAAACTACCCAGGCCCCGTCCACACCGTAGAAAAAGGGGATCTTGCTTTCATCAGCATTGTAGACTTTCTTCACAGGTGCAGATACACCTGCGGCCTTCTGCACCTCTTTCGATTTCGGCTTGTACTTGTAGCTGTCTGCGTGGTTGCGCGGATCCACCCCGGTCCCGTGAAGCGAAAGCAGAACTGGATATCGGGGTTTTTCTTCTTCTAGGCGGCCGTCGTCTCCTCGCCCTTGGCCCGATGGTGCCTCTTTTTGATTAGAAGTTGCTTCGTGTAGTAGTTCATCTTGATGAGTGCGCGGCATGATAGCAGCGCCACGGTTGACCGTGCCGTCGTGGTCAAGAAATGTGTAGACAAATGACTGCCGCGCCGTCCGACATGACAGCGTGAAGCGTAAAGTCTTGAGGTAATTCCAATCATCCTCAGTCCCGTTCTTCTTCAATCCATCTTGCCTATCATCGCCGGCGTCCGGCTGGGCGAGGACTCGCATGAAAACGTCCAGCTGTAGGCCCACTGAGTCACAAGCGCGGGGGGGACTCTGGAGGTCGTACTTCTTGCGCCCTTCGCCAATCAAGCGAAATCGGACTGGAAGTGCCGTTGCCTGTCCGGGGGCCACTAAGTCAGAAAACGAATATTGACCACCGGTGGTTGATGTAACCCCGCCCGCTCCTTCAAGTGGTAGGACTTCGAACACGTCCGGCTTGCATGAGTTTCGGTTTTCGCAAGGCTGAAAGCGGAACTGCAACCACTCCGCGCTCAGATGATTCGTGATAGCGAGAGACAGGTGCTCACCCATCAAGGTGGTCGTAGGAAAAGAACCCTCGGCGGCTCTCGCTGTTTCCTTGTCCTCCGAAGTCGCACCCGCACCGTCGAGGAGCGCTTGTGTCTTCGTGTTTCTTTCGGCGTGATGGAGGAGTTCTGGCAATAAAGCTTTTTTAACCTCTACCGTGGCAAAAGACTCCACCTTGTTCATCTCCGTTGAAACTACTCTTTCGACCCGGCACCGAAACTCGCCCGCGTTCCCCCTGATTTTGAGTGGTACATAGAGCACGTGATGCTGATGCTGCTGGCCGTCCTGCTTGTTTTCAGAAGCAAAGCTGACTGCACTGGAAATTCGGCGCGTGCGAAACATATCACCGGGAAAAATTTGCTCAAAGCCGTCGATGTAGAAGGTGTGCACCCCCTCGCAACCGACCGTGTATGTGGTGTTCTCGGCCAGTGGGCCGAACTTGGCAATCGCCCAGCCTTGCCATTCCAGGACCTCCATGGAGGACAGCTGTTGCACCAGCTGGCTCCATTGCACGTTACGCGGCGTGACCCGAGCCCAAACATCGTTGAAATTTTTCGCTGCACCTCCCGTAGACTGCGAAGCTGCGATAGCTTCGCTGTCAAACAGCTTTCTTAGTCTTCCCTGCTTCGTGAGGGTCCTCGTGGTTGATTTGGAAGCTTCGCTCGACCGCAGACCGTCGGCAGCTGAAAACTGCTCAGTCAAGTGACCGCCGGAAGGTAATTCCGAGAACAAATTCGGAAAATCTTCGGCATCGGCTCCATCTCCATCTGAGTGTGAATCTGGAGTGACGCCGTGGTGCTCCGCTTCTTTTTCGTGTCCCTTTTCAGTCCCAACCAGAAAGGCCCTCCGGTACAGATCGAAGACGCCGCCGCGAGCTGCCGTGTATGTAGGATCCGCATCCTATGGATGCGTCAGAGTTGAAATCGACAAAGTTGAAATGACTTGTAATGCATAAAATGCGATGCAAAAAGTGACTCTATTGCAGAGGACGCAAGGGAGGCAGATTATAGTCCTGGTAAGGGTCACAAGTTGGTCACAAGTTAGTCAGTAGTCCAATGGACTACTGACTAGCATGACAGAAGGCAGCTCTTTTGCCCTAAACCGCATGACAGACTCGCCTCCGGGGCCGGGAAAATTTGTCACGCACCGACTACAAACTGTAGGTCTAACTGGTATGCGTTTTATGCATGGCAAACCATTTCAACTTTGACGATTTCAAACCTGACACATCCATACATCCAACTCGTTCTTCCCCACAGGCCACGGACCAAGAAATTTCCAGGGTTTCACCTTGACCAGTGGTGATGTTGCACCAGCACCAGCGGCCCGATCGACTACGAAGAGTAAAGCTTGAAGAAGCTGCAGAAAGAAAGACATTTTTACTTTAGGTTATACCACCTGTCCTCTCATTTTTTTCACGGAAAGAGCAAAACGGAAGTCAGAAGAAAAGTAGCAAATAGCTCGATTCATTGCAGCTAGCAACACAAACGAATGCTGACGCTGACGAATAAACCATTTTCATCTACTGCTACACGTAGACGCACCCGATATAATGCGCTTAAAATGCTACAGACGAACTGAACACAGGACGAAAGCAAAACATTATATAGCTTCAATAAATCAGAATCAGAAATAAGAAAAACAACACAGCCAACTGTAGTTCTGGTCTTGGTGCTTTATTGTGTATATCATGCTTCGACGTGGTCGAAGTCGTTTTCGTGCTTGCCTTGCGTTCATTGCGCTTCGAGAGGCCGAATGGTCCTGGTCTGTCATACAAACAAAGACTGACACTCCGTCTTCGTCTTGCCCTCCTACTATTATCACAGCGCGGCGCTGCCACCGTATTTATGTCCGTATCTTCTGTGAGTCGGACCCTCCTGGTCCTGGTTGTAGCGGTAGCCTGCTGTAGTGTATATTATAGAACACGAGCCACTGCTTCGCGGCACGTTGTACCATATTCGAGTCGATCCATCGCCCTAAATCTTTGTCATCGCCAGCACACTTTGTTTACGAGATCTTCTGACAGACTGGACTTTCCGTTTCCTCGTCGCCTGCAGCGTAATTTACATTTGCGAAGCCTTTGAGTTCATTTGCTCTTGGATGAATAGGAATACGAAATAACACTGGAAGATTGTGATGACCGAGAGAAGCAGACGCTTCTGCGCACATTTCCAAACCTCACTTTGCAAAATTCTCTGACCGTTGACGGCATTTCTAGCACGCAGACGACGAGGAGGACGACCCCACAGCGGCTTTTGATCTTGATGGGCAAGCTGGTTGCGCGGCATCGGACTCCGCCTCAAGCTTGTCGACGTTTATCTTCAGATCCGCCAAAACTGTGTGGCAATACGGCGCATTGACTATCATCGGCCGCAGTAGTTTTTCTGCCAATGGGCGGAGGGTGTAGCCTGGATCCGCGCCGCCCGCAGCAGCGCTCCACTCTTCTTTCTTCTGTGTTAAGCAATACCGCACTAGATCCGGCACAAGATTCAATGGCTGCGCTTGAAGGAGGTCGCGAGCCGCGTCTAGCTTTTATTTGTCACTCTTGTACTGGGCAAGCTTCTGCACCATGCCCTTGACAAAGTCTCGCTGCTTCGTAGCTTGCTTGATTTTTTCTCGTGCTTCCTCAACGCTTTCCGCGCTCGCTTTTTTGTTGTCAAGCTTCATCTTCACTTCGTCAATGGTGCTTTGAAGTTTATCAATTGCTGCTATTTTTTCCTCCAGCAGATTCTGATCATCCTCGACCTTGGTGGCTAAGCGATCTCTGGCGTCCCGCAGCTTAGTTAGCTTTGGCAAAATGAGATCGGTGACCTCTTGTCTGAGCCTGGCTGTAAGCGTTGGCTTCGCGTTCTTTGTCGTTTTGAAGAAAATCCTAAATATCAGCCTCCCCTTCCCGCCGACTTCATCATACGACTCGAGCTCGACGCTTTTATTCTTCCCGATGGTGACATGCAGCAAAGGAAATTTCTTCTGAGGCTGCTCCTCATCGTCCTCCTCCTCTACCGGCATTTCGTCTTCCGCGAACATAATGCGCCGAGTTTTCACCGTCAACGCAGGAGAAAAGCTGCGGGCTGGGCATAATTCAACTTCTTCGGTCGGAAACTCGATCACCAGACGTCTCTGGCCCTTGAAGGCTCCGATCTCTTTTTCGTGCTGTTTTTATTTTATTTTTGGGGCAGTAGTTCTTACACCTAGACTTACAAAGCCAAAGCAGGGAAACGCTTCAGAGGAATGCTCGAAATCACGCGTGGACACACATCACGCAGATCATCCAATAAAGCTATCGCACTGGGATCGTGCTACTTACGTGCGATACATTCGTAGCTGGCCTTTGAAGTCACTAACTTCAAAACGTTCTAGAGCTGCAGCAGCATTTCCTGCTTGTAAACCAAGAGGCTCCAAGAAGAAAGATACTACTTGCAGCAGTAAGTGATGCAATTATACGAGCAAGCAAGTGAAGATACTGCGAAGCGTAGTCTTGCGCCTGCCACTAGACATCTCGCCAATTCCAGCGACTCACCACGTGGTTCATTTAGAAATAGAAAATGAGCGCTATAACATATGAAACATATTATCAAACAGATGATAACAAACGCACAGCGCAATAGTACTTCGAGCCCCTTGTCGTCGCTCGCCGTTTGGTCTTCCCACGTGAACCCTGCAGCGGGGGCGCGGGCCACTTCGCCCAGGATAAGGGCGTCCGCGTCGTCGATGTTGTCGCGGGAATTCTGGCCATCCTCCGCGTCGGTCTCCTCCCCCTCCCAATCGCTCCCGTCGTTCTTCCCATTTCGATGCCGCCCGCCTTGGCCTGGCGCGCCTGCATCCGCATCCACGGGGCCCGCGGGCATGTCTTCCAAAACGTCATCGATGGGCACGAGACGCAGGACGCGTTCCTCTGGGATCGGGGACCTCGCCCCCTTACTGTATCCCTCAAAGAAGTTTGTCGAGACAAAGGCCCGCGAGCCTTTCTTCCGGGCCTTCGACTCCAGGGCTGCAATCTCCCTGGTGAGCTTGTCGCGTGTCTCCCTTTGCTGTTGGCTTTTTTTCTTGATCGCCTCCACGTCCTTCTTATCTTTCGTCAACTTTTTCTGCAAAGACTCGACTTCCTCCATGCGCATGGCCTTGGTTTCTCCATTGACGTCCTCCATTTCGTGTAGTTTTTCCTTTTCTTCCTCAATTATGTTGGTATACCTGAAAGTTAAAAATGAAAAAGCGGAGACATTGGCGTGTGTTGAAATGAAGTGACAAGCAATTGTCAAGAATTTTTCACCCTCGTCGTCCATCTTCGCAAAGAAGCTCTGTGCTGGCCTGGACACAATCATCACAAGGGATGAGGTTGTTCGATAGAGCATTTGATGCGCTACTGGCGTTCAGCTGGTCGGATTCGATGAGCATCGAAGTATAGGCTTCGCATCATCATAGATCACCAGCACCAAAAGTGTCAGTTGTCTGAGTTTCTGCAAGGCACTGCGATTAAGTGCACCCACCCGCGGGCACTCGCACTGCCGGTGCGTCAGATCACGGGAACAGCAACACAAAATCAAGCTCAAAAGAAAGACATCTAAAAATACAGCGAAAGGTGGTCCTCGCCTTCGGACATGCCTGCTGCTTCGTCTACTGCTTGCGCCTCCTTCACATTACAGTAGAGACTCTATCGAGCCGGAAAAAAACCCGCCCACAGTTTCTCTCGTTGCGAGGCTGGCTACCTCTCTCATATTAATCACAAGAGTTGTACGACAAAGACCTTTTCTACTGGGGACAGACCTGCACTGGCATATGATCCTCGTGCTCGTCGGCGTCTGGTTTCCAAGGCCAGCGCCACCGCCAGCAGTGGCTTTCGCAACATAAAAGTCTACCTCTACTTATATCAATTGTCTAAGTACATAAAAACAAAGGTAAGAAGGTAGCAAGCTACACGGTACGACCCGTCTCGATCCCGATTGTTTGAAGCTGAGTGCTGCAGATGCTATGCATATCTCATCCGTACTATATCTAATTGAGATGCACCACAATCGGCCTGAAACAAGCATAAGCAAGAAACTGAAGGCGCAGACTTTCCGGGGCATATCCTAGAACACGCTTCTAGGGCATCAGTTAGCGCCCGCGTCTGCTGGCCGAACGCGATTTCTTCGGTAAGGATGGTTTTTGCCATGCTTCTATCGGTGGAACGGGAGTCGTCGACGGTTTCCCGGATAGCGCTGACACTCTCTTTGCTTCCATCAAACAAAAAGACGCGGCCTGTTGAATAGTCAAACAAAAGCAAGCGTTGCCGGGTCAGTATCGCCTTAAGGAGATACTCATGCCGGCGCGTGATGATCAGTGCATCGAAAACGTAGCCATGAGATCTAATGACTGGGGGCGATTCTACTCAGACTCACGGCTGCGCAGATAGGTGACTGGATGATGACGATGAGCACTGACGTGCTTATAGAACATCGTCATCCATAAAAGTGAGAAAGAACAAAGGCGAAACCAAAAAACGCGTCTGAGATGAAAATGCGAATGGTACCGCTCTCCAGTAGCTTCTTCACCTCAAACCAAAGGGCTTTGACCGCTTTCGCCGGTTTCGTTCGCGCGTTCCGGCTTTTGCCCGTACCCTGAAGAACTACCGCGCGCAGATCGTCCAGCAGACTTTTTTGACGCTCTTCGTAGGGGGAGTCTGTGGGCGGTTTGCCTGGACCACTGAAAACCAGGACAGCCCTGGACGCAAGCTTTTCAAGTCCGTACTTGCCTAGCATGTTCCGCAGCGCGTTCTCCTCGAAGTCGGAGATAGATTGTCGGTCTCCTAAGGTGCGGGAAGTCGTCACCACCACGACGCACGCAATTTCTTCCGCGGCGTCGATGTTCATTGCTCTCGAAAGAGATCCGACGAGAGTGCAATCCTCTGGCGTTATGTGGGGTTTGTCCATGTCAACGCCACGCCTGTCCCCCGTTCTGAAGCGGTGAGTTTTTTTGTGGATTTGATGAACAGCATAGAATTTGCTCCTTCTTCCGTGGTGTCATGTCAGGGTCAAACCAAGCAAAAAAACCAATCGGGAACTCCGGTCTATGATTTATTGATGATGTAGCTGAACTTGATGGTCTAACAATTACCACAAGGAATTCTAATTACAGCAAAAGACTACAATGCACAGCGTCGTGGCGCCGGCGCTGAGGATTATAATTATGGCGCCACTTTTTAAAGCGTACAACTCATGCTGTAGGCACGACTGAGTCATCATCAGATCATCATCAAAATCTTGTTCTTGTTCATTGTATAAACATAGTAGGATCTTCTGTGTGCGCCCCGGATGGTTCTTAGGGGTGTTTTCCATCCTCATGAGTGGACGGGCACCACCCAGCACTGCGCTGCCCGAAATGACCCGAAAAAAGCCACGCCGCTTGCCAGGAGTTACGTAGTCAATAAAAATAAATATCAATCTTCAAAGACTAAGTAATATGAATCGCAGCACCATACCAAATATTTAGAGCTTGGACACCCGTTAGAATAAGGGCGCGCGGATATTGTGCGGATTTGGGTCCCTGGTGGCCCGCCCCTGGTGGCCCGCCCCTGGCTGGCCCGCCCCTGGCTGGCCCGCCCCTGGCTGGCCCACCCCTGGTTGCCCCCCCGACCCCTGGCCCAACCCTGGCCGCCCGACCTCCCCTGGCCGTCCCCTGGCCCACCCCTGCCCTACCGACCCCTGGCCCACCCTGGGCCCATCCTCCCCTGGCTCACCCTCCCCTGCCCCACCGACCCCAGGCCCACCCCGGGCCTACCCTCCGCCGGCCCACCCCTGCGGCCCCTCCCCCAGTCCCTCCCCAAGCCCTTCCCCAACCGGGGCCATAGCAGCCTGGAAGGCCCCCCCGGAGGTTCCAAGGCACGGAGGCCCGCCCGCTCCCAAAGCGGACGCGCCTTTGATGATCGCCGCGGATGGGCCATAGCAGCCTGATAAAGCCCCCCGAGGGCACTTGGCAGGGCGCCAATCCCGATCGGATTCTCGATTCGCGGACGTGGCGGAGGGGGTCCGCGGATTTGTCGAAAGGGGGTCCGCGGATTTGTTTTCAGCGGGCCTCGCGGATTTGTCGCGGATTTGTGCCAAAAAATCCGCGCCCGCACGCTATGGTGGATTTTTTGGGTCAGGCAACGGGCGCCAAAAATCGTGCCTGTCCAACAAATCCGCGGGACCTTTTTTTCGCCAGTCCGCAGACACTTTTTTGCCTCCTTGAAGAAGGACTCCCAAGACGGAGGTTCGGCCGGGAAGTCCTGTCCAACGAACCTTCCGGGCGGGGTTGAAGGCTCCTGGCCACTGCTACAGGTGGGCGGGAGCGCTTCAGGACAGGGGACTCCCGCCAACTCCGCAGTCTTGGGAGTCTGTCCCCGGCACCTGGCCTCCATGCCAGGCAGACTCGCAAGGCCAAGGCGTGCTTCCCAAGGCTGCAGCGAAAAAATGGGCCGACCGCCCACGAGCGGCCGGCCAACATGCACGGGGCCAGGCTAGGCGTTTGCCGGGGTCGGCCGCGATCAGGGGTCGGAACGGGGTCCCCACCCTCCCGCCCCTGGGCGACCCTCCCCTGGCCCATCGATCCCCGGCCCACCCCTGGCCCGCCCCTGGCCTTGGGCGGGGGGCTGGGGGTCGGCGAGAAAGATCGACCACGACGAGAGAAAAACTGTCGCACGTTTTCCATTTGAGTCATAATATCCGCACAATATCCGCGGCCGGGATTTCTAACTACCGTCCAAGCCGTAACCAAATATACCCCGCCACGTCCAGTGCCGCCAATGGCTTCGTGTTTTGCTCCATCCTGGTCATTTCCAGGCCTCTCCCCAAGCGGGTGTAGTTGTGCGCGCAGAGTTTCGCTCTGCATTAAAGAGTGCCCGATTTTTGGCGCGCCTGCTTCAGCGGCTAGCTTGGGGCTCTTGTACTGCAGGACTGTGCGCGACCCCTCCACCGCCCAGCACGTTGTCCAACCGCGCATCATACCCACGAGGGTAGATTTCCCGGACCCCGTTGGACCGTCCAACAGCACAATGCTGTTAGCGGACCCCTGGGCCAGCGCGCCGTAGTATGATGAAGAAGGAACATTGCACACCCATACCCCGCCCGCGAAAAGTACTTATTCGGCAAGCTATTCGTTACCGTTGAGCTTAAATGAGCACGACGGATCATCGCGTTCGTTTCTTGTGATTGTGAAATTCGAGTCAAGGTCAACTACTTACAATAAGCACACTAGGCCACTACACTGGTACAGATAATTTGGTTCTTGCAAAGAGGGTGGCTTTAGATGATTGAAGTGGGAAGTAGCGGCTTCTACTCGTCATGCAGGGCGCAGCTCCTTGATGCTGCGACGCGTATCCGAATCACGGCGAAGATGCTAGAGCTAGTTACAGCTGTACCAATCAACTACGCGACTCCACCAACACTTCGAATTCGCCTTCGGGCGTCGGCCGATCGATGCACATTAATGAGTAAGGGCAAGGCACGACAATTGGGCGTGCATTTGTTCCCTTGAATACATCGCTCTGCGGGTGAATCAAGTCCGCCACATTATTTACCAGAAATTCGACCTGACAGGCCAGCTGCTCCCCGCAAGCGGGCCAGACTTCCGACAGCTTTTTCGCGAAGGAAAGCGTTTCCTGTTCGGGGTCTTTCCGGTGCTGGTGCTGGAGCGAATCGTCATCGGACGCCTTTGTCACGCGAACGCAAGTCGCTTCAGGGAAATTGTGCCCCGCAACAGGGAGATCGGCTGGGTTACCCCTAAATGTCACCGCGTCGCCTTTCCTGATGCCGTCGGACACGAGGTGCTCTCGCGATACGTTGAAGTAGTATTTTTCAAAATGTAGATCTTTCTTTGCGCCGCAAGTAACTATGATACCCCACGCCGACCTTTTTGACTCTGGCGGAATGTTGATGTAGTCGACGGTCCCTACTTTGTCCTCCCAGATGTCCTCCACGTCCGCGGTTTTGCGCCGCTTCGAGTCTTTGCTCATTTTGACGGCCGCGAACGATTTGAGAAAAACATTTAAGGGAGGACCGACGGCACAAAATAAACAAGAAGGCCAATGATGAGCTTGTTCCCGTGTAAGTGAGTAACTACGCAACCGTGTTCAAAATGAGCACGATGCTTCTTCGTTCTTCAAATAAATCGTTCCTGATCATCCTGAGTTTGATGACATATCTTTCTGTATTTAAATGAAGATATCTTTCTGTATTTAAATGAAGAAAGGTGCACATAATATGTGATCGCGCTAACAAACACATCAAGGTCAGTGGCGTTCTTCTAAATTCCAACCACGCGTACTGCGAAGGTCCGCCTAATTTGTACCATGGTCATTTCAGGAAAGAAGGAGATCGAGATCAATGGATCGACTCAACACTGAGGTGGATGATAGAAAGCTAGGCCACCTTTTCTTCCCTGTGAAGGAGCGCTAACGTGAAAGGTGCGCCAAATAAGACCTTTCGTGTTCGACGGTTTCGTTTGCAAGTACTGCAGCCTGCTGAGGAAATAATATCATCTGAACTACAGCCGCCGGCGCGAGAAAAGCGTGCTGAGCAAAATAAATAAACATGCTCAGAATGACAATGAGATCCAGGAGGAAAAACAAGTCCTCTGATTTCAAGTAAAAGCAAGACACTAAGAGGTCAGTCCAGCTGCAGTGCAGGAGCTGCATTGACTTATGGTTATGCTTTCTCTTCTTGCTTATGCTTTGGACGCTCTGTCAGTTACACGACCTTTCATCGACGTCAAAAACTCATTCTTGTGGGCTTTTGTCCGGTGCAGTAGGCCGAGCGACCAGGAGCAGGAGCACAGTTGGAACCGCGAGCAAAGCGTGTCAAGAACAAGATACTAGCTCGTTCTCACTTCACAACTTCTATCTAATCAGACTTTCACGTTGCTCCTATTCGTCCGGTGTCGGAAGCGTTGGTCGAACATGCCGTGGTCTGGGCGTTGCCGGTTCAGCAGCTCGTCGCCCGCGGCCCTCGACCGCGCGCGCTTCTGATTTCTCGATTGCCATCCTGTCGAACATTTGCGCTAGTTCTTGAACAGAGCTCCGTCGTTTGCGCCTTCCCCGAGCGTGGGCGACATCTGCGGGTGTTGTTTGCTGCTGTCTTTCACCCGTCGCTGTACCTCCCCGCGGATCTACACTTACAGGAGCACAAGCGTGCCTCATCCAGTCCGCAGGTGATGGTGTGGCTGTGACGTCATCCTCCCCTTCTGCCAACGAGGGCAGATCGTCGGAACCACAGGCACCCAAAACGAATACTGGCGTTTTCGCCAAATCCTCGTGTCGAACAGCCGACGTGGTGACCGAAGTACTGTGTGCAGCGGCAGTGGTAGTGTAATAGCTAGTATCCGTCTGCCGTCGTTGTCCATTCTGCACCAGCTCGGGCAGAGACGCAGAACTAGAAGAAGCTGCAAAATTGGGCGAGATGTTGCCGTGACCTTGCCCTGGGGTTCCCGCTCTTGACGGCTGATGCTCGGGACGATTCATTTTCATCTCACGCTCAACCAGATAAATGGTCGACGACGCTTTGTTGCCGCTAGTGGAGCTCCGTTCTTGGGCGTCATTGCAGTTTTTATTCTGCATCTGATGTAGAAAAACAGGACCCCAGCTGCTTCTGTTGACATATTCAGGGCCGGGACGATTCGACGCTCGGGTACTTGTGCCATCTCTGGTTCTCGGGTCCGCCGCCCCGCGGAAAAAACTGTCGTGGGGTACGTTCTTTACCGCCTGATGATTCTTTCTGTCTAAAGATCCCACCTCGTCGGTCGGACTGGACCAAGTCGAGGACGAGGGAGACGAGAAATACTGTGGCTGCTTCAGCGGAGGCGAAGGGTCGGGCTCGATGTCGCTCCTCCTTCGGCGACTGCCGCGCCGAACATCCCGGATCCACTTTCGCACGGCCATGCACTCCCACTCCGGCGGGCCAGGACAAAGACAATCTCTACTACTGTGACCGAAAGAACTGCGAGTGCGCCGCGTCGGTGCAGGCTTCGCTTCGATTCCCTGACTCGCGGCGATGAACTCATTTACACAGCTCGGGGCGGGCGGTCCTCGTTGTCGGCCGCGCCGCAGGGACAAATCAAAGGGGAATGCAAGAAGCGACCCACTTCCGCCGCACGAAATCTGCGGAATCTTGCAACCTGTCCGGCTTTCGTCTGTGTGTTTCGTTTCTCCACGACTTGCAACATCCTTGGAGTTCTTGTTTCGGTAGTTGTTCCACAAGATGCTTCTCATTGTATCCGCGCACCCTCTCGCTAACGCATGCAGTGCAACATGTAAAGGATGCGGGGCTCCTGGTGGCACGCAACAAGATGTTCCTGCTCCTTGTTCCCGCCAGTGCTGAGAAGTCGCTGGTCCTCCGGGTTGTATTTTCGACATGCTCGGTACTAGGTAATGTCCGGCCTCGTCGTGGTCTCGATCTTCTCCCGCAGGGGCAGGGGGCATGTCACAAGAACTCGCTACCACTTCTGGTATTGCGTCCATGTTGTTGTGACAACGCTGCCGTCCACCCCCGCCTCCACCGGGAACGGAACACGTAGTAGCAGTCCGAATGTCGCTAGCGCGAAAGTAACCGGCATTGGTAAGCGCGAGCTGCAACCGCTGACCCGCGTTAGTGCTTGGGGACAAGGTTTCTATTCGTGGTGTCAATGGTGCGGCTGGGGAAGAAGTAAAACCGCTAGGCGAAGATGTCGCTGTTGATGTCGTGGAGGAGGAAGACAATGGCAGCACGACGGGCGAACCGGTACCAACCAAGCTCGCTGTGCTGTCCTCGGACGACTCTGACATAAGCTGCCTCTTAGTTGTTGTGCCGCGCAGGAAGGAAGCGACTTCTTGTCGCACTCGGGCGCAACCAAGGAGACAGGAGCTTAGCTTGCACGGAGTTCTTTCCTGTTTGTTCGTCTTCTGGACTGCCGGCGCCGCGGTGCTTGACAAAGTCAAAGACGCGGGGATGCCTCGTCGGAATGATGGGGACGACGCCCGAACGCAAACACCAGCTGGACCGATGGCAGCCGCAGCTGCAACCACGAAAATCAACGATGAGAGTATGTTGCCCCATAGCGACTTTAATACCTTCGCGCTAGTATTCGATGCCGTGGACTCGAGGCGATCCCCAGGAGCAAGCAGCCGGGTATACATCCTTGACCGACCACAAGCTGGGAGCATACTTGCTCCTGATTTGAAACGCCTGTGCTGGAGCAAGACTTTATTTTGCGCCAGCGCCACTAGCATACAATACATGAAGGTCCGCTGAGTTTTTTTATGTCAGTGAAGAACAAGATCAAGAAAAAGACACAAAATCTTACAAATGTAGAAATACGGGCTAAGAAAGAACAAGAAAAGCTCTGACCGGCACGATCATGTACCATAACAATATCAGAGGGTTTTTAGGGTGGATCTAAAAAAGACAATCTTCAGGACCCACAATCAACAAGAGAACTATCAAGCCATTTATATACAATGCGTCTTGATGTGTCCTCCTCATATCAGCACCACAAACCTCGGATCATGAGCTAGACAGACTGATTTCAAAAAAAGAAAAGCGATCGCGTACGTCAAGGAGCGCTGCACGCCATCGGTGAAGAGATCTCATGATCCTAGTAGTGCCTTCGATTTGCTTCCTGCTCTAGCAAAAACATTTCGATTCAACAGCACGAGGAAAAGGCAAACGCAATTCATTTTTGCCCGTTAAAGCGGAACACATCAGATGTTGAGCTGCTGCTCCTTTGATTGCTGGCGACGTTGACGTAACCCTAAACGTTCTGATATTGCGACTTGCTTCTGCGTGCAGCATATGATACGAACTTCTCTCGAGACTTTTTTAGTCTCCTGGCGTCTTGGTCTTTGATTTGTTGTTCCTCAAGCCATGCATTTGCAATACTAATAAATAATAAAAGAGTCATCTTCATCATCAAAAATAGGAGCACTGGCTGCAGCTACGCGAATTTTTCCTCGCCAAGAGGTATAAGATCTGGCACATCATGACCTGAGGACAAAATTAGGGCCCCCGTTCTTCATCATCTTGCACTACTTGGTATTTTGGTCCACCGGTCTTACTTGCGCTCCCCCCTGATGGCTGTGCTGGAGATGAACAGGACGAGAAAACTGATCCACTTCCGCCAAATGCAGGGAAAAACTGCTGCGCATTCCCGAGATCGTAGTCGTCGGCGTGGTCGTTAAGAATAACTCGCACGCCGCCTAAAACTATATGGAAGTGGAAAAGCTCAGAACCAACCCCCCACTCTCCATTATTTTTTCTCGGGCAAGATCTCAGAAATCATAATATGAGCGCCAAACCATCAGCGGTGTTTGACCACCAAGATTCCGCACTATATCATCAAGTCCTGCTCGTGCTCCTGGAAGCCCAAACTACACTAGAGCTGTTCGGCTGAACAAGGTTCTGCATACACCAAAAGCTGGATCTTGATCTTGTTAGTTGGGCTTTTGTCGTCTGTCCTCACAGTCGCAGGAGCAGATCTGCTTTCTGGAATAACCGCCACCCAATCTTCTTCGGAGGGAGAGGTGGTTTCGATCATTTTTCGACTTTCATAAGTGGCCAAACGGTGCTTGAAGTTGGCGGTTGGGCACGTAATGAACATACAGTTTGCGGGAATCGCGAGTTTTTTTTCCAAGTACGGGATCACCGCCGGTGTGAAAGGGTAATTCACGATGCAAAGGTCGATCTTCGCGTCTGGATAGATGCAATTGAGCAGCGCCACATACTCCGCCAGGTGGGGCGGAAGCTGGCCCGATTCTGTGCAGTGCACAATCTGCACCCGTTTTGTGTCTTCGTTCTGGAAGATGTACTGCAACACCTGGTTTAGCTGCGCGATGTCGGCGTTTTTGCTGAAAAAAACGACTCCCTGCTGGCGAATGCGGCGCAACTCGTCAAGAACGAAAGCGGACCACCGGGGCCTGGCCGTTTGGCTGGTTGAGGAATGGGAGGATCTCCGCGAATGCACCGCGTTTGAGGTAGTCGCGTCAGCGCCGCCTTCCGCCGACGAGCCAGGACTAGTCACGAGGGCCCCGTTCATCTTGACAATGTGACTATCCGCACCTCCTCCGTCAGGTTTTTCCCCTCGTCCCTGGTTGTGCACGGCAGCAGCGAGCATCGGCGTGGATTTCATAGCGACGTCATTTTTCGCTGAAGGGCCTTGATGCGGGCTCCTTCCGAGTGACGTTTTTTCTTCTCGGCTCATCCACGCTCCTGTACCGCCGGCAGGAGGAGAAGTGGTAGCTTCTCCTTGATTCAACCCGAGACACCACGAGGAAAGCCTCGCAAAGGCACGGTATATCATCGTGCTAGAGAACCTATCGAGGAAAGACAGGAAAACCGAGAGAAGAAGGACGCGATAGTACGTGACCATGACGAAGCTGACGGCGAAAACGAAGAAGACAACAAAATCGGCGAAAACCTCTGCGTTTCTTACCAGCGCGCCCAGGAAGGCAACGAGCGTGAAGAGGGTGGCAGAAACAAACCAATGCGCCGGGTAACGCGCCGGGCGGGGGAGGGAGGGGCGCGCGTATTTCATAACCACCCCGCCGACCCCGAACATCGACATGACGAGCAAAAAGCTCATGCTATACATGTTGGCCAAAAGTCCGATGTCGCCCCGCAGCGCCACGCACAGTGTGAGACACACAACCAGGAAAAACACGACGCACGCCCAGGGAGGGGCCTCCTCGGTTTTCTTGCGACGCTTCTTGCTCATCGTGTTGACTGCAGCTGCTGTACCTGGATTTCCAGTTGTACTTTCCGCAGCTGGGCCAATAGCGTGCTGTCGTGGGTAGAAGTTTGCGCCATCTTGTTCTGTGGCCGGATGATCTTCAATCAAAAGGCTGGTGGATCGGCCACTGGTGCGAGTGCTTTCTAGAGGTGGAGGTAGTCCCGCCGCCCCTGCGCCACCTAGTTGACCGGAGGTTGCAGCAGCTTGAGCTTCGTCCTCCCGGGACGAAGCCATTGCTGTTGCGGCATGAGGAGGACCGACGTCGTCCACGTCTGTGTCAGAATTTCTTGAAGCTCCTGTGGACCGAAACCAGCCACAGCAAAAGCAGCTAGCAAAGACCTCAGACCAGAACGGACGCGTGTCGGTGAAAAATTCCGGGAGACAGCGGTCCAACGCCATACGGTTTAGCAGGCCCGTGACACCGACGAACGAGGTAAGCACGCTGGCGGCCAACACTAGAAAAGCGTCGACCCGGATCCACTGCAGGAACCAGGGGCCGCCCAGTAAATCGGTGGTGACTTCCTCAGCCAGAAAAGCCAGTGCGTCGTCCGACCGGCCTTCCGCCAGCTCGTCGAGTGGCACGAGGCACAGGACGAAGAAGGAGCTATCCAGGAAAAAACACCCATCCCCATCCATTTTTTGCGTGACAAATGGCGGACTTATGCATGTTGTGCATGACAAATTGGATGGGGATGGGTATTTTTTCCTGGATAGGAGCACGCCACGTTCAACACCGACACGGAAGCCCACATGTTCCGCAAGGTTTTTGGAAACACCCCCGGCTCCTGATTCTCCACAAAGTTAGCGCTGCTCTCGAAGCCTGACACCCCCAGCATGGCCGTGGAAAATCCGTAAAAAACACTCTCAAAAGGCGGGCGCTGGCCCGACCAGACCAAATTCTTGTGGAAGATCTTGTGCGTGTGCGGAATGTGCGTCTTCTTGCCGTGGTCTTCGTCGCCAACGCGCGACAGGTGCGGATCCGAGTCCGCAAACGCTACGGCGTTGCTTGCAAACAAACTTTGCTGCTGCAACTGCAGTGCGAGTGCGCCACTGGAAGAAGTTACAGGAGGGGAGCGTCCTCGATTGTCCAACAGTAAAGGCGGACTGGTGCCTAGAAGTTGACGGCTGGTGCTGGCCGTCCCAGCACCCGTGTAATTGCCATCGTCGCTTCTACTTCCCGTTTGCGTGGTCGTGGAGGACCAGATGGGGAAAAGAGATTTCCTGTCCGTCTTAATGGCGGTTTTCGCGATCATGTGGCCGATGTCCCGGGAAAAAAACATCTCCCACCGCTGCACCGTCGTTACCACGCAGGCGGTCAGGAGCAGGGTCATGGTGACCAAGTGGAACACAAACAGGACGCTGGCCACGCGGGCGGACTCCTTCATGCCGCTGAGCAGCAGCAGCGCGAACGTCACCAGGATGAGGAGCGACCCCGCGAGCTGCCAGTCCTCGTCGGCGACGCCGGAGTAGTGCATCGCGCTGACCGCGGACACCACACTAGTCGCCGTGTAGGACAAGATGGTCAGACACGCGGTCGCGGCCGCGCTTCGTTTGGAGAATCCGCTGTTCAGCATCACGTTGTAGAGTCCCCCATTCAGGGGCAAGGCGCACACCACCTCGGTGTACACCTTTCGATAGCAAAACAGCACAGTTGCGGCGAAAACCGTGCACAGTGGCGCGTACACGCCACTGTCCTTGCACAGCTGCCCCACGACGTAAAAGCAGCTGGCTGTGATGTCATTCCCGCAGATCGACGTCGCTTCGAGCTCGTTCAGCTTGGTCTCCTCCGGCCGGACCTTTGGGGGCCGGGGCATCTCTTTATTCCCTGAAAATTAACCACGATGATCCCCATCCACTTTTTGCATGACAGAAGCCGACTTTGCTACTCCATGTCTTGCGTGGCAAGTTGGAAGATGGGGTTGGGTTAATCATTTCCAGGGAATACTCTTCCTCATCTTCGCGCGGCGCCGCGACCACGGCGTTACTGGCTGCGTCCTGGCCCTCTCCATTCCCACTCGTACTAGAGTTAGTAAACTTTACGGGCGTTAGTTTCGCCTTTCCCGCCGGCGCCGAGAGCGGTGTATTGCTCTGGAGCTCCACCAAGACCGACCCGAGGCTGTCGATGGACACCGTTCGCCGGTGAAGGTGCGATCCGGGGAGTTCCTGATTCCGGGTGCTTCCGCATCTACTTCGGCTGAATTTAGTTTCCTAGAGGTTGCCAAACCGGCCCGGTTTATTATTTTGCCTTTCAGTTTTCAGTGAGTTCTCATCTCCCTCGCTTCAGTGCCATGATGCTCACGCACGTTATTTGCTCTTCGTGAGCCTTTCATCGCGACTTATATATTGAAAGCACCAATCATAAGTCTGGCGGCGCTTTCAATTGATTCATTTGTATGATGCAGCTGCGGTTGCAGTGCGACTGCGAGTAAAACATGCATGATCACGTGTCAGTGCATAACAAGTCAAAAGCTGCACACGGTATGTAAAGGTTGTAACGTGACCGTGAGGGCACTACTTTATTCAACATCAACATTCGTTGTCGTTCTTTCTTCAATAGCAATAGTGAATCGAAGCTGTGTTGATCAGACGGAAACTAAATTGACTCCGGTCCTTTCTTGTAGACACGGCAAGACACCACACGGCGCTCTCGCTTGATAACTTGACTTGTCGGCGACCAGGGAGCCTCGATATCAGATACAACAGGCGAAGAGCCTACAAACTGATTGCCCGGTCCAGAGACTTGTTCCGCAGCTGTGTACTTTCGGCGAGGTCGCAGGATCATCACTTCCGGGTTGTCCAGGGCCTGGCGGTGCCGTGCCTCACGAATGAAGTTAAGCAATTCGCCTGACATGATGCCCCGTGTTCGACGCCGGCGCTTACGTTTCGAAGATCTTTCTGGCGACCACACGGTTACTTTTTGTCTTCTCTACAACAAAAAACAAGACCTATTTCCGAATAGTCGTGCCGTGTCTAGAGAACGATATCGGGGACTCAGCATGGAAAGAACTCTGGCGATTCGCTCTGCAGCATCCTCGACTGCAAGAAAGAAGAAATTCATCAGAATGTTAGCCGGAACTTAAGTGAGTTCATCGGCAAGTCTCAAGTGAAGAGTGCCAGTTCAGTGGGCATCACGGGATGTTGCAGATGGACCATTAAACGAAGAACGAGCGGCAGAAGCAGAACACGACACAGAAGATATGCATTTTATTTCTGCCGTATCGTTGCCGCGACAGGGACAGCAATTGCGAGCCCAGTACAGTGGGCGGCTCGACGGTAGCAAGGTATTTGAGCATTGCTCAACGCAATTTTGCCATCACGACTCCGGTGTCGAACAACTTGCAAAGAGTTTCCCATATAATTACATTTATCATTCGGTTGTAGTTGCAATTTCTTATGCCTGGAATGCTACGAATTCCCATCCTTATGCCCCTCGCCGGCGTTGGCACAGGAAAGCAATCCGACCTCTAGGTGGTGAAGAAGCAAAGCACGACCTATCATGAACGAGTTGCAGCAACAAGAATTACGTGAAAGAAATTCTATGCTTTCAGCACGTCAATCTCGCTTTGAAGCGATACCATGTCGTTCAACACCTTCTGTTTGTAGGTTTCGATTTCCGACTCGCGCTGCGCAATTTCTCGACGCATGCGTACCATTTGCTGCGCCATCTCCTCCTGCGTCGCCTCCGCTCGTCGCCGCTTCAAAATCTGCCGCCACTCGCGCGCGCGTTCGAACTCCGCCCGCACCTGTTCTTCGTCCTCGAGCGCGAGAATTTTCTCCGTGTCGACCTCTTTTTTCCGCTTCTCGAGGCGCTCGCGCGCATTTTCCAGCTGTTCCTCGTAGTCGCCCACGATGCGGTATGCGAGCGTACAACTCGACGCGTGCGCCCCACTCTCCCTCATTTATGACGCAAAACCAAAACACCCAGAAGTCGATCGGATCCTGTTGCCACTGCTTGCGTGACAGGTGCCGGAGGTCGTGGTCCGAGCAGCACTTGTTCAGTTGGTTCTCAGCGTACGAATTTGCCATGCTCATGCACAAGCAACATTTTGATTTTATGTGCTATTGCTTCTGTAAGTGTAACTATTGGTGCACTTCTTCCTGTCCAAGTGAGAGTGACCTCCACGCCGGGGAGTTGTGCAATCTTATAGGAGACTTTGCCGCTGTTTTGCGTCCTCGAGCTGGAGTCGCAGCTCCGTCTTCCTAGCGCCGAGGTCTCGTCCCCGTAGTGCCTGGTCTTCCAGAAGACGGATGCTCTGCTCCAACATCTTCTTCTTTCGCAGCTCCTGCTCGCACAGCGTCCTCCAGGTGACATTCTCGGGCTTCACGAACTCCTGCTCCATATTCAATAGTATAATCTCGTCGTGATCTTGCAGCTCACCGATGTTGTTCATTTGATGTAAGTTGTCCTCTCCTGCTGCAGTCCTGTGTTGATCTGCAAGCGCGACATCCACCGTGGCAGGATAAAGATATGCGCCAGAAGATGCTGGTGCTGCGTCACCAGCTCCACCGCGCGGCCTGCCCACGTGGGGACCCAACTCGTGTTGCTGGTTTTGTGCGAGAGCAACCGCATCAAGACCCCTCTGCGTGATTACACCCATGTTCTGTGCTCCTTGTCTCGTGGTCTCGCCCTCGCGCTGCAAGAGCGACGTTGTGCGGTCTACCGGGGGAATTAGTTGGCCCGCGGAGGGGTGCTGCGGCTGTTGCTGAGGATATGCTGCACCCATCGTGGGTAATGACTGCGCCGAGCCGGCCATTTCAACAGTGCGATCGTGTAGGTCGTCGAGCCCGCTTTCTGCCGAAATCGCGTCAACGTCAGCGGAATAATCCTGCAAAATGTCGCGGAATGAACACGAGTTGTTCTTCTTGTTTTGAGCTCCTGCGGCGTCGCCCGCGAGCCCGGTGACGGCCGTTTTCGCGACCTCGTCACCGTCGGCCGGAAGTTGCTGCCCTACCATGTTGCCGATTCTGTATGTAACTGGGTTCGCTTTCCAGACGCAACTCTTGGAAAAAATCGGGGGAGTGGAGAGCGACCTGCGCAGCCGCAGGTGCAACAGGCTCTCCTCGCTCGTCTGGCAATGCAAGAAAAAATTCTGCTGCAATGAAAGTAGCGCACGGATAAAAAATTATCTTCGCTCGGAATGGCGTGTAGGTTGGTACGACATACCTCCCTGCTGCCCTCAAAAAATTACTGCTGACTCATGATGGAAGAATCAACTAATTCGTCTCATTGTCACCCAACCAGACGACATAAATATTTTTGTCTTTCAACAATGCACACTACGGAAAAACACCAAAGAAAGACCACGAAACAATCCGTGACTCGATAAGAAACTAACCGCGTTCATCTCTTTTTCCTTGCAATATTTCATCACGAGGAGAATTTCGTTCACATTTACATGATATGGAAATATGGATTTATGCTGAGGATAAAACTCCTGTGTCGGTTCTATATGACATCGTACATGATAATAACTTCAATGCTTCCAAAAAAGGTAGGTAAAGAATCAACTAAGTAGAATGAGAATTATGATTTTACAGGAGCACGTATCATCTTCATCAGAATCGCATCATCGTAGCGCGCGTCAGCATGTCTCAATCAGCGGCAGTTCTCGCTGCTGGAGGAATTGAGCATTACAGTGGGACTATATGGAGCTGTTCAATAACGTTCGTTTCTGCAGCTATCTTGCGCCTATTTCGTTGGCCTAGGCTAGAAATCAGTCACATTCTTTTTTTACATTAAAAAGGCACAAACATCAATCCTCATCAAGAGGAAGAGTATTCTGATATCCATTAATTTGCGCAGCAAGTTCCAGCAAGCTACGGGTGATACTACTCGAGCTAATGGACGACGTCGACGAGATTGCAGTGTCGCGCATCGTCGACAACGAGGATGCAGTTTTTGCATTTCGATTTGTGGTTGTTCCTTTTGAATTTGATTTTGTTTCTTTCGCAAATAATAAAGATAGACCGCAAGTAGAAATGAAAATCAGAAGTAGCTCGTAAAATTTTCCGACAGAAAGAATACAGCCTAGTATCACTGCTCCTGCGCCGTACTATACTGCGGCTGCTGCTCCTGCTCCTGCTCCTGGTCTGTGTTCACCACCAGCTTGTTCCGTTGGGTAACGCGGTCGGCAAAGGCACTAAGGGACTTCCGTGGTTTCCGGTTGTTGTAGACCGAGGGCTTACGGCCGGGACGCGTTGTCATGCGCTGAAGGGGCGACGGCAAGGTTGTCTGCGGACTGGTGCTGCCACTATCTTCCTGTGCAGGTGATGGTACACTTGCCGTGATGTGGCCCATGTGCTGTGCTGCGCTAGTTGAGTTACTGAAGGAGCCATCGTGTGGTAATTGGTTATTCTTATTTGCACAATCCGGCATCTTCAGTAATGAACTTCGCGAACCATGGAATTGCAAGTGAGCTGCTCCTGTGGACCCTTCTTCTTCGGGTTCCTCTGCGAAAAACCTCACGGCCTTCGCAGCTGGTGCACCGTTGCCAAATCAAGAGGTCCAGATTCCCAAGAAGAGTAAACTTGATTAAGTGAGTATTTTTTTTCGGCAACGAAAAGCGGGCTCCCATGAAAAGCGATGGCGACAATATGGCAACACACTTTCCGCCCCCGGCTATTGAGAAGTGTTTTGCTGTGCCAAACTGCCGCCCCCAAGGCCACCCAGAACTCTTTTCTTTCATAAAGGGGCCAAGGCAGTGCGCGCTCGCTTCTCCCAGGTGCCAAGGCGTCGCAGTATGGTGTTAGTCGTGGGCCCCCGGAGACACAGGACGCACCAAACCCTGCGACAACACCTCTCTCGCCCGGTCCCATTACCTACTAGCCCACACGCGCGGGCAAATGGGTGCGCGGCCAACGGCCCCGGAAATGGCTACCAGGCTTCGACGCCTGGGTCCGCCTCTGCGGCTGCCCGGAGCAGGGCCCTGAGCGATGCGCGCTGTTGTTGTGCCTGTTGGTTTGCGCGGCAGCGCCAAATTTTTTTTGTGGCTTTCACTGGGCAAGCAAAAGCGCACAGAGAAAAAAATGCGTCGCGCGAAACCGAGAAAATGCGTCGCACAGAGAAAAAAATTTTCTCATTTAACTCAGTGCCCCGAGCTATTTCCAGTTTTTCTCTGTTTCCGGCGCCCGGTGTGGCGCCTGCAAATGCGCGACTAAATCGGGCCCGAGTAAAATTGTCTGCTGGGCTCCCAGCTCGAAAAAAAAAACTCGGTCGGCGGTCTCTGCTTGGTGTGGCGAAGCAATTGCGCAGCGCCGGCCCGTGTACTTGCCCGCTGCACAGCCAAGCAGACGGCTGAGCATCACAACTAATTTGGGCACGCAAGCCTTGCACTGCCCGAAGGTATACGCCCTCACTGAGCAGCGAACGGGACAGCGGCACGGAGGTGCGCTCGGCTTGTGCCACTAGATCGAAAAAATCTCAGCGGCTCACAAAAAAAACGCGAGAGCCTTTCCTTGCTGGCGTGGCATGGTCTCCCTCTGCGGGGCCAAGAAGGTTTCTAGCCCAACTTGACACCGGTGTGGAGGCTCGGAAGCGCAAGCGACATAAACGACACCGACGCGAGGCACCACGACGAGCTCTACCAAATACAAGGACTGAAGTCGCGCGGTTTTCCCTATTCGCTATGACATCCAGAAGCTTCCGCTGCTGAGTGACAGCAGTTCGTGGCTTTGTTGGGGTCTTTTTTTCGTTTCATTTTTCTCAGTTAAATGATTTAACTTATCTTGGGAACTGAACCACATAAGAAAAACCTCACGGCCTTCGCAGCTGGTGCACCGTCGCGCTTCATAAACTTACTTCTCTGTGGAAAAGGAGGATCAGCAACACTTATCGCAGTTTTGCTTGCTTCGTTTTCGTTATCAACATCTGCACCGCGCAACTGGGGCGCGTGGTCGGCTCCACTGCTTACTTTCCCTTTCGTGGCGGGTGAAGAATTTGCTTTTTTAGCTTGGTCGATTTTGTCATCGCGTCCATCGTCTGCTGCTCCCAAGGTCGTGGTGCCATCTGTTCTTCTTGGGGCCTCCGAAACCGCGATCTTTGTAGATGTCGACTCGGGTTCATCTTGCTGGGGTTCTAGTACTTGGTGCGGCTCGGTAAGTGACACGGATCTATTTTCTTCGTCCGGACTCCAGGCGGAAACGTCCGACATGTTGTGCTGGTCGCTGCTCCCCTGCGATTCCACGGGACTGGGCAAGGCTGAAGTGGTGGCAACCTTCTCTTGGGCCACCACCCGCACCGGTGCGGTGTTGATCTCGCGGAACTGAGCAAGACACCGGTCCGCGACGACCGCAGGGGCCGTTTTCCTTTTCGGTGGACAGGCAGAAAAGCGGATTGGGCTCGTCTTGTTTCCCTCTGGCGAGCTCGGGGGCGAGAGCCTGACAGATAAGATGATGACGTTGCCGTCCTCGCGATTTTTGTGTACGACGACTGCTCTCATGCGTGCATAGAAGAATCAGTGAAGGCTACTTGTAGCAGGTACTACGTGCGTATAATCTATTGGTACATGCAAAATCCTCGACTTGTTCGGTATCGGTTTGGCAAAATATCCCGCCACTGTCCGTTGCTTATTCTCACATCCACGTTGGAGAATCAGAAACGCATCTTAATGTCAAAACAGATCAAAGAAAAAGAAGCCAATTTTCAAAACATCAAAAAGAAGCCACGCGCTCCAAGAAGATGACGCAACAGCAAAATTATGGATTGAAACAAGTCCTCCGCAAGAACAATTCAATAAGGTATTCTATTTAGTATTTACCGATCGTCGCCCCGATTTGTTGCCGATGCTGTCCTTGAAGCAGTGTTAGGGGACGAAGATTTGCCTCCACGTACAAAGCTTTCGACGGTTTCCAACTGTGGCTGCGCTTCCTCTTCTGGGTCTGCCTTGAGACAGGACGACTGGATGTATTCTCGCAGCATGGACACGTTTTTGACTTCTGCCTGGTCCCGCGCCACAAGCATCGTTGTGGAACTGCGATTCAGGGACTTGCGGCCTTGCTGGTGCGGATCAACATGAAACCCGAGGTCCTTCTGTACCGCCCGGACTTCTTATGGGAGTGCACAACTGTGATTCTTCCCCAGCATCCCCGCCCAACTCATATGAAAAGCATGAGCAGCAACAAAAGCGACAATTACTAAAAATGTGGCCTTCACCTGAAGATAAAGAAGTCCGCACATGCATAGTACACGGGTGTCAAAGCAGGGCCGGGCAAACCGCGCACTTCAGAGGCACGGCGGAGTCCTCAAGTTGTCGATTTGATCAGAAATAATATTGCGTCGTGACGAAGACGAATGTTAAGGACGAGGGAGTTGTGCATTTTCATATTTTTTCCGCGAATACGTCGAAAATCTCGAACAAATCTTTGGTCGGACATATCACAAAGAAAAGCGCCCCTGCAGCTCCAGACTGGGAAACCGTTGGAATTCTTTCGAAGCTTCCTCGCAATTGAGCTAACTCGTGTAGATTGATAGTACTTGCCAGCAATTTGGTTGAAAGAATGTATCACTGCTGAAAACTTTAAGTTTCCTTTCGACCTAGAGTAGCAACGATTGTAGGCCTGTGTTGCACAGCACTGGTACAGCCGCGGCGATGATATCTTTCATGCCAGAGGTGGCACACAGCACCCCCTGTATGTCGAAAGAGCATTCTGGAGCAGAATTATGCCACTTCGCAGTGACAGCTGTAGTTGTACACAAGACAAAAAGTAGTTGCCGTTTGGCGTCCGACAAATTATCGGCATTTTTTTCTGGGGGGGCAACGTGCAATGGAGCTGCGCTTTTCATCATTTTGATAGGATCACTTTCCTTGGATGGCGGCGGCCAAACAGTTTGTAGGTCGTTGAAAAAGACCCCCAACTGCAGGTATCGTGCGAAGAACTGCTCTGTCTCGCGCCGCAGCTCTCGTTCGTTTGACGCGGCGCCTAGGAGAAAGCCCTCAATCTCCTCATGAAAGCGGTCCTTTTTGTCCACTTGTCCACCAATGGTCTCGCGCCGCCGCTTGATCTGTTTCTTGTTGTAGGTGTTGGTACTCACTAGCTCCTTTAGCTCGCTCATAGGCTGCAGCAGGTCCTTCGTTCGGTCATAGATGGCATACGTGCGCACGGACCGGGCCTCGCGCAGCGCCTTGCAGTCCGCGTCAGTGAACACCATACTGTCTTCTTCGCCCATCATGCACAACACGAAGTGCAGAATCGTTGCGGTCAACGATGCACACTTGATTTCGCAGATCTTTTGCAGCGAGGTGAGCCGTATTCTGTGCAAAAGTTGTGCCGTAGAAGTGGTCATGCTTCTACTTCTTGTTGCAGTAATGCACATGCTGCTTCACCATCCACGTGTAGTCATTCGTTTTCGTGGCAGATCTGCCTATTAATTGTTTCTTGATCACGCGTGTGTGAATCTTTAACTTTATTGCAGGCATTTTCCATGACAAGTACAAATGTACTAAAAAAATATTTTCCGTTCTTCATCTTCGTTATGATCGTTATTTACATACAATTTACTTCATGAGTACGTCCACGTCGCAGTTCTTTCAATTTCATCCACCCAGCTACACGACCACATAGTACTTTTATTCTCTAGTTCTACGATGCTTTTGCAATGTGCATAAGCCGGAAGCCGTGCTCCGCTGTTGGCGCTTGGCAGCCGGCGTTCAGCTTGTTTCCAAGGTCCTGGATCAGTTGGAACAACTTGCGCAGGACGTGCTTTTTCGAGATGAGCACGTCGATCGCCTTTCGGACGACCTGAATCCGGGCCCGCAGCTCGCTTTCCTGCTGGTAGAACTCGAGTTTGTAGATCAGCACGTCGATCCGCTCGTCGTACCCGGAGATGCTGATCACGTCGAAGCAGAGCTTGTGCAGGTGTGGGTACTGGAATTTCTTCTTCAGGCTTTCGTCATTTTTCCGCAGCGCCAGCAGACTTTCCTTGCCGTTGTCGCTGTCTTGTTGCTCCAGGGCCTCGGCGACGCAGTCGATAAGCGGTCGGATGGAGGCCAGCGAGTCGGGTGACTTCAGGGTGCAATTCAGGAACGCGTTGCGGAACTTCTCGCACGTTTCCAGACTGTCCTTGGCCGGAAACTCCTTCACGATTTGCCGCCACAAGATTTCACCATGCTGCACCAGTTTGCCGTCGATCAGACAAAGCTTCTTCGTGCTCGCGTCGCCGCTCTTGCCGCCTTGTTCACCGCTGGCGCAGTCGTCGTCCAGCGGCGAGTTTTTTGCGGATCCGGGCTTGCTCCCGCCCACTCCCCCCGCAGCAAGGCCGGTAGACGTTGCGGGCACTTTTTTGAAGAAGGATAGCATGCGGTCCTGAATCAAAACCTTGGAAACCAGCTTCCTGGACCACAGGGACGCTGCTTTTCGCTTTTTCGGGGCCTCTGTTTGCCGGGCGGGAGTCGTGCAACTAGCTGCAGGCGTTGCGGACGCAGAGGACGTGGATGCGGCCGAGGGACTGCTTGCTGGCGTATTCTCGTTGATCGTTGGCAAAACCAGAACGCCCCCTCCTGGTGGGTTGTTTCTACAGCCGCCACGGTTGTTGAGCACGGGCCCCGCCGTTCTTCCCAAATTCCGTTGTTCATCTACCGGTCTAGAAGTGTCGTGCTCTTCGTTTGTTTCCGTGTTGTCAACATCTTCTGGGGTGGCCGCAACTTGCACCTCGCCGAGAATGTTGCCGACGTTGTAAAGGGGCCCGAGGAAGTCGCCGACAGTCTTCTCCAGCTGTTCTTGTGTCCGTTCCGAAGCGGTCTCGGAAATAACAGCCCACGGAATATTGATGAAGCCGTTGCTTCGCGGGAGCGGTGGGGCGCGGTTGTGCTTTCCTTTTCCACCTTTGCCGCCACCCTTTTTGCTCCCCACTGCTCCTGCGCCCGGTGGTGCCGCGGCTCCTTTCTTGCCTCCACCTGGCGGTGAGGGCCCAGTCTGTGGCTTCCCGGCAGCTGGTACCGCCGCACCTTTAGTTTTTCCCTTGGAGCAGGTCGTCGAGCTGCTAGTTGCGCAGCTGGCCTCGAGCGGGGGCGCAGAGGACTTTCCGCAAGCTACAGCAGGACCTAAGGGTGGCGGCGGCGGCGCGGCCTTCTGTCCGCCCTTCGGTCCCGGCAACGGTGCTGCACCCGGCTTGCCTTTTGTTGTCAGTCCTGCCACTGTGGAAGAGGAAGACCTCACGTCTGATACAACAGAAGGTGTCTCACATGACGTTGACGATGCCGCGCCTTCGATGGCGGGAGAGGTGGAAGAAGGTTGTACTGGAGGTGGAGGTGGACCCTTCATCTTCCCAGTTCCTTTTCCCTTCCCTGCGTTTCCTGCTCCGTTGCTTGGCACGCCCGTGTCCGCGGTTGGGACGTCGGATGCAGCTTCAATCTTTGGAACGTCCTCATGTTCCCCACCGGGAGGACATGCTGGAGCAACATGCAAAACGAGGGGCTTCACAACTCCGAGTGAAAAAGCTCCTGCAGCCTGTGAGCCGCTGCTCCGTTCGCTGTCGCCCGCATCTGGCGTAGATGCAGATCTGCTACTGAAGCTTTTGGCCGTTCGCAGCTCCTCCTCAAGCTGCGTTATTTTGCGCCGCAGACACACAAGCTCATCTTCATCTTCCTGCGGGTCCTCTGCAAGAACGGGCGCAACACTCTTCCGCGGTTCCGATTCGCTGATCGCAGTGGCGTTCTCAGCACCTCCTTTGTTCGAAACCACTTGTATTTCCGCGCTTCCTGCTTTCAATCGCTCGAGTTCGGTTTGCAATTCAGCGTTCGCTTTCTTCCACCTTTCTTGTTCTTCACGAAACTTTTGCTCCAGTTCTGCCCGGACCTTTTCTTCGACGGCAGCGGAGCAAACAGTGCTTGCGCGACTGCCACTAGCACTCGAGGTCGACGACTCTTTTGATGAAGACGCAGACGACAAAAGTACGGCACTCGTTGCAGAAGTTGTGTCGCATCTTGCTGATTCCTTTTCCGACAAAGGTCCACTGTCTGTCTCTGCTGGTGCTGATGAATCGTGATCACTTAATGTAGTTGCCACTGGAGTTACGATTGCGATATTTTCCGCTGGAGAAGCTACCGCACTACCCGCATTACTGGAACTCAGCGCACTACTGAGATATTCGCACACGGACTTGTTGTCATCGACTGGGGAGATATCGTTCGCCGACAGAAAGCTGCTCTGTTCCTCCTGTGGCGTGCGCGCTGCTGATTGCGGCGCTGCGCTCAACGTGGTCTGCTGCGCGGACAATCCAATCGAGAATGGACCCCTCGTGCGAGTGGTCGCCTCCTTGTTTGAATTGGATGCTGAGGTGGGTGCAGCAGAGGAAGATGTTTCTAGCAAAATCGCTTGCGTGCAGCTCCCACGCAGCTCGGTGCTGTTTTGCTTCCTCAATGCACTTCCGACCATCGAAATCCCGGCGCCCGAAGCGATTTCCGGTGGTCCAGCTGGAGTTGGGAGAAAAACTCCAACGCCGGAGGATGAACCTAGATTGGACGGGGCGGTCGACTTGCAGGATGCGCTGGTCTCCAGTGTCGCGTCCTTTTGTAGTTCCGTCAGCTGTGCAATGTGCTCGTCTTGTGACTTTAGTCGGCGATCTTTCTCCGCAAGACTTTCCTGTAGCACGGCAACTTGTCTTCGCAACTCCGCTACTTGTTCTTCTGAGATCACCGAAGTAGTAGAGCAGTCGTGCTGTAGTTGGGCACCAGGACCGGGTAGTGTCTCGCTCTGCGCAGCAGGAGCTGCCGTGGCCGGTGGCAACACCAAGGGTTCGCCATCAACGCAAATTTCATCCTCTTCTCCCTCTTCCGTCCTCTTTTCTTCTTTTCCGTCACTTGTGGCATTGTGTTCGTTTGCGTTTGATGCCGGTTCGGTTCCGCTTCCGACGGGTCGTGCTCCCCCACCTGCTTCCGCCTCGTCCCCGGTCTTCGGGGGAGACGCTGACAGCACCGTCACAGGGACGGGGCACGTGTTCATAGCTGCTTCTCCGTCCGCGTCTGCCTGAGCTTCATTTCCATACCGTTCTTCCCCACTGTCTCGGTTTCTCACCTTCTCTGGGCCGAGGTCTGTTGAAACACTCGACCCAGAAGGTTGCTCTTCGTCGTCCCGCCCCCTCGTTGAGACGATCACGAGCTCACTAACCGCGTCGTCCTCTGGGTCTGGCGTAGGTGCGTCAGCGTCTTGGAAATTTCGCGCGGTGTTCTCGGAACTAGGTGGAGCGACGTCTTCTTGTTTCGCCTCGTCTGCAGCTGCTGAATTATGTGCCCCGCCACCAGCGGATTCATATGCTTCTTCTTTCATTGCAGCCCCAGCCGTGCTCTGGCTCGGAAACGAAAGCATCTCTTTAACATCAGCGCCGGAAACAATATCGAAAGCAGTAGTTGTATAATTGTGTGAGGCCGCCACTACCTTTCCGGCGGCGGAGATACCTATGGCGTCCTCGACGGGATGATCGTGACAAGTAGGGTTATTCGCTCCAGCATCGTCATGATTCAATTCTGCCTTGTCAACATCTGGATTCTCGTCCGTCTCGCCAGGTACAGGTGTTTTCGTCAAGGTTGTACTTGGGTTTTCCACGTCCTTTAGAACGTCAGGTTTTGTACCAGTAGTAGAAAGCTGCAAGTCCGTGTTTGTCCTCGAACATGTAACAACACCGCCTTCGGACTTCTTGGGTACCTCCTCTTCGTCAGCTTCCAACGATGAAGTGCGTGCTTTTGGGCGAAACTGTGTTGAAGGTGGTTCTCTGAAGGTTTTTTAGTACAACAAACGCACCGGTGGTGATACAACCTTAGCAAGATGTGTATACTTACTAACTTGGAATTCATTTGATAGCTTCGCGTATGGTTCGTGAGTGTGACAAACTGTGGCTGATGCTTTATCACTTCACACTCACAGGAGGTACCAGGAGGAGGTGGATGTTGGCTAGTTATTTTTTTCGCTACATACAGGAACAACAACAATCTCAATAATTTTTGTTTGGCGTCGTCGAAGATTTCGAGTCAATGATTTGTGCACACAGAAGATGAAAATCTGAAGAAGGAGAACGAAGAGCTCCATCGTCAGAGCCAACGTATCAAAAGAAGGTGGCTCAGTACAGGCTTGCTGCTGCTGGCTTGGTCGCGATCAACGATATCGGATTTTCGTTTGTTAAGCGGTCGAAGTTTCGGCGTGCGGACAATCTGTGGCTGGTAAGATGCAGGAGCTGGGCCGCGGTTGTTCTGGTTCATCAGCTTGGTCCTTTGCTTTAGACTCAGTGGACTGCGCGTCGGGCTTCCAGAGCAGGAGGAAGTCGCTTTTTCACTGCCATTCCCCGCGGCAACAGGAACTTCTGCAAGCGAGTCACTCGCCTCTACGTGTGGCTGCTCGGGACTCTTCGGTCTTTCAGGCGTTTTGGTATGGGTTTCGCTTGGAGCTTTCGAGATGGTTTCGACGTGAGACGATTTGTTTGCAGGCGAAGCGGAACCGGTTCTTGAGCTGGACCCTTTTGCTTTATTTCCTTCAGCGGCCAGCGAACCGACGAGCGGACCGGTCACGACTGTAGAGGGCTTCCGCCGGGGCGGTCCCTTGAACCCACCCGCACCCGGTGGGGCCGACAGGTTGATCTCGGCAGGTTTTACTGCTGCTCCAGGCGGACCGCATGAGACTACACTGGTCCTCGGACGAGGACCACCCTCGACTTCTTGGCCGTCGCGCGCCTGCTCAGAAGTCTTCTTTGGCGAACAAGAAGATTTTCCGGCCGATAAATCGCGGTCCGGCGTCAGCATTGACCGGTTTTGATTTGATGTGATCCAGCTGTCTGCAGCCTTTTTCCCCGGTGAATGCGAGGAGGTGGTGGTAGAGGACGAGGTAGTTGCCTTACGACCTCCCGGAGCGTCAGGCTTACTACACGAAGAGGAGGAGTGCTTGGCGGTTCGGGGCGCACCCCCTAACGACCGCCCAGGTGGGTTCTTGTCGACGTCCCTAGAAGCTGTAGTAACAGCTGCACCGAATCCCCCACCAGCACCATGGGTCGAGGACGAGGACATCAATCGACACGAAGAAGAAGATGACGAGGAGGCCGCTCCAGTCGTGGAACCCGAAGTAGATGCAGCTCCAGCTGCCGCACCCCCCGAGAAAAGCTGGGAGAGGTCCTTGATGCTCTTCGTTCCTCGCTTCGGCGATTTCGGGGAAAGGGAAAATCCGGCGCCGACTGCGCGTTGCGGACTTCCACGGGCGTCCGCCGATGCCCCGTGAGGTTCGGAGTGGTCCCCTGGCAGTGAAGAAGACACATTTGCTGTTGACGTTCCGGTCGTTGTTCCCCCGTTCTTTCCCAAAAAGGGGTTCGGATTGTTCGCACTCAGCCTGCGGCCGGGAGGTCCAACCATTTTGAAAATGGGTAGCCGCGAGGTGGTGTTCTACATTTACGAGGGCGGGGGTATCGTTCTTTTTCTATGTAGTTGGCTCACGCTCAAGTCAGTGCAGCTCTGGTTCGAACTAAATACAACCAGGAGAGACGAACGATTTAGAAGAAGTAGTTCGGACTTTTCGCCTTTGATAGCGATCGACCTGCAGTGCGCATGCTAACGAGCAGTGGGTGCGGGTGGCCATGCAGGAGCGTACATCAGCAGCACAGCTGTGCTAGCGGATGCAGAGAAGCAGCAAATAGCCGATATCGTCCCCTTCTAAGTCGTGCACAGTTTCGCCGTGTCCAAACTTGACCTACGATTATCATTATACTTAAAAGACGACGCCGCGTGCCTGTGTCTCCAGACTTCTCTCTCAAAGTGAAGAACGCTCCGTACATTTTGGCTTGCCCTCGACACTCTCTAGCATCAACTCTGGCTAGTCTCCCATTTCGTCAACAGAATCTGGTGCAGGCACTTCCCTGAAATGTCCCGATTCAGGCCTTTTGTTGGTGCAAACCTCCAGACGGCAACAACAAAAAAATTTTCAACCACAAGCAGTTGCAGTTCGCCGAATTGCAAAGCGGCAAAGTCTGGCAAACAGTTAAACGCTGCAAGCAGGAAATCGCTTTGGTAATCTTAATCTGCAGAGAGTCTTCTTGTTCTTCTTTCGTCTCAAAATAGGGATCAGACGAAAAGACAAAGTCAAGCAGTTATTCGCAAAAGAAAGCTCGCACAAGTAGTACAACAAGCTGAATGCTCCTTTATTCCGAAATAAAGCTGCAAAATCTCAAAACAGACAAGAGACTGAGCCTTTAACCTTGAGATGGGAGACGGACGCGTCGACGAGCAAAGCAGTCGTCCTATTTCAATTATGATTCATTCAGAAGGAGAAGCTCTGCCTAAGAATTATAAATATTCATTTTTTATTGTCATCTACTTTATTCTTCATTCCTCGTATTCAAGAAGCGTACCTGTAATTGGCGGTCACAACAATATGAATCGAAGCGATTTCCGACCAATGCTCCACAGGCTTGAGGCTTTATTTGATAAATCAAGTAGTGAGAAGCTGCTGGTGGTGCTGCTGCTTTACTATAGATGATAGCTCGGTGGGTTTTTATAACGCCCGCGTGCTGGTGACAGGGTGGCATTTTCAGGAGAAAAAAAAATCGTACAACATCTGAGTAAAACGCGGGATGATTTAGCAGCATGATTGGTCCACAGCTTAGTAGTTGTGTGAATCATCTTCATGATTCTGATATCATCACCTTCACCGCTGAAAGATGACGATAGAGGACCTTACTACTTTTGCAAAACTTTTTGAACTTCAAAAATATTAGCTCTGCCGATCCCGATCCGCAGTGGATCCTAGCATAAATGAAAGTGTCTGTTGTAGTTGTTATCGACGTGTAGTGCAAATCAGGCTTACGCTCAAGACACTGGAGTACCGAGTTCTAGTTAGTAGCTTAGCTGGGGCACGATGACGAAAAAGTCAAGACCCGATTCCGCATCCGCAGTGCACGACGGTGTGTCGCTGTCGCATCCATTGGATTGCTCTTCTTCATCCTGAACTTCGAAGTCCTCCCCACCATGCTCGTCAAACGCTGCAGCTTCGCCGTCCGCTTCTAATCCGGAGTCCTCCGCGTTGTTCTTGTTGTCATCGTCCTCCGCGATCTTGATCAAGTGGTCAACGGATGTCGAATTCGTGGCTCCGCCGGAAATGACCTGCAACCGCGACACGTGCGCAAGCAGCGGCTCGTAGGTATCAAACAACTTCTCGACTACATCTGGGTCGTGCAAATCGGAGCTGAACGCGAGAAGCTCTGTGTTCAAGTTGTTCATCTTCTTGAAGTAGTCCGTGGGAGATGAAAAAATCGACGGCGAGGACATCGGGGTTTGGCTTAATGCTCCCTGGTCCTGCTCCTTGTCGTGCTTCTTGTTCTGCGTCAAATACAACTTCCGAATTTCCGCCGCATGCAGAATCCGACAGAATTCGTCCCGCCGGGTCCAGATGCAATTTTTTCCAAAGTCCGGGTACTGATCGTGTTCTCCGAATGGAAAGGCACGCAAAGTCTCCAGCAAGTTCATCAACGCGTCGCGATCCTCCTTGGACGTCAGCGTCACGCGAAATTTCCTTGGGCGGCACACTTCACCACCGTAACCAAGCGCGACGCTCTGTGATGGATGCGTCATGTATCCAGGAAAAAACACCCATCCCCATCCATTTTGCCTTTTTTTTGATCAAGAAATGAGGTATAATTTTCAAAAAATTTTCAGGTCTGTTACGCATGCCTGCCGGCATATGTCCGCGCTAAATTCACCTAGCTAAAGTGGCGTCCTAGATAAGTGCAGCTGATAAGAATTCAACTAGCTAGATCTATCGCAGGAGCCCGCACCGGCTGACGAGTCGGAGATCCTGCCCGCGCCGGCTGTCGTCGCGAGCACGTCGGGGATGGTGTCCTCGTAACGTGCGCCCGATTCCTTCAGCGCCAGGCAATCTGCTTCACCCTCCGGAGCCTCATGCTGCGCGACCTTTAGCCGCTGCTCGTGCGACTTATTGCGGATCCGCTTCAGAGCTCGGAGCGCTCTAGGCCTGTACTTCTTTGCCCAAAGTGCAGTCGCCACTTCGCCGTGCCAGCGCATCGCCACATGCGAATGTAGCGACGGGCCTGTGTGGGTATGTTGGGGGAAGATGACCAAGATGAATGAACAATCAGGCAAAGCAGCGGCATGGGGCCTCTGTCTTGCCTCTCTCGCGGCTCACGTGGCTCCGAGTCGGAGCCCTCCTGCCTGGCCAGATGTTGAGCCACCATTCTAAATGACAAAGCCTTGGATTTTTTTTGCGAGAAAAAAAATCCAAAAAAATACCCGTTTCGAAAATGAGTGGATGGGTGTTTGAAACACGAGCTAACTGCTTTTTTTTCAGCAAAAAGGCGCGCTTTTCTAGAACAAAATGAGTGGATGGGTGGTCGGCGATTTAGCAGATAGCTCGTGGTAAAAACAACCATCCACAAAACCATGACTTTCGGGCCATCGAGCAAAAAAAGTGGATGGGTGTTTTAAACACGGGCTGACTCCGAAAATTTAGCTCAGAAAAGTGCTCGCTTTTGCTTCATTTTTTCAGCGAAAATCTGGAACGTAGCACCGGGAGAAGGGCGAAATAAGTTTCGACCCCAAAAATCGTGGATGGGTGGTTCCGTATTTGTAGTTAGCTCGTGGTAAAAACACCCATCCACGAAAAAACAAGAAATTGCAAAAAGCCGGACTCTTTTTGTCGGAAAAAAAAATCCAAAAAAAAGCCAGGCTCGGGACATCCGGGCAGCAAGACAAGTTTCGGCGCGGTAGGAGGAGGCGCGATAGGCGGGGCGCCTAATCGCATGAGCTAGGTCGTGCGTCCTGGCGCGCCGTTTGCTCGGATGATAAAGTGCGCGCATCTGCTGCGTGAAGGCTCCAAAGTATTAAAATTGTCACAGGTTGGGAGGAGAATAATGCGCCATACCATGGGCGCTAAGTTCACAAACTTACGGAATTTGCTAAGGCCTCGTATGTTGAGTCCAGTCCAGCTGCGCGCTTGATTTCGTCTGATTCCCACTGCCCCGCAAAAACCCCTTCCCGCATCAGGTTCAACGCCTCCCCAAAAGCCCCGCGATAAGATTCGCGAGCCAAATCGCCCCCGACGAAGGCCCGCAAGGCGGCTCGCAGCGAGTTGCCTTCTTTGGGATCTCGACTCCGACGTCGGCCGACCAATGCGATAGACCTAGCTAAGTCAAATTCCTCTAGTTAAGATGCTTCTCATGGACGCCACTAGCTAGTGTTGTGAAGTAGGTGCACTCGAAACCATCAACATGCAAAAACGATTTCAGTTTTTTTCATTTTTTTGTGATTTTTTTGCTATAAAAAAAAGGCAAGATGGATGGGGATGGGTGTTTTTTCCTGGATATCATGTTTTTTTTTTGCCAAAAACGATCTTCATCTTGTCTCGCACAACTTCGACGAAACAAGGAGGACTTCGGCGCAAGCGGTGCTTTGAGAAAGACAAAGGTCACCGACAACGTACTATTTTGCTTTTGGTCAGAGTGTGTAGCTAGTATGACTATGTACAATTACAAATGGTATATGCTTCTTAATACCAATTCAATCTCCAAATCGCATGCATTCAGTTGTTCCTCCCTTTCGTCCTGGCTGAGGCAGCGCACAATCCGGATGTCGTGGTTTGCGTAGGCGAGCGGTCGCTCCTTTCGCATGGGCCAGCTGTCGATGGAGAAGAGGAACTCGAACCAGACCGCTCGATTCGCTTTCTCCAGGTAGATTTTTAGTTCGCACTCGGGGATGTCCTCCACCAAATCATCGGGTTTGTCCCAAAGATCGATCATTTTTGGAGAACCGAGCCGGGTGTGCTGGTCCAGGAGTTCACCTCTCCCCCGTTCCGCGTGGCCTACTTCCGGGCCTTCGCCGCGCAGCCCGGGTTTCATAGCGTAGGTCCCGATCCTGACCGCCTTCGCTTTGCCTTGGAAAACGTACCGGCGCGGGTAGCCCTTGACTTTCTCTTCATCGGAACACAGCTCCTCGCGCAGGATTCGTAGCACGTCCCGATTATGCTGCTCAAACGCGGTTCCGAGCCACGTCTTGAATCGCGATGTGACAGCAGGCAACCAAACTTCGTAGGGGAGAGCAGTGGTCGCGGACGGAGAGCAGGCGGGAGCGTTTTTGCAATCACCCATACTAGGCACCACCTTTGAGGTCGTAGAAGACGAGGCCGGCTGCAAGGATGTCGTCGAAGTCTCGTCTTTTCCCCCCACCCGCGCAACCGCAACGCCGGAGAAAGGATGCAGCTCCGTTGGTACAACATCAACTCTCTTCTGGTGGAGGTTCCCATGTAGTTGATCCGAATTATCTGCTGCAGTGTTCATCTCCTGGTTCTGCTCGTGGTCGTCGTGACTGTCAGCATTGTGTTCTCCTGAATCAGCAAGCCCGAGCCGCTGCACGATGCGCGTCATCACGTTGTCTACAGTTCTTCGGGATGCACTTGTTGGACAGGAATGATCATGATCGCGGGACATCAACGTACTGGGATCGTTGTTCCATTTTCTTTCTACTTCGGCAAGCTGGTCCCCGTCCTGGTCCGAGGACGCAGCTGTAGAGCTCACACTTGACATATGGAAGCGTCAGGTTTGAAATCGTCAAAGTTGAAATAATTTGTAATGCATAAAATGCGACACAAGAAGTGACTCTATTGCAGAGGACCCACGGGAGGCAGATTACAGTCCTGGTAAGGGTCAAAAGTTGGACTGCGAACTAGCACGACAGAAGGCAGCTCTTTTGCCCTAAACCGCATGACAGACTCGCTTCCAGGACCGAGAAAATTTGTCACGCGCCGACTACAAACTGTAGGTCTAACTGGTATCCGTTTTATGCATGACAAACTATTTCAACTTTGACGATTTCAAACCTGACACATCCATATGACACGGACAAACGCTTTTCCTTCTTCAGCGGGTTGAAAGTCGAAGGGTTGGAAGTCGAACAGACGGCGCTTGACCTTCTCTCGGCTGGCAGCGCAACTTCGAAAATGGGAAACTGCGCCACACACTTCCCGGCAAGGTTCAGGATGGACACTTTCGCCGTTTCATCGGAAAACATAGCCTCGCCGCCTGTTCTCTCTGTAGAGGACCGCGTCATTATTTTCTGACTCTGATTTATTGTGTCGGTCCAACTATACAACTACCACCGATACCGAAGCACCACAGCGGACCGGCTACTTTACTTCTTCACTTGAGACATCGTTCGATTTGAACAACAAGTGGACATGAGCCAACCTCTCTCCTCTTATTCCCTCAGGATTTGTTTAGTGACCATTTAGTACTTGGAAAGGCACAACACGATATACTGTGCATGTGACATATGACGACTACATCTAAAGTGGCGCTTTTGACGATGTTAAAACTCGCTTTTCTCTTTCTATCAACACGAATCGCTTTATTTGTTGCTCGGCCTGTTTTGCGCTCAAATGCAAATTCTAAGTTTGGAGCAGCGAACGACAACGATCCAAGCGAATATTATATAGCAATCCTCTACTTCTGAAAGCTGGAGAATATTACGTCGCACCAAGAATGAAGCTCATTGCTCTTGGTGTGACGAGAAAGCAATGCCTGTTCCGTGGTTCAGAGCTGCAAGAACAAACGTGGCCATGTTTCCCAAAAATAGGTTTGGAACAAGCCGCATCGATAATTTCGACTGAGTGTACAACTTCACTCAGGCCGGATGGTGAGTCTTTAGTCTTACGCAAACCGCATGGCAAAAATGGTTGCGTCGCAGAAAACCTGCATCAGAAAGGGCACAATTGCTGTGTAGAGAAGGAAGTGGCTCCACCAGTAGTAATGAGCCCCGGAAAGAACGACGAAAAGAGAAAACAGCGCACCAAAAAAGTGGACAACGGTTTGTGTCAGCTGCAACCCCCGTTGGTAGAGGCTGTAGCCCATTACGAAGAGCATCAGCTCACCGACAGTGAAAAAGAGCGTAAAAAACACTACAGCACGGAGCGACGTCTGGTTCTCCTCGTAGTTCCCGAAGGGCAGCGCTTCTCGCAGATACGGTTCCGGGTACTTATAGCAAATGCCGTTCAGGATTACCTGGACCAAGGCGAGGATGTATCGCGCAGGAATGAAGACACTCTGGCCAACATGCTGCTCCCAGGGTGAACCTCCCATCGTGACGGTATCGGAAAAATGCGCTATCTGCACTTCGTTGTTTGGCTACTTCGATCTCAAAATAGATGCACTTTTATGCTTTTTCCTAGTTCAACATCTCAAGGTACTACATCCCGAGCATCTTAACTCCCGAGCATCCCACTTACTTATTCTATTTCTCGACGCCAAACCCTTAGCAGCGTAAACACTCTAAAAATATGAGATGGATTCAATGCATGTAACACTCAATACACTCCGGAACAAGATCTTGATTTTTGTTTGTCAAGAGCGGATGAGTATGCCCCTGCTCCTGCTGGTACTGCATCATCCTGTGTCCTGTGAAAGAGATTGCAGCCGTGCCTGCTGAGTGTAAAACTAAAAAAGGGAAGATGAAGCCCTACTACATGTTAATTATCTGCTGGTGCATGCGCAGCTAATAGTATTCTTGTTTTGTCATTGTCACTCTATGATCCATCGAAAACAGAATTTGAAGCGTCACACACAGAAGAACAATTGACCGTCTTTGAAACAGAAAAGAGGGAGTTTTGGCGGGCCGCATACTTCAGCTGCGCAATCTCCACGAAGAGCGCAAGCGCTTCTGCTACTTCATGTGAGAAAGCATATATTTATCCAGGAAAAAACCACCATCCCCATCCATTTTCGTCATTTTTCGAAAAAAACAAAAATCAAATTTTCAAAAAAAAATTCAAACTATCATGAGTGCCCATGTATGAATGTTAGTCCTCAGAAATGTAGCTAACGGGACATCCCATGCATGCGAAGGCTACACAAATCAAAATACTTAGGCCCACAGCAAGAATCCGGGACGAGAAACGGCCAGCAAGGCTTTGTACAAGTTGGATCCTCGACCGGCTGACCGGCGCTGGCCCCAGTCGCAATGCGGCGGGGGCGCAGTGGCGTCTCAGGTGGTACAACGCTACGGGCCGCCAGCGCTTGGCCCAAAGCTTGGCGGCCTCATCCCCGCGCCACCGCGCCGCCACGTGGGACGATGTAGGCGGGCCCGTATAATACGGAAGGCGGGACTGGTAGAAGTTCGACGAGCAGTGCGATTATCCAAAGGAGCGCAGCCGAGAGGTTTACAAGAGGCGAAGACTTCTCCGTCTCGAGAACCTTCTGGGCAAGACAAATACTCTTGGAAAAAAAATGGCGCAAGTTTTTTTCCAAAAAGTCTCAGCTTTCCAATTTTTACTGGATGGTGGTTTTTATCCCAACGCTACGCTAAATCCGGGTACCTACCATCCACGCCATTTCTAAATAGAAATGGTGTGGATGGTAGGTACCCGGATTTAGCATAGCGTGGGGATAAAAACAACCATCCACAAATTTCGTGCAATTTTCCAAAATCGCGTTTTTTTGTGGATGGTGGTTTTTATCCCCATGCTATACTAAATCCGGGCACCTACCATCCATACCATTTCTAAATAGAAATGGAGTGGATGGTAGGTGCTCGCATTTAGCATACCGTCGTGCGAAAAACCACCATCCACAAAAAAAGTTGTTTTTCTTGAAAATCCGAAATTTTTTTGAATCGGAAAAAATATCGGCTTTGAACGCACAGCCGGAGACAAAAACTTCCGGACCATAATCAGCGCAATCTGAGGAACTGCAGCCGCGCGGCTAGCTCGCACCAGAGGCGACAACCTAGGCAAAGCGTTGCGCGGCAGCTGCTCTATTCTGTGCGTGCATGCTTCAAAAGGCTCAAGATTTGACTCGTCGCGACATCAGGGCAACATCATACCATGGGAAAAGAAGCGCAACGCAAGCGAGTACGTTTTTCCGAGCCCCCAAATGATGCATAGTGTGGCATCAGAGGCAAACTCGGACGTGGAGCAGCCTTTCTCGACGAAGTCTTCAGCTCTGGACTTTGACGAGTGCAGCAGCTGTGGGCCTAGCAACTTCAATTTTTTCCAGCTAGCTTGTGAGGGACGCCACTAGCTAGTGCTGATAGATAGATAACACAAGCCCGACCATGCTGAAAGCGCTTTGATTTTTTTTTAATTTTTGTTCATTTTTTGTAATTTTTCTGCATGTAAAAACTGCAAAAATGGATGGGGATGGTGGTTTTTTTCTGGATAATATTTTTCCGACTCGAGAAGCAGCAGGTGTAATGTGCTACCCACGAGAAGAAGAGGTGGCTCGTACCAATATCACTTTGCCTTCCAGCTAAGCCAGGTTTGCATTCGTAAGTCCCTCAGCAGAGCGGCAACACTGTTGAATTCCACTGCTAGAATATCATTGCTTGCAGTCCGGTGTACCTGCATGTGACATTTGGGGCACAACATTGCTCCGTAGCAGTTTAACAACGCCCGCGTGGGTGCTGGCACTTGCGCAGAAGATGCGCTCCCACTCGCATTGGCACTGCTATTCTTGTTGATCCCGGTTTTCTTCTGCTTTCCATTCTTCTGCACAACAGAAGCTTCAGGAGTACTTTGTGACGTGGCCGCTGACCCCCCACTAGCACTCGTCTCGGTGGATTTTGTTGGTTGCAGTAGACCCAGCCCCCGACACAAGTGGCGCTCCAAAAGCACGGAGTCGATGTTGGGCGGCCACTTTTTTCGCCGGAGCCAGCGCCGATGGGTAGACTTCGGGATCAGGTGGTGAAACGTGATGCGCGAACTCAGGTGGCGACAGAGCTCGCACTCGCCCTCGCCGAATTCCTCCTCTCCCTCGTCTTTCTGGCATTGGGTGTCATCATCAAGAATCAGATTTTCCTCCTTCACGAGCTGTGTCTTCCCGTATTCGAGAAATCTCACCTCAAAGAATCGAGTCGCCGTCTCCTGCGTTTTCTTTTTACTTTTTGCTCCCCCGCCGCCCAAGGACTTCTTCGGTTTGGGTTTGGAGGCCTTGGCCTTGTTGCCACCCCTGCTGCCGGGCCTTTCTTGTTCAGCTGCAAGCTCCTCCACCGTTGTAGGCGGGACGTTATTCATTTGCCTGTTGAGCTCCTGTGCATCTTCTACTCCGCTAGCGCGGTGCTCCTCGACCTCACCGCACAACTTCGTACTAGCGAAAAATACGTCATGCACCTCGCGCACCACCACAGCAGGATGGTAGCTGTCGTCTTCGGTCAAAAGAGCGAGGACGCGAACCCCGGAAACCTCGAAAGGACAGGAGGGCTTCTCGTAGAAGATGCCACGCCTGAGCATCTCTTCGACGACGGGTTCGAGCTCGTCCAAAACGGCTCCGGTGAAAGGATCCGCTTCGGGGTGGACTCCATCAGCCTCTGACAAGCCGTCAGTCCTCGCGGAGTTGGTGGAATTGTGGTACCCGCCTGGTGCCTCGCGGTTACAGTTCAGCGTAGATCCATAGTAGTTTTCATCGTCGCCATAATCCTCGATCAGTTTCTGGGCAAGCAAGCTCCGCAACCCGTCTTCTCCGAGCGCGTGCCCTTCGAGAAGGCGTGCGTAGAGGAACTGAGCCCATTGGAACAAGTCCAGATGGGCGAGAAAGTTGTCGCGTAGCGCTGCCGCCACGTACCGCAGCTCTTCTTCGGGAAGAACTTCGAAAGCGGACTGCCGCAGACATTTTGTGACCAAGATTTCAAACTTCTCCTCAGTGCCTTGTGGAAATTGTGTCGTGTCTATTGCTAGCATGTTACCGAATAAAGTCCTCGACGTGGGACGAGGGTTCAGGCTTGCTGGCTCCCTCTCCCATGCGATCCTGACGAAATCGAAAGTAGTGTCGAAACAGAAAGGAGCTGCTGCGCCTGCCCTATCTTAAGCGGTGGAGCCGAAGAAAGTGTTAAGACAGATCTATGTCGTCGAAGTCTATGCGGTGGTACTGACTGTTACAGTTGCAGACAAAGGAAAACTCGTCAACATCATACTAGTAATGTGACAACGACGCACGATTCTACATTTCACCACTTCTGCACAACCTGAAAGGTAAAATATTCTGCAGACCAGCACTAGGTGCAGCATGATCATCCAGTGTGATTCTCAGAGTCGATGACTTTCTCAGTTCAAACTACGATGCTTGTTTTCTGAGTGTATTGACAAAGATTGTTGAGACGAACAAGTACAAATCGTAGTTGACACCTAGTACGACAAGGCATGTTCAAGCTTCACGGATCTGAAAGTTCACTTTGTGCTATATTGTCCTCTGTTCTTTTTCTATTTTTTCATTGCGCGATCTTCATTTTCATTTGCACACAATACCTGGCTGTTGTTCCTATTCTCATATGCACAGAACGAGTTCGCTCTCCGGCTTTTGCTTTTTCAGCAAGCGTGACAACCTCGCCTTTCCACATACTAAGCAGTCTTCCGGTCTTCAAGCAGGAACAGAGATCGGAAGTTTTTGCGTGTCTCTTTCCTGTAAGTAAACTTTGCGTGTTCCTCGTCCACGGCGGTGCTGCTGGCCGAGGTGTCGTCCGCTCCGGCGGGGAAAATTCTATCATTGCCGCGAGAAGGATCGGAGCGAGGACCTCCTCCCTGCTTCGACGCTGCGTGCATCCCCATCGCATCGGCTGCTGCGTGGTCCGCCTCCACAAAAGCACTGAGGAAGAGATCCGTGGTTGCGACCGCAGTAACGCATTTTTTTGCGTAGTAGCTGATCGTCATGGACACAATCATCTCGAAATCCAGCATGTACTCGATTGCGTAGTCCGTCGCGCCGTACTCTTCCGTGGCCTTCCCCTCCTGGTTTGCCCACAAGTAAAGTGCCACGGCAAGGACAAGGAACAAGACCGCGTATAGAATGTACTGCTTTTGCAAAAACCCGCCCATTTCGTCCCGCTTCTCGCGGAGGTTAAGTTTTCCTCCCGTATTCGCTCGCCACGAGCGGACCCCCGTGGTGGCCGTTGCACCTTCGTAGAGGACGAGCGAAACGCAGGCAATCGTGAAACAGTAGTCCAGGCTTTGAGAGGACGAGGAGGAAGACGACGCCGTGGAGGAGCCGCCGACCAGCATTTGGTTGAAAATCCCGAGCAGCGCCATGTAGAGCGGGATGGCTTCCAGGGTAGTCACCAGCAGCAGCACAAGGCTGTGCTTGTCGTCTGGGAAAAACGCCTTCACGCTGAGTAACGCCGCCGCAATACCGCCAACCAACGCCATGGCGGAGGTCTGGAGTTGCCGGCCGAAAATCAGGCCGACCATCAGACCGATCACGTGGTCGGCTTGCAACATCGCTGTTTCCGCCTTTGCCTGGAGGTCCTTCAAGTACAGGCCCTTGACATGTTGCTGTTCGGTAGTCAAGTCGGAAAGCGAGCCGTACGAAGCTGGCTGGCGCCGCGTCGTGCTGGCCAGTGCGGGTAACTGTAAAGTTGTCAGGCTCGACGAGGACGACGTCGCACTTGTTGTTCCACTCGTACTAGTTGCGCCACTACCTCCTCCTGCTCCCGAGGAAGCACTCGTGGGTGGATTCGCTGCCGCTAAACACGTTGCCAAGTCCTGCTTGTAGCTGGCTTTTTGTGTGGTCCGCAGGGCAGCTAGCACCGGCGAGCCGTCTAGATTCTCGCCGAAAATCGTGCTGTTCGTGGGCGCAGCGACAAACTGGACGCAGTTGGTCAGACAAGCCAACTCCAAACGGCTAAAACTGCTGGTCAGGGCACCAGCGGACGGGGAAGTGGCAACGGCGGCGTTGCCGCACGTGGTCGTGCGACAGTTTGTCTCTGCTAGCCTGGTGCAGTGGTCAAGTTTTTCAAAGAACTCAGTGATCCAGTCCTCGCCCTGCGCAGCGCACCATTGCTTAATTGCATTACCATTCACGGTAATTGTGGTGTCCGATGAAGATGATGCTGAACTAGTAGTACCAACAGGAGTCGATGACGAGCTTGCAGTTGATGTGCCACTGCTGCCAGCAGTGCCACTACTCGTGCCTAGGAGAGCGGCGGCCTTCGCGCTTGCTTTCGAGCCGACGGAGCCGGAGGCTGCAGAAAGTCCAACAGAAGTACCAGTTCCCGAAGCTCCTGCTGTTCCGACGGCAGACGCAGAGGCTGGCGCAGCTGCCGTGGTCGTGACAAAACTGCCCATGTCGGAAGTCTGCTCCAGCACCGCGAGCTGTTCCTGAAGCTGCGTGCCCACCCCGGGCAGCGCCAGCGTTCTCGTGATGGCGTCTTGGCAGAGACTGGACCGGACGTCCGTCCAATCGAGAAGCATGCGCACCGGAAAAATGATGATGACGAAAAACGGGGGCGCGAAACCCAGGAACCAAGCGAGCAGCATCAAGCGGGACGAAAGTTGGATCTTTTTGAGCGCGCTCAGTTTTTTCTCTTCCGGCATGATCTTTACTAGGGTGATATTTTTCGCCGTTGCAGGAGGACTTTTTACAACTCCTGCTTCTTCAACATTCGCATTTTCGTTTAATACACCTTGCGCAGCAACTACAGCACCTCCAACATCGGCTTCGCTGCTTTCGGAGGACGAAGAGACCACGGCCAGACGCAGCAGCACTGCGGCAACGAGCAGAAGTCCGTAGGAAAAGGCAGCAATCCCCCACATCGATGCTTCGTATGCATACAGCACATCCAGAAAACTGTCGAATACAGACACGAGGCTGCCGTGAGCTTGGACCGCGTCTGGGAACTGCGCCAGGTATCCCTTGTACTCCCCGATGACGTCCTCCTCGGTTTTGTAGGTCAGGCCCAATTGCACCAACCCGAAAAGCAAACCGGCACACATAAAGGAAAACTTCCATGTGAGAAAGGTCGCGACGGTGTTCTCGTTCGCCGGGAAGCCACTTCTCGACGATGTTTTATTTTGTGCTCCTTCTTCTGCAACAAGTTCAGCATCGTTGCCAGTCCGTCTGCCGACAAGTTGTAGATCACGACCGGCAGGAGCGGTCTGTGCTTGCTTGCTGTTGGTCGTCTTTTCTTGTTCCACGGAAGCAGCTAGCTCCTCGCTGGTTATCCAACAAAAAAACTGTGTTAGTGTAGGTGTCTTGGGGTGACGGCATGACAAATCTGTTCTGCATGACAGACAAAGCCTGTCATGCGCAGCTAGTAAGTGAAAAAGCAAATGAAATAGGACTTCATGGTTGCCCAGCATGACAAGTGTAACAGTGTCTCATGCTTTGCATCACAGACTTACGCTTACACAGTTTTTCTCTTTCATACTGGTGGAACGTGGTCCAGTGCTGGTGGCGGGGGCGGGCCTCGTTGTCTCATACCCACACTGTTCGCAAAATACTCTGAAGGAGTTGTAGACTGGATTTGTATTTGCGGTAGCTGGACCCTCCCACAAGCTGTTTCTCAGAACGGCGTAGAGTGACGTCATTGCTTCGGATGGAGATAATTTTCAAGGAGGGATGAAGAACTCTACGACGACAGCGAAAGTTATGTCTGGTATGGGCGGGACTCTCTTCCAGACTAAGATGACGAACAATCGATCTTATTCTCAACGCTCCCACCTTTAAAGCAGGGCATTCATCATGCTTGATGAGAGTATAGATAAGCACTAGCGGGCCTCGTAGGCACGAGACACTTTGGCTTGAACTTTGAGACTAGTTTAATGTTGACAACATGAACATGATACTGTAGCCGTTAAAAATTTTCTACAACGATTATCATAATTGCGTACTAAGAGGCGTATAACTGGGACGGGTATGTAGTGTCTGCCTCTGCCCTGCAGCTGCATTGAAATAAACATAGAAGCAATAAATTATCGATCGTCCTCAACATCTACCGAACGAAAGAAAGAGGAAGAGCGAATATGAAAGACGCGGGTCCTCATATTGGTACTGCGACATCGACATGGCGCAAGAATGAGTGCCGAGGACAACGTTGATCTGTGATACCGACGCTTCTTTTCTCCTTACATACGACCTAGCATGACCGAATGTTTGATGAAGCCCACGCCAGCTCGTGTGGATGTGGTGCACAATATGCTACGTTTTTCGACTTCAGATTGACATTGACAGGTGACCGAACACGGATCATGAGAATCTTCTGAATCAAGCGTGTCTTGGTGGATTGCGATTGGGCAAGTAACTGATACATTGAACGAAGCCGCAGTATTGTTGCTACGTGTGCTCCTGGGCAAGGACCACAGGTGGAAAGATGAGGTTTACTTGTTCTGTACTAGTCGCTTCATCGTGTCGTCGCTGTGGCCAAAAATTCCGTGTCGCTTTTGTCGTGTTGGTTTGTCATTCGTGTGTGTACTTCGTCTCTTGATAGAAAATTGCAATCATGACGCGCCATGACGTCCACGCGTAATTATATGCTCCGGACTTGAGTCAGTAGTTCTAGTTGTTAGACCAAAGATATAAACGTGACAAACCATAATGAATCAATACAGCGAGGATGCGGCTCGTTCTCGATTGTGCTGCCGGTGTCACTCAGCGAATCAAAAACTATGTTGGCGGTGGCGAGTGAGGCGCTTCGCGCGCACGCATTAGGATGATTTTTAAAACAAGTGACGGGAAATAAACCAACGTAAGTACTATGCCAACACACATCCTCGTGCTTCAATCACCTTTCTGAAGTCAGGCACAGGTCCACACCCATCAATCCACTAAAAATAAAATCAAACCTCCACCGCCACCGGATTGAGATGCGAGATCACATACACCTCCCATCATCATTAGTAATTTCCACTCGTTGTAGTTGTAGAACGAAAGAGCCTGCTCGCTCGTCTGTCCCGGAATTGGAATTGCTGTGCAGACCCGAAGATCAACATTTGTTGTCATATTCAAGAGTGGGCGTCATGCCTCCCGTGCTGGTGCCACAACTTTTATGCAAGAACGCCAAGATAAGAAGTTGCATCAAGTTCAAGAGTGAAGACGCGGCAAATAGGTCGAGTTCCGAACAACCCAGTCGACGTTGCGGATCCCAAATCAGATTCATCCGGCGGCCCCCGGTTCATGATCTCATGGGACAAGATTTTCCTCCAAATATCCGTATGACGAAGAGGAAGACCACGATCCAGAGAGCCGCAGTGGTCGTCTTCAAATCTTTCCACGACTCGACGTCGACGTCCAACTTACAAGTACTTCTATACAGGTTGCTCGGGCTTGTGTTGGAGGAGACGCGAAGCAGCGATATCAACTCACATTCGGTTTTTATTGATCGATGTTTGCGGCGCCGATTGCGACTGTGAGATCGGGATCCAGATCCATGTTGAGTTTTTCCTGCCCGAACAGATCGGCCAGCATCGCTCGTATTCTCGGCATGCGGCTGGCCCCCCCGACCAAGACCACGTGGTGGATGTCCTTTGGCTTCATCATCTGGTCCGACAGCACCTGCTCGACCGGCGCCAGCGCTCGGGCGAACAATTCCTTTGCGGTCTCTTCAAATTCTGTCCGCGTGACCGACGTCCCGCAGATGCTCGCGCTCTGCTCGCTACTGAACTGCTTCTTTAGATTCTCGGCAGTTTCCGGGTTTGCCGTTTCCCTGTGCTCGGTTGCCGCGCACTTCTGTTGCAACAGGTGCAGCATGGCATGGTCGAAATCCGAGCCGCCGAGGTGGTCATCGCCCGAAGTCCCCAGCACGTTGACCGCCTTCGTCGAAATGTGCAACAATGACGCATCCAGCGTGCCGCCACCCAGGTCGTACACGATCACTGTTTTGCCCGTTGCGCTCTTGTGCAGACCTGAAGAAGTAGAGGGAAAGAAGTGAAGATGCATCCAATATACAACCTGCTTCATCTGCATCTGCTGATGACTTTCATCGTTCGTCTCGACGAAGCAAAAGGCTTCAAAATGATCTTCAAGGTGAATAATTGCATGCGGCCTGCTTGTTCTTAATTTATGTCCTCTGTATAAATTTTAATTTTTTTAAGATCTCGCTTTTGCGAGCAAAAGAAAATTGGCGATGAGCAAGAGCCACAGCCCTCGCTCCTGCTCCTCCTCATGCGCGAGGATGCAAATGCGTCAATGCTAGTTAAAAATACAGAACGAATGCAGCAGGAGCTACGTACGTAGTTACCATACGCAACCGCAGCAGCGGTGGGCTCGTCCATAATCCGCGCGACCCGAAAACCCGCTTTCGAAAAAACCTCGTGCGTCTTTTGGATTTCCAGCTTCCCGAACTTCGCAGGTACGCAGATGACGCAGTCCGCGACACCGTGGCCAAGGTACGTCTCTGCGGCGTCCTATGAGAGTGCACGACGTCCGCTCCTGCTGTCATCATTTTCCATGAGAAAGTAAAGCACCAATTTCGCATCATTTTGTTTTTTATTTCTAAGCTGCACTGCCCGCATCACAGACAAATAAGGGTGGACCCTCAACAAACAATAGTTGTGCGCAAACCTCCCGCGCGGACCAGACGTTTTTCTCGTGTGGATGCCACAATATAAATTTGCGCAGTTTCATCTTCTGTTGCTGCTCATGTAGTTCGAATTATGAGATGGAGGAGGGAAATCTCCGAGCTGCAGTTGTGCACTCTCATACGTCCCGAAGTTTTTTCACAATTGCTGTGCCGATGTCCACCGGAGTGCGCCACTTTGTGTCCAGAACTCGAAACTCGGCCTGCGTGTGATTGAATACGACTTCCCGCACAGCCTGGTACGTAGAATCTTCCTCAACCGCTGCTGGCATCGGAGTTTTTCGCTTTGCCTTCAAACAAGCCGCTAGCGCGCCTGCATTCTTAATGGTGGAGTCATCTTCGTCCAAGAACGCAAAAGCGCCGTCCTGCGAGTCGTGCGCTGTGGCCGCGACATCATCGGCAGTTGCCCTAGTTGTACTTTGCATGGTTTCTCCTGTAGCTGCAATGGTAGTCGTAGTTCTACTCGTTCGTGCTTCTTCGACGCACTCCGCGAGTGCCTCGACCGTTTGGGAAAATTGGTCCTCGGAACGTGTGGCGCCAGGTGCTCCCAAATCTTTTGCGAGCGATCGGAGAAGCTCGGTGCTATTCACATCTCGGTTCCCTATTCGAAATGGATGCTCGGCGATTTCCGCAGTCGTCTCGAACACGGATTTCCCGATGAAACCTATGTAAAGATTCAGACGAAGAGGATTGATGAATAGAACCGGGGTGTAGTTCGTTGAATAAATGAAAAAATATCATCAAAACAACGAGAAACAGTGCAGCTGCAAGTTCGTCTGGGGTAACAAGGTTTTTTTATAAGTTCTTCTGTGTCTACTCGAATACGAGAAAAAGACAGATAAAAAAGAAGACAGCAGCCGAGTATCTTCTGAGTAAATACGTTTTGCATGGTAAATTGTATCGCTTGGACTTGCTGCACGCCGCTCGAGAGCCTTCTCACCCACCAGAAAATGTGCGAATTCCTTGTCGAATTTCATGTACTTTCGCTCTGGGTCCGTCATGGCGTTTTTTACGTAGGAAACCACGGAGGGCGTCAGAAGTTTTCCTGTTTCATGGTTTGGGATAACCTCCACCGTGCCGTTACGCTTCACTGCGACAACAGAGAACGTCGTTCCGAGGTCTATGCCAAGGACATGTTTTCTGCCTTGAAACCCGATCGACGCCAGCCATGCGGAAAGACCCACCAGGGCAGCGCCCGCGATCAAAATCCACTGAGACATTTTGATTAATTTATAACTATTGGAAGTTTAATATTCAAGCGCCACTAACACTATTCGTTTTGAGTTGGCAATGCTCTCACTTACACTACAACTCGTAATCGCATTTTCATTTACATCGCGATCTTCTACTTCTACATTCACTTGCAGGAGCAACAAGCTACCATTTTATAGGAGATGATCAACGTCAAGATTGCAAATCCATGAACCCCCGAGAGTAACCGAAAAAAAAAATGCTCCACTGGTGCTGTTGAAAAGCATACATACCAAATGGGTCTCAGAAGAAATTCATCAAAAGAACGGCTCAACTGTAGACAAAAAGGATGCAAAACCACTTTTTTCAGTGCCGTTTGGATCGTTTTTCCTCAAATTTGCGCGCCTCTATCATTTACCACACTGACCACTTTTAGGAAGTCGGAAAGGGCCATAGCTCTGCAGCTGCGGCGAAACGCATGATCAATTTCCGATGATCTTTTCTTCTAAATGAGAGACAAATTATGTGTGGCTGATCTGCAAAAACCTAATGCCAGATCGCGACGAGGACCAAGTGGCGCATCCTTGGTTCGGAAGAGCGCGGCTTTTTACTTCTCTCTTCATTGTTCATGTTCAAGTAGGTCATCACTTCTCTATACCAAACCTCCAGAATAGTCTATCCCTTGCTAAGAGTAAGAGTGTGACGGCCAAACTAGTATTATTCCGCAACTTAAAGCCAAAAAGTAAAAACAAAAAACAAAAGCTAAAGGCAAAAAGTAAAAAAGCAGGCGAAAGGCCAAAGGCCAAAGGCCAAAGGCCAAAGGCCAAAGGCCAAAGGCCAAAGGCCAAAGGCCAAAGGCCAAAGGCCAAAGGCCAAAGGCCAAAGGCTAAAGGCTAAAGGCCAAAGGCTAAAGGCTAAAGGCTAAAGGCTAAAGGCTAAAGGCTAAAGGCTAAAGGCTAAAGGCTAAAGGCTAAAGGCTAAAGGCTAAAGGCTAAAGGCTAAAGGCTAAAGGCTAAAGGCTAAAGGCTAAAGGCTAAAGGCTAAAGGCTAAAGGCTAAAGGCTAAAGGCTAAAGGCTAAAGGCTAAAGGCTAAAGGCTAAAGGCTAAAGGCTAAAGGCTAAAGGCTAAAGGCTAAAGGCTAAAGGCTAAAGGCTAAAGGCTAAAGGCTAAAGGCTAAAGGCTAAAGGCTAAAGGCTAAAGGCTAAAGGCTAAAGGCTAAAGGCTAAAGGCTAAAGGCTAAAGGCTAAAGGCTAAAGGCTAAAGGCTAAAGGCTAAAGGCTAAAGGCTAAAGGCTAAAGGCTAAAGGCTAAAGGCTAAAGGCTAAAGGCTAAAGGCTAAAGGCTAAAGGCTAAAGGCTAAAGGCTAAAGGCTAAAGGCTAAAGGCTAAAGGCTAAAGGCTAAAGGCTAAAGGCTAAAGGCTAAAGGCTAAAGGCTAAAGGCTAAAGGCTAAAGGCTAAAGGCTAAAGGCTAAAGGCTAAAGGCTAAAGGCTAAAGGCTAAAGGCTAAAGGCTAAAGGCTAAAGGCTAAAGGCTAAAGGCTAAAGGCTAAAGGCTAAAGGCTAAAGGCTAAAGGCTAAAGGCTAAAGGCTAAAGGCTAAAGGCTAAAGGCTAAAGGCTAAAGGCTAAAGGCTAAAGGCTAAAGGCTAAAGGCTAAAGGCTAAAGGCTAAAGGCTAAAGGCTAAAGGCTAAAGGCTAAAGGCTAAAGGCTAAAGGCTAAAGGCTAAAGGCTAAAGGCTAAAGGCTAAAGGCTAAAGGCTAAAGGCTAAAGGCTAAAGGCTAAAGGCTAAAGGCTAAAGGCTAAAGGCTAAAGGCTAAAGGCTAAAGGCTAAAGGCTAAAGGCTAAAGGCTAAAGGCTAAAGGCTAAAGGCTAAAGGCTAAAGGCTAAAGGCTAAAGGCTAAAGGCTAAAGGCTAAAGGCTAAAGGCTAAAGGCTAAAGGCTAAAGGCTAAAGGCTAAAGGCTAAAGGCTAAAGGCTAAAGGCTAAAGGCTAAAGGCTAAAGGCTAAAGGCTAAAGGCTAAAGGCTAAAGGCTAAAGGCTAAAGGCTAAAGGCTAAAGGCTAAAGGCTAAAGGCTAAAGGCTAAAGGCTAAAACTACTACTACTCTAGGTTTATGGTGTTACAGTGTGATTGCTGCCAGACCAAGTTCCCCTAGGCATTTCCCCGGTTTCCGCCCCAGGATCACCGGGCTTGGGACCTGCATACGCGGGGGGGGTGCAGGACGACACAGCAGTGCCGTATCCTATCCTACCGTCGTGGGTTCCTGGGCGTGCATGCGCAGGTGCTTCCCGAGGACACCCGCTCCTTGCGGGCGGCCCCCAACGCCCATGACGAGGCGCATTTGTCGTGACCCATGTTCAGTTTGCGGCTGCTGCATGCGGTTTTCGTCCGCGGGACGAGAGATTTTTGACACAGCACAAGACATCAACGCGATCGCAGGATCGAGAACGCACAGCATCGGATCATAGTGTGTAACCGCGATGGTGATCATTTGGTCGCTCTCACGCGCTTGTTGGACGCCTGCGCATCATCCTCTCGAACACGAGACAGCCGACAAACTTTGGAGACAAGTTTCTCTCCAGGGACTCACGAACTCTTTTCTCGGACCAGTGCAACAAAAACTGAGATATAGGTTTTTCAGAGCAGTCCTGTGGCTGGGACCGCCCTGGCCGGCCTATGGGTGGGCGCGGCAATTGCAAATTTCCATACACCTTGATATGGCGGCCAGTATGACATCTGTTTTTGTCGTGCCTGACATCATTAATTTTACTTCACCCAACCGCAACATTTATTTTTCTCTCCGTGCTCATGACTGTGGGTCGACCCCAGTCGACTGGGCTTCATCTTGTCCTTCTTCCTCTTCCTCGGTAGTGGAGCCTTGTTCGGAGACCGGAAACTCCGCGTCCCGGACCGTCCGGAGAAAATCCAGGATCACGTCCGCCGATTGGAGCCCACCCAGGTGGCGATACTCGTGACATAGCCTGATGTGTTGCCATGAGTCCATTGTGTCTTTGCACCGGGGGCAGTTTGTCACGCGTAGTCCTTCTTCTGTAATTTTCTTGAACCTTGTTGCCCCGGCAACGTCCCCGAGCGTCTTTTGGAGCCATCGCCCCTCCCCGCGAGCCGCTCGGTAAATATCCCTGATCTTTGCTCGGGTCAGCTGGAGGTCCTTGAATATTTCGCCGGATCTCGAGCCCTCCTCCGCCAGTCGGCGCATTGCCTCCGCCTCCTCCTCCTCCAGTTGTGCGACCAGCGCGGCCTTGATTTCTTCGTGGCAGGGCGGATCCATTTCCCGAACCTCCTGTGGCGTCGGCACGCCTTCGCACGCGTGCGTGCATATGGTGTCCGCCAATTCGTTGGCGTCGTTGCCGCAGTGCGCCGGTACAAATACCAGCCGCACACTTTTATACCGGGCCGCCACTTGGCCCAACAGTTCCGCAAGCCTGACGTCCTGGTCGGCGCCATCCAGCGTCGTGCCTAGCAGTTTCGCAAGTCGCTCCACGAGGCTCAGGCTGTCCACCAGCACTAGGACCTCCGTTTGCTTGTTGCGTTTGTCCTCCCAATGCGTGCCCCATAGGAGTTCTGTGAGGCCGCGCTCGAGTCCCAGACGCTCCATAGCGTAGGCGCTGCTGGTTTTTGCCCTTCTGTAGGCGCAACATTTTGTTCGCCCCAATGTTGCCGCCACTGTTGCCGCAGCCCCTCTCTTGGTCTTCCCCGAAAAACTTCCGTCTGTGGCCAGTAGCACTCCCCCCGCCGCCACGTGCTTCCGCCCCCGGTTCCCAATTTCGACCGGGTCCGGGTCACGGGTTTCGAATTCTATGTTATCCGCGTCGATCATTGGCACAGCCCGGAATGGTGCCACTGCGTCGTAGCACCACCCTGTTTTGCGCAGCAGCCGAACCCCATGGGATATCCAGCCCGCCTCGCTGAACTTTCCAAATTCGTCCCCGAGTTCGGGGGCGTACGAGTTGAAGCATGGCGGCGCACTTGTGTCCGCGGCTGGTCTCAAGCCTGTGCCCGCCCCCTCTTTGTGGTAGTAGCACCCTGCGAAGGTTGTATCGCCCCCCATTGCGGAAAGGATTTGGTTTTCCTCGGCCCCTTCCAGCTTGGCGAGTGGGATCTGCAGCGGGGACGCGGCTTCCACCCACTTTCCCCCCCCGGCGCTTCCCGTGGCCCGCCCAGGTCTACTTAGCCGCGCTGCCAGGGTGTTTCTGAGGTGTGTTTCGGGGCCCCGGAGGCTCGCATCGATGAGGGACGCGACCCCTCGCGTGTACGCGTTTTGGATGGAGGTCGAGAGGGAGAGCATCCGCAGCGCCTCCAGCCGCATTGTTCGGACCCCTCCGATCGCGAGGCGTTGCGCAATGTTTAGCGCATCGGTGTTCAGCCGTTTGAGGACTGGCGCGGGGGCATACGTTCCCCACCCCGCCACGCCCCATGTCACCGACTGGGTGATGAGGGCACGGATGGTCTGTGTGAAGACGTACGGCTCGAGTCCCCACGAGTAGCTGGAGAGGCGCTTTAGGATGGGCAACCTCCGTCGCACCTTCTCTGTAACTGCTTTGACGTGCGGTCCAAAATGCAGAAGATGGTCGACCTGGACCCCCAACACCCTGTGGACCGAAACCTGTTCGAACGGAAGGCCGTCGAGCGGCGCCGCCTCCCACGGAAGGTCGACGCAGCTGGCCCCGGAGGGTGTCGGCGCTTGTGCGAACTCTTTGCGGCGCGTTTCTCTGTGCTGCATTTCCTTGCCCACCAGGGTGCCATCGAAAATCAGGCATTTTGTTTTCTCGGCGTCCAGGTTCAGCCCGAGGGTGCGGAGCTCCTCCCGGAGCGCGGCCGCTAGTCTTCGCAGCGCTTTGGCGAGTTGGCCCCTGCTGTCCGCCGCGACCATTAGCACGCCGTCGTCGGCATAAAAGTGGACTTCTGCCTCTGTATTTCGTCCCAGGTTCCTCTCCCTCAACCTTTTCGGGAGACGGTCAATCAGGATGTTCCACAAGGAGGGGGATGCGATCCCCCCCTGGGGAAGACCTGAGACACATTCCCGGTATGTGGACACGTCCTCCCCGAAGCGGACCCGGAAATGTCTGTGAATCATCCATGCATGGATGAAACGGCCGCACCCCGGTGTGACGCCCATGGCCCTGCATTCTTCCAGAAGCTTCCCGGCCCGAGCGCTATCGTAGGCGCCTGTTATGTCGGTACTAATCCACCCGACATGCTTGCCCCTTGCCAGCCGGGTGGAGGTCCAGTGGAGGATCTCGGCGATTTGCTGGTCGCATCCCACATGCGGCCGGAAGGCGTGTTGGCTCTTTGAGAAAAGCTCCTCCCCTGCCGCATCTTGCGTGCGCATGGTTTTCTGCATTCGCCAGAGAACCACCCTCTCAAGGGTTTTGACCGCCACAGGCAGAAGCGATATCGGCCGATACCCGGTGGCCTTGGACCCATCCTTGCCGGGCTTCTCGAGCAGGATGACCATCGCGCGGCACAGCATTGGTGGGATCTTGGCTCCGCTGAGAATGACCGAGAAGAGGTCAGCCAGGGGAGCGTGTGTAGCCGGGGAGAACAGCAGCATCTCGTTGGTCACCCCGTCCTCCCCCGGCGTTTTGTTACGCTTTGCCACCTTTAGCGCGCGCTGCACTTCCCCCGTTGTGACCGGGTCTGGCGGCTCCTCTTCACGGAGCCAGTTGCGCACCTCTGGAGTTAGCTCGGGCGCTATGTCCGCCCTTTTCGTCGGTTTTGTCTCCACCCCGTTTTCGGCACTTTTTTCGTCATCCCCTAAGTACTTGCGATTAAACCAAGTCGCCCAAGCTTGGGCTTTTTCTCGGTCTGTCACAAAGCTGGACCCGAACAGCTTGAGCGGCTCCTCCGGCGGGCGTTTGCGCCGGGGCCTTCTGCCCTCTTCTCTTGCAAGGTACCGCCATAGCGACGACGTCGTCACCTTATGGTCCGCGATATACCGCCTCCAGGCGTCCCCCTCAATCTGCCGGCGCAGTACCCGTGCTGCCTGGCTGTTCGTCTTTCGGAGTTCCTCCCACCGCTTGATATCCGGATGCCAGACGTTGTGCTCGGCAAAAGTTTTTTCTGTGTCCGGGTGCGCGAGCCTGCCACTGAGGGGGGCCCGGTACGCGCGGAACGCCGTCTGGAGTTCTTGGAGAAGGATGCTCCAGAGTCTGTCCCCCTGCCTGTTCTTCTTTGCTTCGTCCCACTCCGCCTGTCTGGCAGCCAGTTTTGCAGCGATTTCTTCATTGACTCGGGCCCAGTCTTCTTTCCCCATCTTTTTCAGGAAAAATTTCTCCCCGAAATGTTCCCGCTCCCAGTGCGCGTTCTCGGGCACCGCCCTGTCCGCGAAGATTTTGCTACAAATCGGGATCTCAATCGCTGCATGATTTGAGAGGCCATCTGAATCGATGGCCCTCCCCGGGTACCGCGCCCCTTCCTCAGGCGCTTCCGCGAGTCCTTCCTCCAGAAACAGCTCAGTAAGATTCTCCGGAAGCTCTTCTCCCGGTGCGAAGAGAATTTTATCAGGCTGCGTTTTGGCGAGCGGGAAGGTAACCTCGTCCGGGTGGAGGAGGTTCCACAGATCGTCTTTTGCTATCCAGTCGGAGAACCCCTTCCTCCATGTGCCCACGTTGAAGTCCCCCATCAAAAGTCGCGAGGCCGGTGCCGGGCCGCGGTGGTCTGTGGCGGTAAGTTGCTTGAGCTGCGTATACGTCGGGCGGGACCTGGGTGGCACATAAACGCACAACACCTCCAGAACAACCCTTCCTGCGTTCCAAAACTGGCATCCACATACCTCCACGGCAGGTCGTTTGCCTCCGGGGGGCTTTCGTGCCTGGGCCAAGATCTCGTCCGGGAGGGGGCGAACATCTGCGCCAAGCCCCATGCGGATGAGTATCGCGCATCCCCCCCCCTTGTCTGCTTCGTCGCCCGCCCTCTGCGAGCTCGACACCAGGCGGTATTCAGGGAGGGACCTCGCAACCAGCCGCTGTAGCTCAGGCAGCCCCATTCTCACCTCGGTAAGCAGCACCGCACCGGCGCGTTGATCCCGGAGGTACTCCCGCAGGAATCTGCCCTTCGTCTGTAGCGAATTGATATTCAAGTGTAGAAAGTTGCATCTCTCATCTCCGCCTCTACTTCTCGTCTTTTTGTTGGCTCCCGTGTGCCCCTCCTTCTTGTTTGAGTCGTTCTTCCTCGTCTCCTTGAATAGTCAGTTTAGTTTCGCGGCCCGCCAGTGTTCGGCGTCATAGAAGAGTCCTAGCGCCTCCCCCCCGTGGGCTCCATACCGCGACGCCCGGAGTTCGGTCGTCGGCAGCGTGGTGAAGCCGCTGCACTGATGTTCTTCCGTCTGGGAATACTGCTGATCGGTTTCTGCGTTTTGCCACCGCGTCCACACCTTGACATCTTTTTTGAGAATTTGAGAGGCGATGGTCAGCTCGAGTTCCCCTGCCCAGCTTCGGCGCTCCCGCAATTTCGCAATGGCGTACGCATACGTTGCGCCGAAAGGGACGTTGTCGGGCTTTTCTTCGTTCAGAAGAATCTGCTCGAAGGTCCGCCCTCCAATATGGGTAGCGTCTTGGTTGCCTGCAAGGAAGTCCGCCACTGCGTTGCGAAGTCCGTCCGGCGTCCAGGTGGCTTGTCCGTTCGTCTCCACGCTAAGCTGCCAGCAGAGGCTGTTGCACAGGCAATTCCCGTTACTGCCGCACTCGCGGATCTCGATGCACGATCCCTCCTCGAAGAGCCCGTCCCGGATGTCACGCAACACCCAAGTCGCCCGGCGACTCATCGCCGCCTCTAGGAGGCGCCACGGGATCGCCAGACTATCTTCGAGGTAGTTCGTGAATTCGCTGATAGTGGCAATTTCTGATATCCGGGCCCTGTTTGTCTGCAGCTTCGTGCGGACATCCCGGATTTCTTCCTCGGAGGGTGGGTGGGCTAGCCTAGCCCGCTCTTGCCATTTCGCAACTGTCTCCCCCAGGAGCTGCTTGGCCTCGCCGCCCTGCAGTCGCAGCTTCTTCTTGATGTGCGCCCCCATGGCCTGCGCGTCTACCCAGATGGAAATTTCGCACATCGTGCGCTCTAAGTCTTCTTTCGTAACCCCTTTGATATGCGCCTTTTCGGTTGCTGCTCGTGTCCGCTCCGTCCCGGGGGGTCGCCGGTCACCCCTGCCTGGTCTCTCCTGTTCCGACACCGGGGCCCGACTGCGCCTGTTCTTAGTTGGCGGCGCTGCCTGTTCCGATTCGCTACTACTAGAAGAAGACGAGGAGCTAGAGGAGGACGACAACTCAATCACCTCCTGTTTCTTCTTTTTCCCCTCCTTGTCGGTCGCTTTCGCCGCCCGGGGCTTAGCAGCAGTGTTAGCCCGGGTCGCAGGCTTGTCGGGGGTTTCGCTTCGTTTCCTTTTAGTGGTCCTCGGCACGGAGTTTTCCGCCCTGCGCCTACTCCTGCTCCGAACACGCTCAGCCACCCGGGAAGGCTTCCGCATTTCTCCGTAGCGTTCTTTTGGGACGTGGTCGTAGATGAACTTCGCCATGTTCTTCTTCAGGATATTTTTCATATCCTTGTGGCGGACTCCATACTTTTGGAAGGCTTCCGCACACAGGAAACGTCCCATGTCGTTGCGGTTTGCCATCCAAACCGTCTTTGCCCGGCGCTGCAGGAAGTGCCGCAGCTCCCATTCCGCAACCCATTTGTTTCCCCCGGCATACGTGGACGCATTGTTAGTGGGCGTTGTCTCGCGACGGTCGCTTCCCTGCTCCCGCTGCTGTTGCTTGTCGTTCCTCCTCCCGGACGGAGTTCGGTCCCGAGAGGTGGAGCGGCGTCGAGATACTCGTCGAGCGCCGCGCGATCTGGAGCGGGACGCTGCAGTGTGATCCCGGGCCCGGGAGCGCTCCGGCTGCCTGTTTCTATTGCGTCTGTCAAGGTCGGTCTGCACTTCTCCCGGTGCGAGAATCGGGTAGGAGAAGGGGTGGAGCTGTGGCACGAAGAGCTGGTGCGTACTTGGGTGTTGGTGGTGGCGCCATAGGTCCGTTCCAAAATTGGTGGGGTGGTACTGCTGGTTCGATGTGGTTGAGTTTGTTGGCCGGCGTTGCGTGCGGGCTCCTGATGCTGACACACAGTGTGGCTGCTGTTGTGCCAGGTCCTGGATCACCTGGATCGCCCGCGCGACCAAATCCTGCTGTTGTGCGAAATCCATTTTCGAACGCTGTTGCAACACCAACAAAATCGCTAATTATTCTAGAACTTATTTTCAATTTCAGTGATATTTCGATTACAAAGCAGAACGCTAATGCTCAAGCTCCTTGCTAGTTCCTCCGAAGGAAGGAAGCGACGGTGGGGTCAGTTCTGGGTTCGCCGTGCGAGAACTGCGCATGCGATATGGGTGTGAGATGCTTGTTGCAAGGAATACGACAGAGAGGTGTGGTTGCCTCTCTACACCTGTTTCCCCCGCTCGCGGCTCCTCCTGTTCTAAAACGGTACCTCCGCTGCCTTCGGAGCCCCCGGTTATAAAAGGAAAAGGAAAAACTCTCCTTCGCGTCTGGTCCCCTTCTCTCACCGAGTGCTTGCCTCTCTACGATTTGCCGATCTGCGATGGTGAACGATTTAACGACTGTGTACGATTTCGAATCCGATTCTTTCCTGTTGTGCTCAGCATCTCTCATTTGTCACGATGTACGACCGAGGTTCTGAAGCCTTGCTTGTGATCTCGAGCAGCATTTTCTGTTCTTGAAAACCCGAGCCATAGCCGGTTTTCTCTCCTTTCTTGCCTCTGGTTTGGCGGGAGGGTAAAGGCTAAAACAAAAACTAAAAAGTAAAAGCTAAAAGTAAAAAATGAAAATTGCAAGCAAGAGAAAGGCAAAGCGTGCAGCAGAACGCCAACGGCAGAATTTGAAAAGCTCGAGCTTTTGAATTAAAAGCTCGAGCTTTTGAATTGCTCAAGCAACAGCAAAAGCAAGCAAGGCGGTGAAAGCTGGATAGAGCAAGCGTGTTCGGCGCTGGCAGAAAATGCGACGCCTCAGGCTTTCAAAATCTTCAACAGCTGGCGCCCCAACCCGAGGCTCGACCAGCTGCCCGCCATCAATTCGCTATATAGCAAACTGATGGCGGGCGCCCCACCCCGAGGTCCGACCCGGTCCCCGGGCACCTCAGCCCGAGGCTCGACCAGCTGCCCGCCATCAGCTTGCGCTATAGCGAACTGATGGCGGGCACTCCACCCCGAGGCCCGACCAGGTCCCCGCCATCAGTTCGCTATTTACCGAACTGATGGCGGGCACTCCAACCCGAAGTCCGACCTGGCAGAAAGAACGACACCAACTGAAACAGAACAGGAGTTTTAGAATTCCTGTTCTGGTTCTTTTTTTTGTTTTTCGATCTAGCGGAATAACTTAATTTTTTTTCACACTTCTACAGGCGAAGCATACGTTGCTAGTATGATAGTGCACCAACATACATGTCAAGTTTTGAGATTTTAGGGGGAATACAAAAGTGTCACGCATGCGAACTGTTTTTCTAGTTTTTGTTTCTGAGGAAGGGGCATTGTTACCTGTTTGTTTTGTTTGGTTATCTTTTGTTTTTCTCTTGTCGTTAATTAGCTATGCGCGCAAGAATAGAAAAACACTTCAGCCATTGCCGTCTCACCATCAAGCTCCTCTCTACCCGATGAAGTAGACCTAGTGAGGACCACAGGATGGGAGTGCTCGCTTAGAAATGTGACATCGCGTTCCAAGAGGACAAGGGTACCGGTTCACCAGCCTGGAACTCACAGATCTAACGCGTTCGCGTTGTGGATCTTATTAGATCTTAGGCACTTTACACCAACATAAATCTAGACCGGCCGAGGACGGGGTCATGTCATCCCCATCTTTACCATTTCAAATGTGGATAGCCTAAACCCTGAAACATCTTTACCATTTTAAATATTGGGAAACTGACTGATGAGGGATTCCGTACAGCAGGCAAAGAAACGGTAAAACACGATCGCAGCGACCATTTCAGATTTGACCGGCTAACATGAAGATCACAGGAAAGCACGTAACACGAACACGCAAGTACCGTGTCGCAGCTCAAAATGGATGAGAAGCAGTTGCGTTGCTGCCAACATACTACAGCGACCACCTCGCCGAAGATGCATGATCGGTCGACGATCTGTATGCGGTTGCTTTACCGCAGGTCTTGCTTGCTCTTGCAAAGCGCGCGGCATGATGAGCGTGCAGCTCGGGTCCGTTTCTTCAGATGCACGAGCAGAAAAGAACATGCGAAAATCTATCTGCGCAGAAACTACTGCTCGACTTCTAATCACCAATGACGATGCGATTCACCGTTCCCTGCGACATGTCAATTGCTGGGCGCATGCCGTAGTCCACCGAGTGTGCGCCGTAGAGATTCCCGGTATTTGGATTTTCGTAGTTGCTGGTCACTTTCAGCTTGATGTCCATCAACGCTTCCAGCTGCGCGAAAATCTGCTTTTGTTGCACGCTTTCTTCGTGCGTCTCCTTGACGTGCTTTTGCTTTTGCCGTAGCTCCCGCGACTGCTGCTCCATCTTCGTCAGGGCGTTGTTGTACTGCGTTGTGAGGCTGACGTGCGGCGCGTCCCGGAGCTGCTTGGCTTCCTTGTGTACGCGACCAAGCCGGTTTTCCGACGCGGACAGGTCGGTCTGGAGTTCGTGGTACTTCCGCTCCAGGCCGTTCACCTCCTCCTGCATACTCGTCACCTCGCCGTTTACGCGGTTCAGGTCCGCGTCGACGGCCAGCTTCGCCTCGTCATACTTGGCCTTCAAATCCGAATGTTGCTGCTCCACTCCAGCAAATTGCTGCCGCACCATCCTCATTTATACAATTTTCGAGTCAGTAAAGTCATTTTGTTGTTTCTACCGCTCGCCTCATCTTTCTTCTGATGTGATCGACTTCATCTGCATTTGTGAGGACATTTGTTGAGCTAGCCGCCCGTACCCTTTTCCCGTTGAAAGGGGACGCAGAAAAGTATAAACAGGTCGACCGCGTCGATCACGGGCTGTGCTTTCATTGAAATTTGTACCTGAGCTCCTTGATCTGCGGCGCAAGCTTGTTTTTCTGTTCGCGGAGTTGCGTTGTAATCTGTTTGATAATGTCGGACAGTTCATCCATAGATTTTCCCTTTGCCGAATCTGCTTCCGCTTTCGCCACACTCGTGACGGCGATTATGGCGTTCTCAATGAGTTTACGTTGATGTAACTTTTGCTCGCAAAAACAAAAAGGGGCAGCTCGCGCTTCCAACATGACAATCTCGGCACAGATAACCCTGCTACTGAGCCGAGCCTTGGAAGCGTGTCGCAAGAAATACCTCGCTCTTCATGCAGAATGGGACACAGAACGTTCCGCTTCTGTGGGACAAATCAAGCAAAACTGAAGCGACAGCAAGCAGTGCAACGTTTGAGAAAGCCATAGCGATCGCCGCTTCGTTCTGTCGCACATCGGCTGGAAGCGGGTGCTGAGCGTTAAGTATCTGCAGCGTCCGCGTTAGGACCGCTACCTGGCGTTGAGGAAGAATTATCATGTAGGTACTAATATTTCAGTTCCGAAACTCAGAATATCAATATTGAGGCGGGTTGATCTCTTCTTTGTTTGAGTACAATGAACAAACCTCCAGGAGCTGCCGAGGACCGAGCAGAGTCAGCTGATGCCCATGCCCAACAAAAACGATACTAGTACTACATTTCAGAAAAATTAAAGTAAGAGTCGCGTTTGCAGATACAACATAGTTTTCCAAGTGTACGAGTGCATGGATGTAGTAGGTAGAGGTTGTTCTTTGTGCTCTTTGAGTTTCTGTTTCATATAATACCTCGCTCCTCCAGCCGTTCAGCTCTTCTTTCTGCTTCTTAAAGAGGTTGCTCTTTTCCCGAAGGCTTCCTGCGTAGGCTTTGAAATCGTCGCGCTTCATGAACTTATGGCCTTGCTTCGCCTCATACCTGTTCATCCATGGGATTTTTCAACATCGACTACCAGTGCAGATTGGAAGTACTAGATCTTGCAGTTTATTTCACGCGAATTCAAAAGTAGCGGGTGCAATCTCTTGTCGCGCTGCTGAAGAAAGAATCAGCCGCGCATCAATACTCCAAAAATCAAGTAAGTTATGTTTGGATGAAGTTAGTAAGATCAAGTAGTACTCTTTTTCCTTTTGTGCGATCTGCTGTGCCAGAGCGTCCCTTTCCTCTACCAATTTTTGCAGCTCCCCCTGGACCATATCCTTTTTCTTTTGCACTAAGCTTGCCTGTATCCCGTGCGAGAAAAGAATCGCACTCGAATAGTGAATTGCAATACAGAGTAGAACTGACTCAGTTCTACTCTGTATTGCAGTAGAACTGACTCAGTCCTTGTTTACCTGGTCTCAGTGAGACCTTTTTTGTGCAAGTGCAACTTAAATCATCTTGATAACAAAATCGAAAGCTCCTGCATTGCGGTCTATGCATATGCGATTCCGATTTCCACTAAGTTGTGCGATGGCGCAATGGAGACGAGTATTGCAAAATGCATAGCTTGCTGCTTGTACACAGTGAGCTTGGAGTCGGTGGCATTCTGACTTTCCAGCTGCGCCTCCAGGTGCTCGCATTGCTGCTCCATGTGCGCGCATTCCGTTTGCACTTCCATCACCATGCTCTGCGTTGCGGCTGGCTCTTGTAGGGAGATCTCAATCACTTGCATCCGCTTTAGCTTTTCCTCTCGCTCCCGCAGCAGCCGCGCTTCGGCATCTTTGTTGCGCTGCGTCTCAATGCGGAGTACCTTCAACATCGCCTCCGCGCTGTTAGACGGCTCTGACGCCTGAGCTTGCCGTAGCTCATGCACACGCCGGGACTTTTCCAGAAACAAATGCTCGGTCTGTTCCAGCGCAATCTTCTGCTCGACCAGTCGGTCCGTGAGCCTGGCTTCTTCCTCCTGTTCTTTTCGTAGCAGCGACTATCGGAGCCTCAGGCCGTTGGTTACAAATCAACAACATGGATAATGCGTATCTAAAATGGGAGCACACGACACAAATAAAGTGTCTTCGTTGTAAAGGAGACAAGTAAAGCAGGTTGTGAGCCTGCAGAGGGTTACGAAGGGCGCTGTTCTCCAAGAGCACAGAATGATCCGGCTTCGTTCATCTGGTTGTAGTTCGCGCAAAGGCAAACAGCATGAAAATAAAAATGATTCTATTTATAGAAGAAGGTCCAGCTCCTGCACCCGAGTCTGATGTTATGAGTGAGTTAGAAATTACTGGTTCTGGCGGCCCTCCAGGAGCTGTTATCGCTTTGACAGATCATTAATATTTCCATTTATTTATTTGGCAATTTCCAAAGCCTGACGCATCCATAACGACGTGATGTGCAGTAGATTCTGAAACCCGGCCGTGTTCGAGGATTTCTGGCGAAAGGACCCAATTTTCTGGGTCAACTGGTCGGACTCCGCTGCAAGTTGCTGGACTTCTCTCTGCATATGGCGACGTTCTCAACCGTTACACTCTCGGCTGTATAGTGGATTCGACGTCATGCAAAATTGCAACACATATCGACAGGATCAAGCTGCTAGCTTCACGTGACAAGTTCTCGCCGCACTAGATAGCGTCATAATCTGCGTCAAACTTGTAAAATGCAAAAGGCGCAATCTTCCGCCTTGCACTTTTGCCAAATCCTTGCATGGCAAATTAATCATGTACCAGTTGAGACTGAAACGGTCGTTGAGAACGCCATACTGCAAGTCGCCAGGGTGCTGTTTCTGCGCGCGCAGCTGCTCCAAGTGGGCGTGGGTGGTCTTAAACTGTGACTGAAGCTCCTTGTACGCTTGATACCTGAAAGATGATGACCGTGGTCGTATGTTGTCGGTGCTGTACGTCGCTGCATTACTTATGATGTTGAGAAATCACAATATTGAGCAAGCACCTTTGCGCTCTTAAAGGTCCTGTCGTCTAAGACAGCACCCTGTACGAAAACGAAAAACGAAACAAACCCATTTGATTTTCATAACAAGGAGAAAACATCGTGGTGACACAGCAGTCTTTCCAGCCACGTGAAGATGAAGAGAAGACCAGTAAGTGGAGGGCGCTTACAGTTCAAAGACGGACTCATCCCGGAGAATTTCTTCTGGGACTTCGAGATTCACACAAAAATGCGCCAGGAAGCTGCGTTTCTTCAGGCTCTCCAGGTTTGTCAACAGCCACCAGAGGATACCGTTTACCACGCGCTTTTCGCCGAGCATCAATCCCTGCTGAAATTCCATGTCGTAGTTGCACTGGTAGCCCAGGAGGTGCAGGTACTCTGTAAATCGCTGGCACATCCCTTCCGGCGTCTCCTCTCGCAAGTCCACCTCGAACTTTCCAGAACCTGCACAGGAGCAAAAAATACTGTTTTTTTATTCATTGTCAACATTTCTTCATCTTCATGACAAACGTATGATGTATGACGTAAAAAGTAAACGCAAATCAATATGCTGTGGTACAACGAAATCGAAAAAACAATAAACTGCAACCAGCACAAGAAAAGCTGCTCCTCGATTTTTTTACTGTCAAGATGCGCGAGCACTTTCTTGAGCACTTCGAGCAGCTCCACGCCATCCTTCTCGTCAAAGGCGACGAGGGACAAATCGGCATGAAAGGGCTCCGCATTCAGCAGCTCAACGATCTGCTTTAACTGGGTCGCCATCTTTTCTTCTCTTGCTTTATTTCAGAGGATACAACGAGCAATAGATACTGACTGTGCAGACAGTCCCTTTTCAGCTCCAACCACACTCAGACTCAACCTCAAGAAGAGCAGGCAACTTGATTCTTGTCTGCCGCACTCCGTTCAAATGCTCTCGGATACAGATGATCGCGCCTCTCGGAGTGCGAAACGCCAGCTGGGTGATCAAGAGTGCGCTTCCGTCACTTCCAAAGGGCAGAACGAAAAACACAGAATTCAAATTCTGGCTCGCAAATTCAAATTCTTGCTTTTGCTCCCTCGAGTAAACACGATGTAAACCAAAGCGGGCATCAACAGAGGAATAAACCTGGTGTCACCGCAGCAATGACCAACTACATCGCTCCTGCCTGATGCCGTGGCCGCGGCGTGATGAATTGAATGCTTGTGGTTCGCGATCTGTGTTCTCAATGTGATCGTTCCCGAAAATCATGACACCTGCTTTGTTCAGGTTCATTGACTTTTGTATGTTTCCAACGTCAGACTGACTCTTCTTTTCAATACCGCCTGAAGGGACATCCGCCCATGTTTGCAAGCTCGTCATTTTCAGATTCTCCCAGACCGGGAGCGGGTTCCGCACTATCTTCAAGAAAACCGCTCTTAGGTTGTAGTAGTTCTTTGTTCCCAGCATGGTCGACCTTTTCCTCTAGTCTGAACTCTCGTGAGCTCGGGGAAAACTCCACAGACCCTCCTCCCCCTGGCCTAGAGGGGGCACTATCCTCTTGCTCAGTCATCCGTCGCAGGTTCTTGCAATTCACCAGCGGCGAGAACTGCGGGGAGGGAGCTTCGTTCACGAGGTAATCATGAAGAAACCCGATGCGGTAGCGCAGGTCCCGCGGAAGCTCCGGAAGAGCGGAGGCCGGGACCAGGTAGGTTGACAAGCTCCACAAATCTTTGAACGCTTTGTTTTCTGTGGCGGCCTGTCATAGTACGCATAGATTTTCTTCAATTTCAACATTTAGGATGATTTTCCAGGCTGCTATCATTTTACTCAATTAATACAACAAGCTGGCGCATGGAGGTATCGTCTCTTTTTCGGCGCATCACGAAACACGAAGCAAAACATGGACTTTCAAGTGGACGACATAAATGAAAGTGAGAGCAGCAGGAGGCATTTAAAAGTTAAGCTTTACCCGATTCAAGTACTCCACGCCTGATGTGCCTCCAGTGCCATATGACAGGAAAAAGCGTTAATGTTAACGGAATTTGTGAAGAGGCAGTAACGCACCAGAAAAGGGGCCCAAATTTGTATGCATGGAAGTAATGCATGGAGGCTGCAATGTGGAAAAAGAAAAACCGTTAACATTGATGACTACTTTTTTTGTTTGATATGCCAATTTTGATTCCGATCATGCGATGCGCCATCGAGGCGTGCCGGGTTCTCCAAATTGCGTATTCACTGCAAAAATTTCGCGTTCGCACTGCTTCTACTTCCAATGTAGCAAATAAATGTCACAACATTATTGGTGATGTCCAGCATTCTTGCAACAAATTGGACCTCTTTACAAGGTCGCAGCTTATGTCGCGCAGTGGGAGGGTGAACGAGTTGACAGGGGGGAAAGAAAAACGCCAGAGGGGGGGCAAGGGAAAAAAAATTTGATGCAAGGCGGGGCCAAGCCCAAGCCTCTGGCGCCCGTGGTTCCCGTCGTTGTGTGGGCGCGAGGACCCCGCCCGTATTGGGCCCGCGCTTCTGAGGCGGCAAGCCTTAGGCCCAACAACGCAAAGCGCGGAAGCGGGCGGGTGCCAGTGGGCGGGGGAAGGCAGGAAGCAGGAGAACAGCCCGCGCTATGCGCGGCTCTGGCGCGCGCGTCACGCCCCGCCCGCGCGTCTGCTTTGTGGCCCGTCTGTGACGCCTGCGCCTGCCGGCGCGCCCTGCTCCTGCGCGCCTTGGTGCCCACCCGCCCTTCTTTCGCGCGGCCATGCCGGGCAAGGGCTCGCTTGGGCCCCTGTCGCGCGCTTGGGTAGAGCCAGCGAGGACGGGCGCCGGGGCAGGGCATTCAGTTCTTTCCGGGCGCAGGGGCCCACCACCCTCCCCCCGCACCCCCGGACAGCTACGGCGCCCCATGCGCTAGCTTGCGCGCAATCTGTTCCGCCCCCGCCCCCCCTCGAGCGCAGCGAGCGAGCGAGCCTCGATCCAAGAGAGGCGGGCAGGCAGAGAGGCGGGCGGTGGTGGCCTCTTCCAGTCCCCCCGCGAACAGAGGGAGGGCGCGGGGGGAGGGTGGTGGGCAGCTGCTCGCCTGCGGGCCTGGTGCTTGTTGGCTGGGGCGCGGCTGCCCCCTTGGGCCGATGCTTCCCGGCCCTCCCCGCCCCCCGTGCCTCGCGCCCGCCTTCCCCGTGCTTCCCGCTTTCCCCGTGCTGCTTCCCGCTTTCCCCGTGCTTCCCGCCTTCCCCCTGCTTTGCGCCTCCCCCCTGCTTCCCGTTTTCCCCGCGCCCAATGCCTTCCCCGTGCTTCCCGCTTTCCCCGTGCTTCCCGCTTTCCCCGTGCTC